CCGTTTATATCAGTTACAATATAGATATATGTTATTCAGACATTTCTAGTTGTTGGGTTATGGATTTGGATTTTGGTGGACAGGTTTGACAAAGAGAGGAGATAAAGTTAGGAAGTGGGATGACGATAAGACAGCAGAGTCATAACCTCTCACCTGTGACGCCACCTGAGCGATCTCCGCCGCCACGTCGCCTGCAGAGTTTCCCGCCCCTGGAGACAGAATCGTGAGAGGTTATCTAAGGTCATTTGCCGTAGAGTTTAACGTAAGAAGATACTTGATGTGGTTAATATAAGCGGAAGGCGATAACTCACCTACAACAACCACTTTCTTCCCGGTGAACTGTTGGGCAGTCCGGTACTCCTGACTGTGCATGGTGACACCTGCGAAGTCCGACAGACCAGGCACGTCGGGAACGTAGGGCCGGGCGAACACGCCGTTACACACCTGGGAGGGTGTGGGGAGTTGTCAGGTAGATTTGAGAAGAGGTGGCTTACGTATGGATTGTAAGTATAGCACTACTTAGGGAAGGACCAAATGATGAGGATCGTCGCTTGCGTATTGAAGATGGAGTTAAATGGTTGGCGCTTCACCCTTATCAGATATTATTAGTTGTTGCTGCTAACATTTATGTTTCTATGATCATCAGTACGTAAACGTACCATTACAGCGTCAAAGATCTCTTTCTGTTCCCCATCGCCATGACCCGTCTGTACAGTACGGACCTCCCACCGTCCTGTCTCATCAAAGTCTTCTGTCTTCTGTATGCGGCTGACCTGGAGGGATAAATTTGAACGTAAGAAAGGAGAACAACGGAACAATAATTGTAGTACAGCTCTACTGGCATACAGGCAAAGACCGTGTTTAACAAGAATATTCTCACCTGTGTGCCGAATCGGATGTGTTTCTTGAGGCTGAAGTGCTGAGCGTAGTCCTGTAGATATGTGTACACACGGTGGTACGGCAGGTAGGGGGGCGTGTCCTTAGGGAAGGGGAAGTCGCTGAACGACATCATTTCTTTACTGGAGTTTGTGATGAGAGACCGGTACATGGCGGCGCCCTGGTTGGGTCTGACATCGTCAGAGTAGTACCACACGCCGCCTGGAGTAGCGGTTTGTATGAAGATTATTAGAAGTAGCACACAATAGGTAAAGGTGAACAGAACAAGGAAAATATACATCCATTTTACGAAATGTCTGTGCCCTGCTTTATCTAAATAGCATCATTATGCAGACTACCGTAATGCTTAAGTCATGTTTGCCAGCCTAGTCATGTATTTGGCAAGCCTACAGCACGGCAGCGGTGGACGTCTGTCAATATTGACTATTGACTATTACCATATAACATTCACATGTACACATGCGTACATATGCATGAAGTTTACTTACAACCTTTCACCCCACCCTTCTGATGTCATCTCCTTTAGTGGGCTAAAATTTCTATTCCCTATCATACTCTCTTTTTTACTATCTAGCTATATCACGATCGAAGTGGAATTATATTTTAGTTGTTCTATTCTTCAACGTTACTGAAATTAACACAGACGTGTAATGATGCCTTGTCCTTACCGAGATCGTCATGTTGCTCGAAGCAGACCGGCTGAAGCCCCTCCTCCAGACAAGCCTTGATTGACGTGAGTCCGCTCACCCCGGCTCCTATAATTGCCACTCTCTTTGAACCCATAACTGAGGAAGAAACGAACAACAAGAACAATCAAAACACTTTGAAGGGGGTAATCTAATTTTTTTTACCTCCAAAACAGTATTACGAATTTAAACATATTGTATTCAATTTAACACGAAGTTGGGGCCAGGAAGCAGCTGCATTCATTCTACAGCGGGAATGCCCCCCCCCCCCCACCTACCATCTACATTGTAACAAAATGTGAAAGAAGTCTGAGGTTTCAAAACTGCAGCTCACAGAGGAGAAGCAAGGACAAATCGGGTCATTAAAAAACTCGATTGTGCTGCCACATGTGAAATCTTCACATGATACTTCATTAACTTAAAATAACTTAGGAATAAACTAGATATCAATATTAGCGGTTGCTAATATACACAGGTTTGCGTTATAGTGTAAGTTACAATATGTTTTTGTGTGTGCTTAACTTTTGCATGGTTCCTTCTCATCCTTTTTTAATCACCACTCACCTTGTAAACAAGTCCCTTTCAACAAAGAACAAACACGCCACAAAACATTTCTCTAAATAACTGGTCCCATCTTTAGGACCACACATTAAAGAAAACACTTTTCTGAATTTAAAGAAAAAAACAACAACATTTTGATTGCTTTCTCTCCCTCCCCCGGGTTGTTTACATTTCCAGCCGCCCGCCAGCAGGGCGCCCCCACCTATTTAAACATAGCGGACATACAAGTACAACGCGCCAGCGAAAATGGGGACATACTGATCACGAAAACGGCAATTGTACAGTCACGATAGGCCAGATTAAGCATGTAAATGGGTCTTCTCTATCGTATGAAGTTGAACTATCTCCTGTAGCATGCTTGACGATTCAAAAATTATTAGTCTGGGAGCCAGACTTAGCGCCCGGGAGCGGATCCTGGCTTGGGGAGCAGACGAAAGCTAACAAGGCTGACACCCAGGCTTCCAGTGGTCCTTGCTATCCCCTAACGTATATATAATATAAACTATAAAGCATTCCCTACTACTCTCCAAGCAGAGGTTTGGGGTTATTTTTAGCGTGTTTTTAGCCTTTTTTGTCGGGGTTTGTTGGCGGGGAGCGGATTTGGGGAGCGGACGAAAGCTAACAAGGCTGACCGTAAGAAAAGCTCTAGCTTGGGTAGCCTGCAACAAACTGGATAACATCTGGCATTCTAACATCAGTAATGGTCTTAAAGTACAAGTTTTCCGCGCCATAGTCGAACCTATTCTCCTCTACGGCGCCGAAACCTGGACTTTAACAACTCGCCTAGAAAAACGTCTTGATGGAACATACACAAAACTTCTCAGGAAGGCACAGAACATCAACTGGAAGCAACATCCAACGAGAAAGAATATATATGGAAGCCTTCCCCTAGTATCACTCAGATTAAAACATAGACGTGTAAAATTTGCGGGACACTGCCATCGTGCAAAAGAAGAAGTCATCTCATCACTCCTCCTGTGGAAACCACATGGCAAGACTCACTCCAGAAAACTCACATATCCAGCTACTCTCACAAGGGACACAGGGTTACAACAACAAGACCTTCCAGCTGCAATGGAAGATCGTACTTTGTGGCGTCGTGTTGTGCAGGAGCTTGCCCCGTCCCCCAGCCAGGGTGTCGACAGATGATGATGATGATGATGATGAACAAGGCTGACACTCAGGCTATGTGAATCAAAATAAAGTCAAGACTGAAATGCCTTTGTTTACTCTGTATATATTATATTTCTGTATGTAGTTTCCTATATTCATTGTACATATACATGTATTCTGTAAGTAACATGACTTTATCTTTGTTAGATCTTAGTTAACGTTGTGTAAGGCCATATGAAAGTCCCTGTACTTTTGTTAAGTCAATGAATGAATGTAGTAATTGTAGACCTTTATTGTACATTTTTGCCCCACCGGGCTATTAAAGCACAGGTCACAAGATTACAATCATATATATATATATATACAAACAAATACATATACAAACTTCTCAATACAAAAAAAGTAGCCGGTGCAGAAATAGTAAACGCGCGCGGGCCTTGGTTAGCCCGTCCCCGGCACGGGCACACGCCCTCCCCGCCCTACGCTGTGCACCACATGCGGAAACCCTCTAGGCCGCGCGCTGATTACGCAAACTCCCTTACAGGAAGCCGATGCGTTTACGAACTCAAAATCGTCAACGCGACAGAAAAATGACGGGTCCATTTTAGCGATATTTACCTGCCCCCTTAGTAGGTCCGTTGCGCTCGTACAAGCGGCCTGTTCTTCTAGCCTGCATGGGTGCCATCTCTTCTGTAACGGGATGGTTCTTCTATTCGGGGAGTCCCGTTACAACACGACTGGCGCCTATTTACATAATATCCAAGCCGATAATTCGGTGGCAAGGCAGTATCCATTGGGCAGACGAGTGTCCATGGCTGCCACTGTATGATCTGATTGGAGATTACGTATCCAGGCTAATAAATCTGATGAAAACCACAATGGGTCCGGACAGATGAAACGATGCGTATATCTCTCAGTGGGTAGCTTCGTTTAATATGTTTTGGTCGTGTTTCCGCTTCCGGTCGAGCGGTTTTCGGGAACGAAAAGAATGATATGGCAAATGATAAGACGCGATCGAGCAAGAAATAGGCCAGAGTTTTGCATCAGAAATCAACTTCATTTCTCTAGTATCTGTTACATGTGATTAAAATGTTAAAAGATAATTTCATACGAACATGGCTTGTACTGTTAATGATGACATTTCGACAGCTTTAGGCACTAAGCTTGCCACGAACGGATCGCGAGCCCACATACCGTAACTTAATGTTTAAATTAACTAGAAAGGTAACATTTGATCGACTGTCTCATGTTTACCTCAGGACAGTTTGTCTATGTGTAAGGAGACCCCCCCCCCCCCCGAGTGTACGCTATCTATATTGTGACTAACATGTTTTCGCAAAGTTGTGTTCCAAATCCCTACTATATAGTTACGCCTCAAGGACACAGTTTCTTCTGAAGTTGACCTTGCAACCACTGTACCTCAGCTGTCCCAGCTGGACATCTTGAGCGGGATGACAACGACCACGTTAGTGGGGAAAGCTGTAGCTGGGGAGGTACCGCTTCCCTTGCGAAAGTAAAGTGGTAAAGATGATATACAATAGTATCGTTGATCTAAGGCTTATTTTCTTAATCATAACCTAACAATCTATATGTAGTGTTGGGTAGAAATATGTTGCATATATGTGTTGTTTAAGGAAGATGTCTCAGACACAGATGAATTTTTAATGTTTGACTACGATTTTCGTTATTTATTTTCTTGTTTGTAATTCTATCATTTGAAGGAGAGTGCTGGTTTTGTGCCCTGATACTGTTTTAATAGAGTTGTGATAAGTAAAGATTTGTGGTGATTTAAGATGTATTTAAGTAGTAATGTAGTGCTTCTGTTAGGTTGAGATAACAACGGTTGATGCATAGAGTCTGTCCTGTCTGGCTATGTTACAAAATTCTCTGTAATTGATTAATATTATGCTTGTGACTTCTAACAATATCATTCAGACTCCTAGTTGGTTGATATCATGTAATATCTAAACGGTATATCTTCCTGGCCAGTAGAAGGGTCCTTTAATGTATTTTGTATCAAAATACCCTTTTATATACATGTACTCATACCCTCTGGTGATACAAATTTGTTATTGGGTACAGGTCGCTTCAATTAGTCTTCGTTATCTAAGTTCCATTACCATCGTGTCATAGTTATATAAAGGACCTCACAACTGCACTTGCAACTGCACTTTATTACAGTAAAGAGCTGGATTACTCCTGTAATAGTCCATGGTATATATAGTTTTGCGTGAACTGTTGAATGAAAGAATATGAGGAACTCTCAGTCTGCGTTGAGTTTATTAATGTTAAATGAAGATCACATGACACCAATAACACTGAATCACGACAATTATCAAACATGATAGGTATTATTTAATGAACAAAAACGTTTGAATAAAACATACACTGTTCTAGTATTAGGGAACATCATATTTGCAAACCAGTTCTTGATTTCTGCCACCGGTGCACCAGTTAATACAATTAAGGTAGGGATTTAAGTAAGGAATTTTGATCATTGGATTGAGATTACATAAAACGATTGAACACCACCACCAGCACCCCCAACAACAAGACAAATTTCATAATCTTGGCCAATGAGAAGAACGGCTGTTCCATGACCAGTGCAGGTGACCTGAAGGGGTACAGGGTGTTAGCCAGGGCTGACTTGGCGTGGTCAGCTGCACCTGACCAGGGATGTGGCCCCAGCAGGCGGTACTGGACAGAGAAAGCGGGGCCGAAGTAGCAGAGGAAAGCTAGTTTTGGGTCCCGGGGAAGGATCCGCCAAAACGATGGTTTCACTCCGATCTCTTCGGCAATGTCATCCCGGTACGGCACGTTCAGCATCTGTAATATAGACAGGATGTGGAAATATGAAGTGCGCTCTGCATCACTATGGTTGGCCATATAGTTTATTTCTCAAGATAAAGTTTGACCCTGTAAACCTGCAATCCTGCTGGGGAAGTTGGCTTTAGCCCAGTGTTCTTCTACATATCCATTATTTCATGAAACATGAGCATTGACTATCAGTATTCATAACGTCCTAGATCTGAAATGTCTCGCCCAATATTCTTCTTAACACCACCACCACAAATTACATCCTTTGTTTTTCACCCCTTGTGTTTTGTATTACCCAGTGTTACAGCATAGTCTGAGATAACCGTGTTTACCTGAAGCTTGACGTGGCCGAACCGCTGCTTTAGCTCCAGTTTGTCGGAGCGGATCCGATTCAGCATGGACTCCTTATCGGGAAGTTTATTCAGACCCTGCAACACAATAAGTCAACTGTGTGAAGACCGCTGTCTATGCCCTCGGATAACTACAATTCTCGTCCCTGGTTGAAAGATACCATTTGTTCGTTACCAGTGAAAACGTTCAGTCACTTAAAAACACTTGTTTGTTTACTGTGAAACTTATCAAGAATTGTGCAGGAAACACGACTTTACATGTGTATTGTTATGGTGGTGCATTTGGCATTCCCAGTTTTAGTTTAGCAGGTAGAAAAGCTCTACACGACCACCTGCAACATGGAACACCTTGTGTCACGTTTGCAAAACAACACCTTTGTTTATGCAATAAACAATCTGCCCTAGGTTTAGACATTTCCGTAGACGTCGAGATGATATACGGTGGCTATTCAAACAACTGGAGAAGAGTGATCACGACATAAGGCGGAATCACTGAAACGTTCCACTTACCAAGAACACCCTGACGGCCCAGCGAGCCTGCAGTTCGTAGATAGGAGGATGTGCCCCGATGGTAGCCAGGCAGCCGATCACGGACAGGGTGGGCTTTGTCATCTCCGCAGGGAACACCAACTTGTACAAGTTCAGGTCCTCCGCATTATCTTAGAAAGAACAATATCGTCAGTGAGAGATCTGTTTTGAGACGCTGCAGGTATACACCTGAAGTTTTTTTTTTTTTTAAATTCACATATCATATCAGTGAACAGTGAGGGAATTTATGCATGGGACTTACTGGGGAGGATGGACTCGTCACTGAACTTAAACGCCAGGTTGAAGCCCGTGGCGAACACCACGGCATCCAGTCCGTCCACTGTACTGCCGTCCGCGAACCGAGCAGCGTGCTGGGTGAACCGGGACAGCTGGGGCTTCGTCACGACCTGGGAAGGACAGGTGTGGAATTGTTAAAGCTGACAGTCAATGTTACATATCAAGTTAGACATGAAACACAAGTGGAACTAGAGAGGCCGACATTTGCTTGGGAGCAAATACAGCATATTTCAGTCCATCTCCCTCCCACGCAAAAGTGGACTATTCCAAACTTACCCCAGTGTAAAACTGGCAAAGATTCTCAAATAAATGAATTATATAGTAGCTATGTACTTGAGAACAAAGATGCAAGAACAAGCACTTTGAATCTCAAAAGCTTTACTAATCTTATTATAGGTATGCAAATACTAACAATGATGAGATTTGATACATTTTGAAGGTCTTAGGCACATGAAATTGAATGTGTGGGTCATTACGCACGACTTACGTGCAATGTGACCCCAGGTAACCCACAATGGAACACGTGTTCCATGGCCAACGGCAGATAGAACGGGCCATTCTTTAGATAGAACATGGAACGGGTATAGCACGTTTGGCCCTTTTTTTGCTGAAAATAGCCATTAAAGTCCCCCAAATGAGTCATTTGGAAGTGGTGTATGCCAAATATGTGACTGCTATTCTGTAGACACATGTTCACCCTTATACCGAATTTCAGATCATTTGGTTGTAAAACCAGGGCTCAGGATCCAAAAATCCATTTTTTGGCGAAAAATGCCCCAAAAACCTTCAGAAAAAAATTTTTCAAAGGCATGTATCAAAAAAATGAAAAAAAAAAGCCTGGGGGTATTGGCCCACTCTACCTCCATGCCAAATTTCAAGTCATTTGGCTGAATGATGGCGGAGTTGAATCCCTTTGACTGTTTGGCAGGAGGAGAAGGAGGAGAAGAAGAAACATGAGGGAACACAATATATTTCATCCATACCATGGTATGGACTGAAATATAATAAACAAACGATAGATAATTGAACAAACTATTTGACAACACGTCATTAGAAGGACCAACATCTAATGGATTTCATTAAAAGGTTATCTATTGTTCCGAACATAAAGTTATTTTGAGTATACTTGCCTGTCCGGTGGCCAGTCTAAAACCTATTTCGTCATTGGCCATGACGGAATGTTTGAGCGGTTCAGCTGGACACGTCAGCCCGTAGTTGTCATGACACACTCTGGCGTTCGCCTCGCCCTTGATGATTTTGTTGACGATGAACTCGGGCATGTTCATCAGGACCCGGCGCAGCATCATGTCCCGCGGCATCCCGGCCTGAGCCAGGCGGGGGAGAACCCAGGCACCGTCCCTCAGGCTCAGGTACACCTGGGGACGGGGTGGGGGTGTCAGTATGAACAGTCAGCAGTGTGCGGCTTTAGAGAAGGCTAAGATGGAGGAACGGCACTGTTGTGTGCCGGTTATATCAGTTACCAATGCAGATATAACGTTATGTTACTCGGATATGCCCAATAGGGGAATGGGTATTGGTGGACAAAAGAAAACGTAGCACAGCAGAGTCATAACCTCTCACCTGTGACGCCACCTGAGCGATCTCCGCCGCCACGTCGCCTGCAGAATTTCCCGCCCCTGGAGACAGAATCGTGAGAGGTTATCTAAGGTCATTTGGGTAGAGTTAAAGATTAGAAGAGAATGACTTGATCTGTGTATGTAAGCGGAAGGCGATAACTCACCTACAACAACCACTTTCGTCCCGGTGAACTGTTGGGCAGTCCGGTACTCCTGACTGTGCATGGTGACACCTGCGAAGTCCGACAGACCAGGCACGTCGGGAACGTAGGGCCGGGCGAACACGCCGTTACACACCTGGGGAGGGTGTGGGGAGTTGTCAGGTAGATTTGAGAAAAGGTGGCTTACGTATGGATTGTAAGTATAGCACTAGTTAGGGAAGGGCCAAATGATGAGGATCGTCGCTTGCGTATTAAATGGTTGGCGCTTCACCCTTATCAGATATTATCAGTTGTTGCTGCTAACATTTATGTTTCTATGATCATCAGTACGTAAACGTACCATGACAGCGTCAAAGATCTCTTTCTGTTCCCCATCGCCGTGACCCGTCTGTACAGTACGGACCTCCCACCGTCCTGTCTCATCAAAGTCTTCTGTCTTCTGTATGCGGCTGACCTGGAGGGATATCGTAAGAAAGGAGAACAACGGAACAATAATTGTAGCACAGCTCTACTGGCATATAAGAAAAAGAAGACCGTGTTTAACAATAATATTCCCACCTGTGTGCCGAATCGGATGTGTTTCTTGAGGCTGAAGTGCTGAGCGTAGTCCTGTAGATATGTGTACACGCGGTGGTACGGCAGGTAGGGGGGCGTGTCCTTAGGGAAGGGGAAGTCGCTGAACGACATCATTTCTTTACTGGAGTTTGTGATGAGAGACCGGTACATGGCGGCGCCCTGGTTGGGTCTGACATCGTCAGAGTAGTACCACACGCCGCCTGGAATAGCGGTTTGTATGAAGATTATTAGAAGTAGCACACAATAGGTAAAGGTGAACAGAACAAGGTAAATATAAAGCCGTTTTACGACATGCCCTGCTTTATCTAAATAGCATCATTATGCAGACTACCGTAATGCTTAAGTCATGTTTTTGCCAGCCTAGTCATGTATTTGACAAGCCTACAGCACGGCAGCGGCGGTCTGTCAATATTGACTATTACCATGCAACAGTGACCTACACCTTTACTTACAACCTTTCACACCACCCTTCTGTTTTCATCTCTTTTCTCTCAAAAATTTCTATTCCATTGTGTCTCTTTTTTTACTATCTAGCTATATCCCGATCAAAATGGAATTAGTTGCTCTATTCTTCAACGCTATTGAAATTAACACAGACGTGTAATAATGCCTTGTCCTTACCGAGATCGTCATGTTGCTCGAAGCAGACCGGCTGAAGCCCCTCCTCCAGACAAGCCTTGATCGAAGTGAGTCCGCTCACCCCGGCTCCTATAATGGCCACTCTCTTTGAACCCATAACTGAGGAAGAAAATGTTTTGCGTAACAACAAGAACCAATTTAAAGACTTTTAAAGGGTGTAATTTACACAAGAAACAGCCTTTGTTTTTCTACAAAACATTGTTACGAATTTAAACATATTGTATTCAATTTAACACGAAGTTGGGGCCAGGAAGCAGCTGCATTCATTCTACAGCGGGAATGCCCCCCCCCCCCGTACCTACCATCTACATTGTAACAAAATATGAAAGAAGGTTTTAAAACTTCAGCACACAGAGGAGAAGCAAGGACAAATCAGGGGAGCGTTACACTTGAATATGAGTCATTAAAAAATCTTACTTGTGCTGCCACCTGTGAATAACTAAGGATTAAACTAAACGTACGTCCTCTTACCTGATTCGGTGAGTAACCTTTTACAAGCGATGAAATCCTTGAACTGTACATGTACCACGACCGATCAAAAAGTATGCCTACTCGCAGTGTACTCGCAGTATGTGGATAGCCCTGGCCTGAGGACAACTTTCTGGGAATGGGAGCGCCGTGCGTGACGTCATCGCATCGAAGGCCAGCACAGCTGCCAGGCGGAAGTATATGCCCCAAACCTCGTCCCGTTGATGACTGTGCGTTTGTGCTGGATTCGCACCTTTCTAGAACGTTGACGGAAATGATGAACGGGACCAGTGCGGGCATGTATATCGTTCGTTACAGGAAGTAACCAACGAAATTATCGTAGCGAGAAACACCCCGGACCCGGATGCCCAGTATACCGGAGTTTTGAAAGTTAACCACAAAGCACGTCATGAAAGGGTCTACGTGTGAAGGTCAGCGTTTCCTGAAGCAGGTCGCCTGCACAAATGCACGTTAACATGATGTGAACGTGATGTCATAACGCCCGCACTGGTGGGAATTGAGCAGCTGAGACTCAGTGAGAGGGGGGAAACACACACCGACAATGGAAAAGAACACTGTTAATACGAAAACACACAAGTTCCTGGCCCCTGCATACTCTTGTTTACACCGCAAGCCCAATAACCATACCATATGATTCCTTGCGTTTTATCACTAGAGAAGATAGGAAGACACTGTACGAAAAGTGCCAATTTTTCTATTTGATTGTCTAAATATTTCAGTGGATGGTTCGCTATAAGTCACTGTCTCTTATGAGATGTCCCTGCTACCCTATAGGCGGCGATTTGCAATTCAAATGCAGTTTGACAGGTGGGGCAACTGCACTGCACAACGAACTGCAGGTTCAAACGGTTTCCCAAGAAGATGCTATGGTATTCCATGTAACATGTATATATGTGTATGTAACATCTCGAACTATCTAGAAATTCGTATAAAGTAATCAACATCCAAAAAGAAATCTGAGACTCAGTATTTGTAATCATGCATTTTATTCAATCACACGTTAAGCAAGCTTAAAAGCGAGATAATGTATTAATAAATCTGGAAATACAACGGAAAGATACGTTAGTTTCCATCCGAATATCCGGGCGACCAAGATGTTTTGTGTTTAAGTATGTGTGTGTGTGTGTGTGTGTGTGTGTGTGTGTGTGTGTGTGTGTGTGTGTGTGTGTGTGTGTGTGAGTGATCATGAGTGTATTGGTGTGTTTTCTTAAAGCTAATCAATACATGTAAGTTAATCAGACAGTTATGATACGATGACATATATGACAATAGTGGGCACATGTCTCAAATAGATCTAAAATGCACTCCATTACAAAACATGGATGCGTCATGAAGGAAACAAATGAGGGCATTGTAAAGTCAAAAGAAGTAATTCATTTTGTTGAATTCACGTATGAATGAAACTACATTGAATGTCAGTAGAGATATATAGATATTACGTAATATAAACGATATGTAACCAGCAAAATAAATCCCCAAATTAAGGTGTGATTAGCAAAATTGTTTACAATGGCAGGTGAACGGATTGGCTAAAATGATTTGATTATGAGCAAAAGGGCTGACTTTTTCAGGGAAATTCGGTATGATGAGGCAAACATCCGTCTCAGGTTCCGTCAGTTGTCATAAAAGTCGGCCAAGTCACACCAGAGTTGGGCACTAGAAAGCCGTTGAATGAGTGGATCTCCATCAAATCAAAGTGAACTTTGTGGGTTATTTGGTAATGAAATGCCTGTCATGCCTCAGACAGACCGAATATCCCGGAACAGAACCTCTAGTTACAAGTTACAGCTCGAAGACTTTTCTCGCACCGTTCGGCGGTTGGTCGTTTGGCTGTATCGGTGTCCCAGCATGACGTCATCACTTCCCGCCATCCTCCAGGAGCAGGGTAGTCCTTCTCGGGGTCGGGTCGATTACCCCCGACAAGTTCGTCAGCAAACTCTCCAATTCTGCAAAGTAGTTTTAGGATTGTAGTAAGCTGTATCAAATTCTGTATTAACGCATTTTATTTACAATCGCCCATGAAAATGTATCTATAACTTGAGACTAAAACGTAAAGGGTTCGTGAAGACATTTGGATTTTGGTAAATTACTGAGACAACAGATCATTGAACACCTTTGATAAAAAAATTTAAGGCCGATTTTCGAAATCACAAATGATCACCAAACCTGTGCAGAGTGAAGTGTGCGGCGTGAGTTGTCTCCTCCCCGTACCACATCTCCCACAGAAGGATGCCGAAGCTGTACATGTCTGACGGCTTCCCGTAGGGTTTCTCCTGCAGGACCTCAGGCGCGATGTACGGTGGGGTGCCACACAGGGTCCCGGTCACGTCATCAGCCTTCTTGGTCAGTCCTACGTCAGCCAGCTTGATGATTCTGTCGTCGGTAATCTGGAAGGTAGATATATATGTGTTCAGAAGTTAGCCAACATTGGGCTTATCATCAATCAGTGGGTGTCATTCCACAGACGACAACAGACGACATGTATCACTACTTTTCGTGGCTGATCCATACAGTGTATAGTACAGGCCCGTGATATTTCGTGAAGTTTGCCATAGCACGAGTGTAATTGTTTTATGTAATATTATATCAGCAAATAGTAGTCTAAATAGCAAAATAAGAGCTCGATCATATTAAGATTAAATGAAATGTTTTCTTTGTTTTCCTAGACATGGTTATCAAAGTCTCTCACTGCTACATTTAGGTCAACAGTCATGGGCGAAACTTACCAGTATGTTCTCAAGTTTCAGGTCCCTGTGCACGAAGTCCTTGGAGTGGATGTAACACAGTGCGGACGCCAGCTGCAGAGTCAGGGGATGGACACAGGCAAATGCTGCCTGGCGGGCTGAAGGATTCTTCCCTTGTCTGCCAGGGTTCCTAAATGTTAAAATGAAACGGTAAGTATTAGTTATATATGTATTACTACCATATCCAAAATAACCGCTCTAGACTAGAATAGAGGACATGGTACCTTTTGGGTTTGTTGATGAGGAACTCCTTCAGGTTGTCCTGACACAGCTCCATGACGAAGATGACCTTCTCGTGATGTGCCCAGTACGACGTGCCGTAAAACCGCACCAAGTTCTCATGGTCCAGTTTCCTGAAGGTAAAGAACAGAAAAAAGGCGTCTTAAATTCATCATACGTTTCTACAACGCTGTCTCTTTGTAACACTAGCCCAACGCAGAACAAATTATCAAAGCATCCCAATGAACACAACGCTGGCACCGTAAAGATATAAAATTGTTGATGTATGTGAGGACTAACGAGGTACACTTTAAATAAACATTGGCATTAAAGATACAAACTTTGACACAGATATTAACTGAAAGATTACTAAGCTAACTTTACTGTCCTCAAATTACGTAAATCCATCACTTTGGGAATTCTTACCGCAGAATCCTTTCCTCTTGCATTACTTCGGATGCATTTGTGCTGTACAGGCTGCTCCGTATCAGCTTCAAGGCCACTGGTCTTCCCTCCCATTCGGCGCGGTAGACGTCGCCAGAAGAACCCCCTGCGATGTGCTCCCTCTCCAGCAGTTCATCAAAAGGGATGTCGTAGTCGCGGACGCTGGTTAGGTAGTAGCAGTCCAACTCCCCAGAGAGTTCTTCACATGTAGCCAAGCTTGGTTTGTGGTGCTGCATGACAACGTCAAGCTTCTCCTCCTTTGCAATGGCGTAAACTTCCTTGATCAGTCTCTCGTCCGACTCGATAAGGATGGGAATCATGTTGAACAACTGACTGACATACTGGAAGACAGACTCGACCTTTCCCTTCACGATATCGTGGACGTTTTCCCGAGTCGCGAAGGATTGCAACATCTCATGTGCCAGTGTCGTCATGTAGGCTTTCCTGTCGGCCCTGTAGCGCTGCAGGCGGCTGTTGTCAGTCATCTTCTGTGCGATAGCCATCAGACCTGTCGCTGGTAGGGCAAGCATTCCAACGATGACACCTAAAGGGATGACAACGGGTGCCGCAACCCCCAGCGCCCATTTCTGCCCAGTAGTGAGATCGGGTAAGGTGAACATGCCGTACTGCACGTCCTCTTCCGTATTCCAATAGCCCGACATTCGTGCCTGTTGTTGACCGGTGTACAAGGGAGTCGCCATGCTGCGTTCTACTTGAAGAATGTCGTCCTCCACAATGCTGAAGTCCGTCTTGAACTTAGCAAGCATCTCTGACTGAAGCATGTTGAAGGAGTCCTGCTCCTGGTCCCAGCTGGAGACGAGTTGTTTGATGCGATCCTCGATCTTCTTCTTCATCTTGTATTCTAAGACGCTCCAGTTAACGTCATCCGGCAACTCGTCTTCATCCCAGATCATCAGCCACTCATACACCTCATCAGACACCAGGTAGGCCCGGAGATCTTCAACTGCCTGGTCGGTTTTCTCCTCTAGATGTCTTCTCATGGCCGACTCTTTGGATGCCGCCACCTTCCTTAACTTTGTCAGCCTTTCCCGTATAGCTCTTTCCTTTTTCTCAATTGCAGGGAGCTCATTGTCGATGATGTTTCCCAACATGACGCGCAGGTGGAATGTAGATCTCTGAAGGATGCCTGACAGCCATCTGAAAGTGATGCATGATACTAGTAAGTAACCAATATAGTGAGGGAACAAAATAGGATAATACTAAGAACATAGCTCCATTGCTTTAGGATGCAAAGAGATAGACAAAAGAATCTTAATCACCTGTAGCTCAGCTCAACCTTAGACCGAAGGCTGATGGGTAGCAGTCTGTTGAGGCCATTCAGAAGCTCTGCAAAGTCTCCTGTCATGTACCCCGCTTTGTTCCAAGCAGTAGATGCCTTCAAATGTATTATGTGTCATGAGAAAAAACGTTCGACTTCGAGGACTGCAGTTTACAGTAATCTTTTTATCAAAAGGGGGATATACAGATTTTCCATGGGTGTTCAGCACCAAGGACAGGTATGCCGGTATGTTTGAACGGTGTTCAGCACAAAGGACAGGCATGTTGGCATGTTTAAAGGGTGTTCAGTACCAAGGACAGGCATGTTGGCATGTTTAAAGGATGTTCAGTACCAAGGACAGGCATGTTGGCATGTTTAAAGGATGTTCAGTATCAAGCACAGGCATGTCGACATGTTTAAAGGGTGTTAAGCACCAAGGAGAGACATGTCGACATATTTTTGTGTCATGAGAAAAAAATTCGACTTAGAAGACTGCAGTTTACAGTAATCTTTTTATTAAAAGGGGAAAATACAGATTTTCCAAGGGTATTCAGCACAAAGGACAGGCATGTCGACAAGTTTAAACAGTGTTCAGCACCAAGGACAGGCATGTCAGCATGTTTAAAGAGTGTTCAGCACCAAGGACAGACATGTCGACATGTTTAAAGGGTGTTCAGCACCAAGGACAGGCATGTCGACATGTTTAAAGAGTGTTCAGCACCAAGGACAGGCATGTAGGCATGTTTAAAGGGTGTTCAGCACCAAGGACAGGCATGTCGGCATGTTTAAAGGGTGTTCAGCACCAAGGACAGGCATGTTGGCATGTTTAAAGGGTGTTCAGCACCAAGAACAGGCATGTTGGCATGTTTAAAGGGTGTTTAAAGGGTGTTTAAAGAGTGTTCAGCATCAAGGACAGGCATGTCGACATGTTCAGCACCAAGGACAGACATGTCGACATGTTCAGCACCAAGGACAGGCATGTCGACATGTTTAAAGGGTGTTCAGCACCAAGGGCAGGCATGTCGACATGTTTAAAGGGTGTTCAGCACCAAGGACAGACATGTCGGCATGTTTTAAGAGTGTTCAGCATCAAGGGCAGGCATGTCGACATGTTTAAAGGGTGTTAAGCACCAAGGACAGACATGTCGACATGTTTAAAGGGTGTTAAGCACCAAGGACAGATATGTCGACATGTTTAAAGGGTGTTCAGCACCAAGGACAGACATGTCGGCATGTTTAAAGAGTGTTCAGCACCAAGGACAGGCATGTCGACATGTTCAGCACCAAGGACAGACATGTCGACATGTTCAGCACCAAGGACAGACATGTCGGCATGTTCAAAGAGTGTTCAGCACCAAGGACAGACACGTCGACATGTTCAGCACCAAGGACAGACATGTCGACATGTTTAAAGAGTGTTCAGCACCAAGGACAGGCATGTCGACATGTTCAGCACCAAGGACAGACATGTCGACATGTTCAGCACCAAGGACAGACATGTCGGCATGTTTAAAGAGTGTTCAGCACCAAGGACAGACAGGTCGACATGTTCAGCACCATGGACAGACATGTCGACATGTTTATGTGTCATGAGAAAAAAACGTTCGACTTCGAAGACTGCAGTTTACAGTAATCTTTTTATCAAAAGGGGGAAATACAGATTTTCCAAGCGTGTTCAGCACAAGGGCAGGCATGTCGACAAGTTTAAACGGTGTTCAGCACCAAGGACCGGCATGTTGGCATGTTTAAAGGGTGTTCAGTACCAAGGACAGGCATGTTGGCATGTTTAAAGGATGTTCAGTACCAAGCACAGGCATGTCGACATGTTTAAAGGGTGTTAAGCACCAAGGAGAGACATGTCGACATTTTGTGTTCATGAGAAAAAATTCGACTTAGAAGACTGCAGTTACAGTAATCTTTTATTAAAGGGGAAATACAGATTTTCCAAGGGTATTCAGCACAAAAGGCAGGCATGTCGACAAGTTTAAACAGTGTTCAGACACCAAGGACCGGCATGTTGGCATGTTTAAAGGGTGTTCAGTACCAAGGACAGGCATGTCGGCATGTTTAAAGGGTTTTCAGCACCAAGGACAGGCATGTCGGCATGTTTAAAGGGTGTTCAGCACCACGAACAGGTATGCTGACATGTGTACTTGTTGTTTAGCATCAGACACAGATATGTCGGCAAACGTGTGTACGAGGGTCTTATGTAATGCCTGTCCATGTCACAGATACAAAATATGTGTGTCTACAGAGTCTGTATGCCAATAAACTAACATTCGACATTGAATTGAAGTGAGAACTATTACGTTCATACCTGTTGAACAGAAAACCGGAAGACCTGCGACTTATCTAGATTTGTCCAGTAGTCCTGCAGCTTCTTGGTGGTGTCGGTCCACACCTCGTCTGTTTCAGCCCGAGGGACCAAGTCCCACTTGTTACAGACGAAGATGGCTGACTTTGGGTCGAAAAGCGTGTCAGCACCAGTCGTTAGGGACAAGAGCAAGTCACCAAGCTGTACGGGGGGGGGGGGTACGACATCGTCACCCTCAGCTTGCAACTGTCACTTTTGTACACGTCCCTGGTACTACCTTTACATAATAAATATATAGCAAACCTGATAAAGATATATTTTGTGATTAAAGAGAATGCTATGCTGGCACTTATAGCCCTATGGGCCCCTGATCAGATCTGTCACTGGAAGCACGGGCAGCATCTAGTACCCAAATATGATCTATGTAGGTGTTATGATTTATGGTTACGTAACCTTTAACTACCGAAATATGTGGACCTACCCTGTCCCCCTGAACGCCGCCGGCATTCCCGCTGTTGATGACGTAGATGAAGCCAAACGCAGTGGGCAGGTAGGCTTTCACCATGTCAGAAAGTCTTTTGTTCTCTCCCACTCCTGGCGTGTCAACGATTGTGATGCCTCCCTGCAAAACACTTTGTTGATGTCAAATTTGTGCACGGATCCTTCATTGCATCTATGGACATAATTGAATTGTTTTATGATGTTTATGCCTTTTAATCGAAAAATGTAAATATTACGTTTTGGAATACTAGTACATTGTTTCCTACCTACACATCAAACTCACCTTAAGCAGGGGAATCCCCAGAAACAGCTCGATTCTGTTGTAAGGATGAACCTCGGTGTCGCGCCCCTCTTGCTGGTGTGCATACTTGGCCAACTGTTGCAGACGAGTCCCTTTGTCAGAGCTCAGCACTTCTTCCTCGGGCTCCGACACATCCCACTTATACGCGAGTACCTTCAACAAGGGACACATGTCTATGCTCATTATTGCCTTCATATAAACACTGTAAGATAACAATTCACTTCTACATTATGGTGTCAGACAGTCGGCTACCGTCTTATATATTGGATATTAAGACAATACTCATCAGAATTTTATTGTGGCATAATACATACCTTTTCTCGTTCGCCATATTTCAGCTCACAGATGACGGATGTTGAGCTGAGAAAGGAATGTGGCAGCAAGTCTTCCCCCAGGATCAGGTTCAGTAGAGAGCTCTTCCCGGCAGATGTCTCACCTGTGTTGACAGATAGTCATAAACCTGCCACACTTCCATATTTATAGGACTATTAAAGATGTATATATAGAATTCATATACATGATACAAATATATTCAATCCCTCGGGCTCAGCACATGCATAGCTTTTTGTGTGATAAATGTCTTGTTGTGGAATCTGAATTTCAAAACATCTGCATCTATTGACAAGAATTCTGATATCTATACTTGATCATGCATGATAATTGACGAGGCCTAGGGTTTTCACCTGCAACCACAATGTGGCACGAGTCATCCATGAGTTTGCCCATCTTCTCCTGGAGCTGCGCGTGGAACCCTGGGAAATTAGCCTCCAGCTGCTCCCTGGCTGAGCCGTGAAGGCTGTCGGTATACCGGATGGTCCGCCTGTAGAATTCCACCAGTTCCTCACGTCTCGCGCGATCTTGTTTTATCACGTCTGACACAACGGACGGGACCTATGATAACAAAGGTGATGTGTCAGTTGTTTGGATAGCAAAGGCTATTTCACATGCGTCAAACTTCAAGATAATGTAATCGCTAATTCGAGGGGTTCATGTCAATATTTCTCGTGTTTATTCTCTTCAATAAAGAATATAGAACGAATGGCCAAAAAACGACATCTCCTGTTTATTCGCAGAGATAGCAGTAGTGGACAGTACTTAGCTTCATGATGGGAGTTAGGCAACTTAGTTAGGCGTCAATTAAACTTCTACCATTAGAACTAGTGTTTTGTTTGTCTACTATGCAAAAACCTATCGTGGAAACAGCGCAGCTGCTTGTTTGTGATATCAAAGACGCTTATCGCCATGGCTCGCAGTGTTGAAGTTGAAGAAAGATACAGCCAGAACATGTGCGTCATTTCATATTATGTTGTCGACGTTACTCGGTGCTGAAATGGTGCATGATTTACCTAATATACTTATATACTAAGTACCAATGGACACACTAAATTTCACACTTAATTTCTAAAGTTAAAAGATATTGTAAATCGTGCAGACATATCTGCATAACCGTGGCATCTTATTTGCAGTTATCCATCCGATGCCATTGCCTCATTGCAAACCATTGAATATGAAGGACGAAACACTTCACTTTCAGCTATCAGTACTCTCATACAATGGTGACGTATATGTGCGAATAGACGACAAAAGAGCATCGTCATAAAACTGTTGCAATGGCGTACTAGTATTAAGGCCATGGGTCATTGGCACGTATACCTACCCCATTACCATTATGGTAGGCAAAATGTTAATGAAAAACACCTAAAGGATGATATATAGAAACCTTCAACGAATCATGGTATTTTTGCAAGGTACGGCTAATGTAAAGACTCTTGTGAGGGCATAGAGTCACACATATGAACAGGCAAGAGTCACCCATACATACAGACAGATAGACAGACCAAAGAAATACCTCCATTTTTATGGAGGTAATAACGGCACGCTACCCTTACGGTTAACATGCGTGAATTTTGTTTCAAAGTTGTTGTATACATCCTTCATATGTTTACAAATCTGGTGATAAGTCCCGCAGCAGGCCTATGCGGCGCCACGTTGGTGAAATGTTTATTCTCTTAGCCTGTCATGCGGCGATTAACCTTGTAAAGGGGGCGTGGCGTCGTAGGAGCAAAGCTGAGCAAACAATGAATTTCTCCAGGCGTGTGCAAATACTGAATTTGAAATATTATCAAACGTGCAACAACACCATAAGATGCATACATACATAAATAACAAGAGCCACCAAGTTAAAAGGGTGATAGATTATAGCTACCCATCTGATATATCAAACATATACTAGTAGCATTTCTGGATCGTTCATTTAGTGACTGCTTTGCTAGCTTCTTCAGCAGACAGATCTGTGCACTCTCTACTTACAATAAAATAGACTTTAACACGAAAATGCTCCGGAATATTGTGTCTTCTGTCAGCCCACAAACCTTGTCTACATACTACATTACGCGGTAACAGATAGTCGTGTTTCTGGGCGTCGTTAAGGTCTAGCCGGTCACGCGCAAGGACGTGGGACATTGCATATTATAGTATCCAATCAGGTGGCACCACCCCATGTTTGGTACGTACTTTGCCTCACTCCCACTTTGCGCTCTTAAAACAGTGGCGCTTCACGAGACACTTTCTTCAAACTCCCGACGAAAACCAAAGGTAAATCTTCAAATTATGTTTGTGCTGACTCTCTATTCCCTAAGGAATAACATAACTTTTATGGTGAGCATGGAGGATCGAGTAAGTGAGTGAATTAGCTACCCAACAGAGAGATAGAAGTCCTTTAGTCAACCAACACTTTATGTTACAAGTAGTTTCACTTTTGTGCTGTATGTTCATATTAGTATTACGGCCATGGATCAAAGGCACGTGTACCTAACCATTTACCATATGGTAGGCAAATGTTAATGAAAAACACCTAGAGGATGATCTCGTTGACCGTTTTAATAGTTTTAGACACATGTATGTAATCACACTTACCATTTCTGGAGTCCATTTCTTGGCACCAGGTTGGTTTGCTAACTTCTTCAGGAGGCAGATCTGTGCATCCTCTACGGTTTCAATATCATCGGTGTCAAGGCCGAACTGCTCCAAAAGGTCGCATGCTTCCAGCAAAGCTCTGACCTGATATATCCTGTCTTCCGACAGCTCGCTACTTATAAAACTAGCCATTGCTGTAATACAGAATATCCAACCAACGGCTGGTGGCGAGACTTGTCCTACGGTACCCTCACCTACAAATCCCACTGAGCCAGCGGACGTTCATGTTTGTTATCCAATCACGTGCAAGGTGACATAACATTTTCATCCAATCAGATCACAACAGCTCATACACGTACAACCAGGCGCATGCAGCACATTGTTTTAAACTGCTTCATCGCTGATATTAACGCCAGGACACACTACTTTCAACTACCCGCGAATGCCGAGGTATGATTCTGTTAAACTTTGCTAACTGAAAGAACAGCGTTACACACTACATAAAGTCTCCACAGTAACAAGTCGTTCAGTGTATAAATTAAAACAATAATGTCTCTTGTACAACAGTAATGTTTGAACATATGCCATGTTTTTTCTCCTTTTGAGACATGGCCGACGGCACGGCTATCGTCCAGGATCAAGGTGAAGAAGAAAATGAGCTAACCGAGGAAGTCATCTCAAAATGCAACATTACAAGAGCCAGAAAGATTTCCAAAAAACACAACATCCCAATCGACAATCTAGAAAACCTCGAGGAAATGCGACAGCGATTCCGTCAACACATGAAGCAGGGTGAAAACCAGGCACGCAACGAGGTAGATAATATTGATACTTTGTAGTGAATACAGTCACGTAAAACAGGAATTAGGAGAATTAACGTAACATAACACGTGATAGGTGACATTGTCACAATCGGTGGGGCTGACATTAGAAAAATGCGCCGCCACATATGCATTGGTGTACTGTTTATTCTCCCAGCCTGCCATGCAAATATGTAGTACACGTATCTATCTGACCCTTGCGACAGATAACCTTGTAAAAGGGGGCGTGGCGCCGTAGGAGCAAAGCTGAGCAAAACTTGCAAAGAGGGTGTGACGTCATAGGCACAAAGCTGAGCAAACAATGGATTTCTTCAAGCGTGTTTAAACACTGAAAGTGAAACATGATTTAACGTGCAACAACACGATAACATGTATGCATAATCATACATGTAACTACAGCAACTAGGCGGATGATGGATAAAAGCTATCCATCGATCTGACTTCACACTTAGCATTTCTGGAGCCTCTATTTCTTGTTACTAGGATATATGCAGCTTTGCTAGGTACTTCAAAATACTTCTGTGCTTCCTCCAATGAAATTATAAAATCGGCTTTAACCACGTCTTGGAATATTGTATCTTCTGTCAGCTCGTAACTCACAAAACTTGTCATCATGATAATTGCTACTTCAATATGTGATCATAGGCAACTGCAGGGTAGCAGGTATCTGATAGTCGTGTCAGTTCACTGGACATCGTTAAGGCCCGCCCGGTCACGCGCAAGCACATGGGACGTTGGTATCCAATCAGGTGGCACCGCGATATGCTTGGTACTTTGTCCTACATGAACCCTCACATAGCGCTTTACTTGACAAAGCGATTTGCACCCTCTACCTGCGAAAGCCAAAGGTAACTCTTAAATGATTGTACTTATTAAGTAAGGAATAACATACCGTTTATGATGAGCATGAGGATAGAGTGAGTGAGTGAATTAGTTACTCATAGGAGAGATAGAACCTCCTTGAGTCAACCAATACTTTATGTTAACTAGTTTCACTTTTGTCAGGTGTGTTCGTATTACGTAGTATGATCTTTGGCGACGGTAGTTTAAAACAGCGCCCACGTGGGAAGAAAATAGCGGTCATACATTTGCGTAAACATTACAGTGCGTGTGTGTGTGTGCGTGTGCGTGCGTGCGTGAGTGTGTTTGTGGGTGGGTGGGTGGGTGGTCGCGCGCGTGTGTGTATGTATTTTTGTGTGTATTTGTTCGTACGTGCGTGTGTGAACATAACTCCAGAAGCTGTGCATGGATCTTTATGATATTTGGTATGTGTTGGCCAATTAAAAAAAATGCTAAAATTATGGACCCCTTGGCGGCTTTCTAAGGTACTGCAGCACGACTTCCGGTTTTCTCGTCATTATGTGGTAGCTCCCCGGCTTCTGAATTTTCAGTCTGCTGAGTGCAAGTCATGAATAGGGTTCACATCACCTTGCATGGATTCATGTGGCGGTTTTTCTCAAAGGCAGTCATGGCTGATGGTACAGCTACTACCCAAGACCAAGGTGAAGAGGGAGAGAAGCTAACTGAAGACGTTATTGCAAATTGCAATATCAAGGCGGCCAAGAGGATTTCTGTAGCACACATGATCCCAATCGATGGTCTGTCGAACATCCAAGAAATTCGACAAAGATTTCGCCAACACCTGAAGCAAGGAGCAGAACGAGAAAGCAAAGAGGTAAAGATTTTTGCAATCCCCAACAGCTATTGTGTTATCCGTTACGCCACAGCAAGTAAACTCTATGGATGGCACCCTCCGCAGACTCCAAATTGAATGCAAAAGAGTGAGAAAACAAGGCGGGCCAAAAAAAAACAAGATTTCTACATTTTTTTTTCATTCCAGCATTTCATGACCAAACATGGCGACGGCTCTGCCGCTCACCACACGACCCCACATTTTTCTACATTTTTAAATTTTGAGATCATAAATCTTGTTAAACAAACTTAGTGTTGAGACAAAACATGATATCATAACCAACCGGGGCCTACTAGTAAATTTTGAGATCATAAATCGAGCTTAGAATCGAGACAAAATATGATATCACAACCAACTTGAGCCTACTAGTAGATAGGCTACATTCCTTACGCCACCTCCCTGGCAATTTTGTATGTGGTCAAGGCACGATTAGGCTCCGCCATGGAGTTATAGTTCGATATCGTATATTTACATGCTTGTTTGCTTGTTATCTCAACCAAGTCCAACCTAGCCGAAATTAGTAACTAGAGTTCCACGACCTCTTGCCTGGGTGCCAGACTGTTGCAGGGACAGTAGGCTCCAGAGTCAACGTGCATTATGCATACATGTTATGGTGTTGTTGCACGTAAAATCGTGTTTCACTTTCAGTGTTTGCACACGCCTGGAGAAATCTATTGTTTGCGTTGCTTTGCAAGTATCGCTGGGGACCAGACGACGCCACGCCCCCTTGGCAAGGTTAAATGTCGTCATATTTGACACGAGGGCTGATTGAACAAATGCTGTAGATTTTATCAAGCATTGACAGTTTCTATTAGATATTTTGATGTATTGACTAGGTGTGACATGTCTTGGATCTTAACTGCAGTCCGCATTGACGTATTTTCGGAACTGTCTTTAGGTACTTCCGAAAATACGTCAATGCGAACTGCAGTTTAAAATCCAATTTGACAGGTGGGGCAAATGCATTGCGCAATGTATTGAAGAGTGGAAATGTTTGAAGAGTGGGGAAGGGAGAAGAGGTGAGAAAGTGGTGAGTTTTCTATGCTTACTATTTTTTTCTGACATGTCACACCTGGTCAACGCATCAAAATATCTAATAGAAACTGTCTTTAGGTACTTCATGTTGTGTCAGATCTGAAGGACAAGGACGACAGCGCTCGAAGACGCCTTCAGGGGCTCCTGGAAGAGATACAACAAATTCTCCAAACCTGTGATACAAAGATTCTGACGCAACTTGGGTGCGAACCATACACCGCGGACCACAAAACCAAAATAGCCGAACACTTGCAGAAGTTACAATCTGCTGATTGCCCGATTCTTGTTGCAGGTGTGTCGTTGGTATTCATATATGGCAGAGCAGTAGATGTGTTTTGATTGATTCAGTTAAACTTGAGCTTTTCCCTGCTTCCCAACCCTGTAACCAATGAGCGAGAATAAGGATAAATGGAAGACATAAAACCCTCCCTAGACTTTTCTAACGGAGCAAAGACAAATAAAAGCTCTTCTTCCAAATCACCAATTCTCTATAAGTTAATTGTAGAAGCTTACCGACATAAACAAGGTCAGGTCCACTGTATTGGTGGTGCGTTTATTGAATATATTTATATATAACGTTTTTAGGGGAGACATCGTCCGGTAAGAGTAGTCTGATCAACGTCTTGCTCGGAGAAGACCTTCTGCCATCACACCACCTGAGCTGCTCATCCGTCATCTGCAAAGTCCAGTATGGGGAGGAGAAGAAAGCCGTCGTCCATTATGAACGGAAGCCTCCAGCAACCATTCCACTTCCCGAGGGGATGGACGACCTCGCCCAGCATCTGTTTAAGAAGTCGGACCGGGAGAAGGGATCCGAGTGCAAGGAGGTTGACATATACCTTCCACTGGACTATCTGAAGGTGGGATCGGGAGTGAAGAAACCTTCCTTCTTGATACACTTCATACATATCTTGAAAAATAAACAAGCGTTGCAATAACATAAGACGATCGCGGTGTTATTGATGAAACTTTTGTGTTGGTTGTGTGAAAATCTGTGTATTGACTTGACTTACAGATGTGTCTTACTCATATCATGTATCGTTGATCAACCTTCCAAATCCCTGTCCTTTCTACAGAGCGGGGTTTTCATCGTGGACAGTCCAGGTGTCGGTGAGTCAGACATCATGACAGCGGCAGTGACAGAGTATCTGCATCAGGCGTTCGCTTTCATCTACGTCATCAAGAGTGACAATGCTGGAGGTGTTCAGGATGATAGGGTGAGCTTTCGGCGTACCAACAAATTTACTCAGTCTGACTGCATATCAAGCCAATTAGGTTGGAAATGTCGCACATGTTTTGAAATAAAACTTGGTGCTCTACGTATACTAAACATTGCAACTACTGTTACAGCATGCGCAGTACACAAATTATTACTAGGAGTTACCTGTGGCTTGTAGTATGATTCCTTTATGTTAAAACATCTTTACGGCGACAAGTTGTATCTTTGTTTGATTTTGCATGATCAGCTTAAGAAACTCCTGAAAGAAGTAAAGAAGAGAGACAAGCTACAGGCTGTCAACCCTGCCAGCGCCATCTTCGTGTGTAACAGGTGGGACCTCGTCGAGAGCCACGGGGCAGAGGAAGCTGACAAAGTCAAGCAGGATATCATCAGGTGAACCATTTTGTAACTAATATAATCCAGTAATTTCTTCACTTTATGTTTGGTTCCTATTTCTTTGTTTGGTCCCTATTTCAGTAGTATATTTTCAATATACTATTTAGGAAGTTACGTGCCTGCTGGTCTGGATTGCAAGACCACCAAGTGTTCTTCATGAACACCAGACGGGCAGCACAAGACCGCGATGCGGGGTACTTGTCTGAAGACTTGGAGAGCCTCATCAAGGGGATTGAAAACCTCATCCCGCGCACTTTTCAAGCGAAGATACAGTTTTCATGGAGGTATGCATGTGTTGCATAAATATGCGTCATAGTTCATATTAACTATCAATTGAAAATATCACACATCACACACAAATACACACACACACGCGCGCGCGCGCGCGCGCGCAAGGACACAGGAACACATTATCAAAGAGTGCTTAAACTTTCTTAGCACCTAATGAACGATACTGTCCCTTATTTTCAGTTGGGTAAGGTATCTGGTTCAGCGCGCATTACACCACATTCAATCGTTTCTGCTGAAATCCACCGTCAGCAGCACTCAACTCCACAAACGATACGAAAGAGCAAAAGATGAGATCAAACACCTTCGCGAAATCGCAGGCCAGATTCTGAGTGACCAGGCGAAAAAGCTGGAGGAAACCACCCGTGAACTGATCGACTTGATGAGCGCATTTCTGGGAGAAGAAACAACCGAGTCAGCCATGCAGACTTGGACGGAGTCGGAGGTCCCAGAAGTCGTGCCTGGCATGGAGTGGGAGGTGCTGCAGTACGAGATAGAGTCCTGCATCAGCGCACGCCTCGAGGAGCTCATTGACGGATGGGAGATGAAACACTTCCAGACAAAGATCGACGAGCTGCTGAAGACCGTCATGCAAGAAATGAGTGGCGTCGAGTTACAGCTTTCGAAGGTCGAAGAAGAGCTTCACAGCCCGGATGGACGTCAATCTTTCGTTCACAGGCCGGACAGGCCACAGCAGAAGAAGGGGGTGCGTGACTTCGTCGATTTCTCTACCGAACATATGGATCTATCGGACAAGATACTGCTCGGGATTACGACACCTTTATTAGCCACGTTTGGAGTCATCGGGGCAGTGGCCGCGACCCCAGCATTGGCGGTGATGGGGATTAAAGCACTGAAGAAAAAGTACACCGACCAGCAAGAAAGAAAAGGTACAAGGCTGACAAGTGCAAGTACGTAGCCGAACAGGCAATTCAGAGGCTGGAAGACTTCCGTGCAGATGACGAATCCATTCGTAAGTACGTCCAAGAAAGGCTCAAGCCGGTGCAAGACTATCTACAAGCGTTCGAGGATAACCTGCCACGAAAGGTGCAAGCACAGCTCCAACTGATGGAAAGCATCGCGCTGGATCAGCGCACGGCGAAGGAACTAGTGTCCGACTACCAGCCGCTTCTGGAGAGGGTCAGTGGCGTGAAGACCAGGCTGGCCCTGTTTGAGTTGGAGGGGCTCAATCTGCTGGATCCCGACCGCGTGAGTGTGATGCGACACCCAGTTTGACCCATGAGCTCCATAAAGTCGCCGACACATCCTTGAAGAAGGGGACAGTGACGAAACCTGACGGGACCAGAATGGACGCAACTATCAAGTCATACAAGAACAAGATAGACGAAACAACCATCGGGGACTTTACCAGCATCAGGTGTGTTGACATAGTTAAATAGACAAATACAACTTCAGCAGACACAATCATGACATTTTCATCTTCTTTTCGTATCTCAAATTCCATCAATAAAATGACGCATCTTGAGATTACTTCCATTTTTAGATTTTGAATGAAATAATGGGACATGCCAGGCTGCCTTTTTGTCAATAATCAATTATCGGCAAAAATTTGTGTGGTTCTCACCAATGCCTTTCATTAGGAGGCTGAAGCACGACAATATCCTCCGTTTCATCGGCATCTGCTTCACGGAGGAAATTCCACAACTCGTCCTACAGGCAGCAGATTGCTGTCTGCGGGAACATCTGCAAAAGATTCCCAACATCCCGATGGTCAAGTTCGGACGGTCCATCCTGCCAGCCATGCGGGGCGTCTGTGCCGGGCTCCAGCATCTGCACAGCAAACAACTCGTCAGCTTCGGCTTGTCGCAGGACACTGTCCTGGTACGCTTTGGGCTTTACTAAGTACCATTCCTCGTAGCTTTCTATAACATGATTAGAAATTTTATTCATTTACAGAACACAATTCTGCATTTTGTTAGTAAAGAGCAGTTCTAATTGATTGCCTTTAAAGAAGCTAACGTCTCGAATTCTATCGTTTAAGGTTATACATGACGAACAGGACATCAGAGAAAACAGATTCAAGCTGGCACACGTGGGTGAGCCAAGGGCACTTCACCTGCAACCCGAGGACTACAGCGGTCCGGCAGGGCCACACGTCTACTTACCTCCTGAGGTGCTGCGTGCAGAGGTGGCGTATGACGGCCGTTCGGACATGTACGCACTGGGGCTCATGATGTGGGAGGTCTGGTATGAACAGAAGGTAAGCAGAGTTTAATGTCGTGTCTATGAAGAGCATTTGGACGACAGTAGTAGAAATATGGATGGCAAGAAAATTGTGTAGCATTCCCTGCTATACACAAGAAACGATCTTGCTCTAAAAAGCACAATTTTGCTTTTGTTTACATGATGCTCATCTATTCCTGGCAGGTGTTTGACGAGGCCAAGACTCTGCAGTCTTTCATCGACACCAGCATGCACCTGGAGACGTCCGCTCACCATAAACACAGCACCGTGGAAGAGGAAGCAGGGGAAACATGGCGGGCCGTCATTCAGGACTGTCTGCTACCGCCTGACAAGCGTGACCTGACGCCCTCGCAGGCCACAGAAAGGCTTGAGGACATAAACTGGCACTAGGTATGATCATTGATAGCCGGATATGAAGTAGATACAAGCTGAACCTATGTAAAGGTTTTAAAAGTGACTGACATACTTGAAGTATTCCATTAGTGCATAGTTTGCAAAAGGTAGTCTGATAAAACTATGTGATAATGAAATTGCCTTGCAAAACTTTATCCCTTGTTGTTCAACTTATGTTGACTATCACACCGTATGTTGGACCTAATTTTGATAGAATGTTGTGATACTAGGCATGTGTGAAGAGATCATATATATTATCTGTACCCACATATATATTACGACTGATTGCTCATTTGAGAACAAACCTGTGAAGAAATAATCCATTTTTCATTTTACCTATTTGGATCTGCTCGGAACAATTTAAATTTTCAACTTCTATTAATCACAGATACATGAAAGAGGTATAAGTAAATTAGCACCTCCAGAGACAGGAAATCTAGTTTATCAATACATTACTTTTATTCCTCATCATTTATACAATAGTCTGTACTGCTGACATATTGAGGCCTGTAGTAGCTTACTAGTAATTTGAATACATGCTCATATAGAATGACATGAATTGCTTTTCACAGTTCTCTTTTAGGTTACATCTATATCAATACATAAGTACATGTAGCTGCAAGATAAACTCCATCATAATCAATATACAATGAAATGTATATTAGACATATGTTTGGTAATTTGGGACAAGAAGCTTGTGTTAATGAATATGTTGTGCACATTTCCACAGTACTATATGGAAGTCTCATTATCATTTTGCTCTTCTAATTATTTAGAACCACTAATAGTAGCCTGCCCATGTGCATTTAGTGATACCTTATACCTTGTAAGAGTCTTCATTCACATACATTTTCCTTGCCTCAATTGCTGTGTATGCTAACATGTGGCCTCACTTATACATATACATCTATATCCATAGCATTGATTGCTACACATTACAGGAAGAGAATGGAAAATTTGCATGTCATGTAAAATCATTAGTGAAGAGTTTTAAGTTTAAGTTGTACATTATTAGCATTTTTCTGATCAGAAACATTTCAAGTGGTCTCCAACCATCCATGTAAGAGACAATTAACTTAAGCACACCTATGTTTCATATGATACTGTACACTGGTATACATAATTATTCATAACACAAAAAAAATAGTATGATAAAAATAATTATAACAGGAAACTTGTTAATCTGACAATATCACTTTGGCACTCCCTAACACAATGAAAGAAAGAAAAATCAAAGGTTTGCCCTGAATCTAACAAAATACATGTACTACATCTTTGTCAAAGTACCTTTAGCTAACAACATGCTTGCAGGATATTGAATACCACAAGAAATAAAGTAATCTAATTAGAACCCAATGTCAGTTGTTTATTTCTTTTCTGACTGGTCATGTGACTGAGAAGCTTTAAGTTGACTCAAAATCTTTTCCTGCAGTTTCTGCTGAGCCTGACTTCTTGCCGTCGCCACTGTTGCAGGCTGAGCTCTAAGTACAGTAGTAGCCACAGGGCTTCTCAAGGCAGCTGATGTTGGTGCTGCACCTGACACAGCTGTCATGGTGGCACCTGATACAGCTGGTCTGGTGGCTCCTGGGACAGCTGACACAGCCACACCTGTCAGGACACCCTTGGCCGGTGTGAGATGTGTGGTTGTGACAGACTTGGTCATGACTAAGTTAGGAGGGAGCGTTGTTATGATTCCTAGAGACTGTGCTACTGCAGAGGGTAGGAAAGTTGGAGTGGCACGGGAAAAGGGATGCCCAGTTATTGACACTGCTGGCTGCTGGGCACCAGTTCTGGGCTGTCCCAGTGATGCCAGGGTCTGTGCCTGGATGGTGGGTGTAGGGAGTGCAGAAGGCTGCCCTGATGCAGAGGGAGACTGTGTCTGGATCTGCTGGGTCTGCCCTGCTGCACCAATGTTTTGTGCCTGTTGCAGCACAGCTGCAGGTGTTGTGGTTGGTGTTGCCGGCTGAGGCTGTCCTGCTGCACTTGCTGCAGGTGCCTGACCAGAAGCGGCAGTTCCAGGTCCGTGCCCTGCCCCCTGAACACTCAGCCCAGGCACTTGGCCTATCACAGTGGCAAACCCTGGCAGTTGGCTCTGTCCTTGGATCTGGAAAGGCTGTGTTATGAAGCTCAGGGGCTTCCCTGTGACAATGGGCCCAATCTTAGTGCCAACTGGCATCTTAGTTAGAACAATACTTTTACCCAACCCTGCTAGACTGGCAGTAGGAAGGGTGCCACGCAGGATGGTAGGAGTGGTGATAGCTGCACCCTTCAGGAGGCCTGGGCTGAGCTGGCTGAGTTGGATTGGCTGAGTCAGCGGGATGGTCAGGATCTGGGTAGTAGGACTCGTCACACCAGCTTTCTTCACATCTATGTTAGCTGCCCCACTAGTGGAGGGAATCATCCCAATCCCCTCTGGGCTGATGGTGAGCCCTGCCCCAGCTGCACCTATCTTAAGGCCCTGTGCTGTGGGGCTCTGAACCATGGGGGCTGTGGGGGAGGGTCCTGCAGAGGACACAGTGGGGGAGGCCCTGATGGGGGACTGCATGGGAGGAGGGGAGATGACCTGGGGCTGCTGCACATGCTGGACTACAGGGATCTGGATCTGTTGTTTGCCTGATGTCACAATCACAGAAGTCACCACGGGCGGAGATGTTCCTGTGCTGCCGACCATGGATGAAGGAGGGGTCTTCAGCACACTGCGGGGTGGCTTTGTGATGACAGCACTTGTCCCTGTCACTGGTGGGGACAGAACACTTTCTGCAGCCTGCAGGCCTTGTGGAGGCATGACTAGTCTCAGTCCAGGCTTTGTGGAGGGCCTGTGTGTCAGGGGTGCCCTAGGCGGCTCTGCTACCTTCAGCTGTACAGGCTGGGCCACCTTCAGCCGTGGGACTTGGAGGTCGAGGGACACTCGTGGTTTAGGCTGGGGGGCAGACTTCTTGGCTGGTTCCTGTGCCAGTGGTGATGGTGGCAGGGTTGGCTTCAGGGCAGCGGGTGTCGGCAGGCTTGATGTTGGACTTGAACTCGGCTGGGAACTAGGCTGACTTGAGGTCAGGGATGTTGGGATAGGCGAGATACTCTGGAAACCTGAAATACATGGATGGAACTTCATTTAAATTGAGAACCACTTTGACAGGACTGAGGCTTTTACTACCTTACAATATGCATATTTCCTCCATTTAAACTTTAGCCAAGTTCACATTCAGGAGAATGTACATGTTACAGGATGATATTCCTTTTGCACAGTATAACTAAGGTAGTTGATTGTACTCTTCTGACCTGGTGGGAGGACTGGAGGCTTGGGTGAAGGTGTGGATGGTGCAGACTTGCACCTGGTCAGCTCTGAGCTCACAGCTGTCTTTGCAGGTGCTGTCACAGTTGCAGACGTAGCTGTTACAGATGTAGTCATGGCTGTGGAGCTCACAATGGCAGGCTGCTTGGATTTCTAGAAAGTGTAATGTTCAGAATAGTTTTACTTACATGTACATGATGATAAGGACAACACATTGACATGATTAGGTGATAATCTTCAAAGATTTGGCATTTAAAGGACAGGAAAATTACATTTAGAATTATTTGCCACAGAAAACATTCTTTGTGTATAATCATAACATACATTCTACAAAATGTAATGCTAAGCAATTACAGTGTTACAGTGACACTCAGTTTAGTTCTATTTCATCTAAACAGACTGAACACAAAAATATGCCATGTTGATTATGGTGGTCAGTGAGAAGGCAAGACTGCATATAATCCTTTGAACTGGTCTAATAGAAGACAAATATTGACACCTTGGCAGCTTTCTGCTTCTGTTGAGCTGCTTTCTTCTGTCTGGCTGCCTCCATTTCCACCTCATGGATTCTCACTGAAGTACAGGAAGCAGGAATCAGATCAAAGAAATCTTATCTTTATAATATACGATAAGCAGCAAATCTCATGGTTCATTTTCCACAGTGACAGCATTATGTACATCATATAAGATACCATATTACATATCAATATACCATAATACATATGCCTTTAAAAATAATCTTATAGGGTATGCATTGATCAAATTTACACTAAATTAAATATACTGTGCCTGTGATACTACCAAGAACTTTTTTGTGATACAACCAACCCTTTGACTGTGCTTCAACTGTTTGTGATAGATGATGTAATTGTGCCTTACTGAAATCCTCCTCTGTCCTGTTCCTGTGCAGGTAGATCCACACCTTCCTGATAGGGTCGTACTTTACACAAGGGTCCTTCTCATAGTGCAGTCTGTCTAAGGCTCCACTCACTACAGCATTGATCTGAAATTCATGTGCATAATCAGGTCTGTGAATGACTGTAACATACATGACTTGGATTGTATGATTATCACCACTGTTAGGCCATTTGACATACCTTGATTAAATTAACAAGAACAAAAAGTTACCTGTGAGTCAGTTGCATCTTTAGCCAGATAGCTGGAGTCCTTCAACAGCTCACAAATCTGAAGTCAAGACACACAGGTGCAAAATTAGTAAGAATTCTAAAATTACTAGATTCAGATTGAAAAGGAAATGCAACTAGTAGTAACTATTCATGTCCTAGCCTGAGTACTGTTTGAAAGTTTTTCTACATACCTCCGCCCTGGTACCTTCCCCATTTGGAAGCCTTGCTGCTGCATCTCGAACTGGAAAAGGACATCAGGTTAGTGGCAAAGGGGGTACGAATACAACCGTTACGCTGTTCAACTAACAGTGCAATTGTCAGTACAAATTCTGTATTGACTCTCTCTCTCTTAAGACTCTAAATAAGGTACAACTTACAATCCATTGGTAAATCAAATCCAGTCAGAGACGTTTCTAGAGATTAAAATTGGTGTATTGAAACAAAAGACTATATTGTGATATACATTTGTACATGCTACATCAATGACATTTATGGCACCGTATCAACATACCTAATGAGAGTATTGTGACACAAGCTGGGCGATCAGGCACAAGTAGGGAGTGTTCCCTGGCCTTGTTAAAGGTGGTTTCCTTTCCCTTCACTCCCTTGACCGGTCCCACCACAGCCTCGTAACCGTGCATGCGGTATGTGAAGGGTTTGTGGGGCCCCTGGTAACGGGCTTCCTCCTGAAAAGGTGTGGTAAGGTTTTGCGTATTTTCTAAGAATACTGTTTGTAAGAAAGTCGTCAATTTTGTAAATGATTTGTCATACTGTTATAGAAAATGTACGATATGAACATTAGCAAACAATAGTGAGTATTTTTATAGTAAGAGCAATGTTGGTTCAAGACTTAGTGATGTTTGTGGGACTACTTAATTTAAAGCAGAGAAGTTTGGAGTATGTATTTCTAATGTTTCAGACAAACCTGCTTCCTGAACTCCTCCTTTTCCTGCCCGTTACTTGGCCTGACAACATAATCAGTTCTCCTGCAGTAACAAGGAAACATTCACATCTTCAACCAAAGGAACACTGGGTAATGATTTGTAAAAAATGAAATATAAAAAATACGCAGCCAGTAACCTACAATTAGTGGGTTTCTATGTGTTAATGTAAAGATTAAAGATGTCCCTTCAAATACTTCATGCTGATTACTTTTTAATGATAGCAAACAGGATTATCTCACATTCTGGGAGGAGGAACAGGTGAGCTCTGTTTTCCTTCTGTCTCCTGCAAATGGAACAATATATATACGATTGATTATCAGTCAGAGAGGTAAAGGTAAAGTAAAAATACTGGTACTAGTTGTATTGGCTTGTGTAACTTTACTGTAATATACGTAACTTGGTTGTAATGTTTAACATCAGGTTAAATGTTCTTCTTCATCTTCTCTGAGTCTGTATACACAGGTTTCATCTTAATAGTCTGTTCTCTGAAACATCATTATGATATGTTACTGAAAGATGAAATTTGTGGCAATATTTTCATTAGACTGACCTGTTTCTGGTTCAGACCCAGTCCCTGTAGCCACTGTTTACACAATAATGTCAAGTCTGAATCTGAGGCTTGTCCTGGTGGAGAAAACAAAACAGCAACTGATATATAATTTCAAACAGCCTTAAGTTTAAAAATTGGCATTTTATTTATGGCAGATAGTAATAATTAGAAAGACCTATATCTATCCAATAGAAAAATTTGCATGCTTGTCACTCAACATGTTTATAGTACTGTAATAGGCATATTCAAAGAAAGCTGACCTATCCATTTCCAGTCCTGAGTTCCGTTCCTGTACTCCACACAGGGGCTGAAGGATGGAGGCAATGCTGGCAGGAGGGAAGGTGTCCACGGGTCAGTCAGATAAAACAATTATCAGAAGGGAACAAAATTCTAGGCTATACAACATCTACATTGTATTACAACTTGAATACACTGAGACACCAAAAGAGCCTTTGTGACATTCATGTGCCACAAGTGTGCAGTCAATCATTCAAACATCTACATCAATATTTGTGTAGTAAGTTATTTCTTTGTTGAAGAGGTTAAAAACTAATCATACTACATTATGTTCCATGCACGGAAGTAATTAAAATGTTGTTATGTTGTTTGTATGGTTACCAGTCCATTGGTTATTAGTAAAAAAAAAGTCCAGTCTGTCTCACTGCCACTGACCATTGGATTTGCCAGCCAGTAGTCTGAGGGCAGGTAGAACCAGTTGAGACCAGTCCCTGTGTGTGGAGTACCAGGCGTTCAGCAGGCTGGTGGGAGCTGACTGCCAGTCTCGCACATACTCCTCCAGCTGGGTAGGGGAAACAGGGACGTAAGACAGGGCGTACACCAAATCTTATCTGTATCTGTATCTGTATAGCCAGTATAACCGCCCTTTGGCGTAACACACCAGCTTTGCAGGCACATGGCGTGGCGGCAGCTGGCTACATTACACCGAACGACTTACACCTAACCCTTGAACATCTAACTCTAAACATTGTTTAAAGTTATCTAATAATTTTTAATGAAGCATTGTGTCATGTAAATTCTAATGCTCAATGATTCAGTGTCCCCACATAACTGATTACAGCTTGATATTTCCATCTTTTCATATAATTATTAACGTTGAGTCAAAAACTACTGTAAAACCTGAAACTGAAAGTAGTGCTGTAAATTAGGAATTTGTTCTGATCTGTGTTCTAATTGAAAATATGTATTTTCATTCTATACACTGCAGCCTACTTGTCTAAATTCAACTCCACCAAAGGAAGTAACTCAACAGTACATACATTGAGTTTCAGTGTACTGGGAGCTATCTGTAGCTACTGATGTCTAGTATATATATATACATGTATATTTCATACTAATATAATACACTGATATACTTCAAACTGCTGACCTGTCTGATACTGAGAGTCTGTTCTGCTGAACGCTGTAGAATGGACTTGAGCAGCACGAAAAAACTGACATACATTCCTCCCACAGACTTTCTGTTAACACAAATACGAAGCAGCATGGTTAGGAGACAAACAGAGCTTGTATCAACAGAGCTCATAACATGGCTTCAGAAGAAAAGACAGTTTCTGACGTTGTCTTTAGCATGGTTGAAAGATCTCTTCACATCTATAAAATTACATGCTTTTTTACCCTGCTGTTTAGACCCTGCTGTACGACAAATTTCAAACTTACTACAAGAATAATCACTCCACATGCAGTGAAACTGGGAGACATGTTGACTTACAGTTTGCCAGTCAGCACCCCTGTCTGTGTAGACGTCACACCTCCAGTGTTAGCAGCACCGAGGGAGGACGGGTCCTCCTCCACCTTGGGCTCTGCTTTGGGCTTCTTCCTGGGGCGATCCTTCTTCTCCTTCTTCTTCACCACAGGTGGTGAAAAGGACGGCATCACTACAAGAACAACACAGACATCATCATCAAATTACTGGTCATGGGAATCTCTTGTCCATTTGATTGGTGAAAATTATCATAGTGACAAAGTCAATCAAACTTTTCTTACATTGCCTGGGTAGAGTGGGTCTACGGTTGGTTCTCAGGATGACTTCGTTAAGGCTCATGCCCTGTGTGTCCAGCTCTGGTGCATCCTGCAGAACAAACAAGCAGTTTGGTTGACAATGTTGAATCAATTCTTTCATAATCTAATTTCAACACATAACATTATGTAACAATACACATTGTAAACATAGAGAATATGTTCCCATGAGACCATATCACATGTCAGACAGACAATGTTTTGGCCACCAGAACTCTACATCTCTACAAAAAAACATTACAAGCGAATAAACAACCCTGCAGACTGTAAAGTACCATGTGGTAACTATGCATCACCTCTTGCTCTGTTCGTCTTCTCTTGTGCCTGAGCAGCATTTTGGTGATGTCCTGGTCAGTGGGAGTGGGGGGAGGGGGTGGGGCAGGGGGAGGGGGCTGGGCAACTGTTGAGGCTCCTACATATGTAGAAACACATGAAAAAACATTATAGATTAAATATAGAATTTCACAGACAGAAGATTTAATTTAGATGTGACCCATTCAAAAACATACAGACATTTTTCTTATACATTTGCACCCCTGTACATGTATATAAAAATGGACCCAATGATGTTACAGTAGGTTTGTAGATTCTAATATATGTAATGTGACTAGCAAATGAACAGGAATGAATATGTATGATTCAATCCAATCCAATTTTCTTGTACAGGTGAGATAACTGAAGTCTGTCTACAATGAAATGTAAAGAGCTTCAAAAATTGAATACAATAGAGCAACATTATGATGACTGTGTGACATTTGTATTTCTAACCTGAAGCCCCGAGATCTGTCCCTTTCGGCCTGGGTGCCATGGTAGACACCACCCTGGGAGTGGAGGGAGGGGAGTCTCCAAACAACATGGACACCTGCTGACTCAGCAGACTGCTCGCCTCTGAGGAAGGGTGAAGGATGAATACTTTTATAACCATCTAAATCAGACAACAACTCTTTTGAAGTGTAAAAATCCTTTCTTGTGATCTTTTACAGGTGTTTTTGCATTCACAACCAAAAAGTCCACACACATTACATGGTGAGTCAGGACAATTTTCCACGTTTCACAGGATCTAATGTCTGATATCTTACTTTAACCTGTTCAACAGGAAAAATGAAATGAGTTAACATCAATTACTAACTCACCCTGGGGAGCCTCTCCTTCCTCATCAGAGGATGTGTTATCATCCACCTGCAAACGAACAAGTCAATGAGGTTTACAAAACATAACCATGGAACTTATGTTTACCTAACATAGGTGAGCATTTTTTTGTTGGAGCTACATGTATAGGAAAATTGTAAATGACACACCGCCATGCATAGCATACAAATGACAAAAATCTAATGCAGGAAACAATATACTAGTGAAAGAGAGTCACTGTGACAGTACTTGTCTGAAGCAATGGCTTTCTGTCTATAGTCTGACATGTATATGTGTGTGTTCCGACACCCTGTTTGTCTTACCCCGCACTCTTCCTTTACTTCCTGTAGTATCTTGTGGTAGGTTCTGGAGGCTCTCTGTTGTACAGGATCTGTGCACGGCCGACCCTGCTGGTCAGGGTGGGGAGGGGGAGGCACCCGGTAGTCTGGACCATTCTGTAGGGCAGACTGCAGGACTCTCTGTACACATGGCAGACATATGCCTATTAGAACCAACTTTATGTCATACCTAGGCCATTATCATGTTTGATACAGGTTTTCTGGACCGTGTAATAACTTAGGTTACACACTGTTGGGCTGGTACCTCGTGTGTACTAGATGGAAGAAGTACAATTGGGCATGGGAGAGTGAAAATCAATATGCTATGATGAATGCACATTGCACCTGAAGGGCAGAGCAATTCACTATCAGTTATACTGACACAATATAGTTGTACATTGTTGAACACTGCTCTAAAAGGTAGGATACAAGCATGTGTCACCTCTCTGGAAATGATGACATCCTTCAGTAGTTTCTGGTAGTATCTCTGCTGGCGGAACTTGTAGTCTCTGAACTTGGCCTTCTGACACTTGGCTTTCAGTCGGGCATTGGCTGGAAACAAGTAGCCACCTACGAGAGGATATGTTCCGGTAATGTCAGTCATGTTTAAATGTATGGTAAATGCAGACAGATAGACAGATACTTTTGTGGTGGTTTTATTTTGCAGTGGCGTCTTACTGGGAAATCATTACACAATTTATGTGATTTATAGGTGTAATGTACTGCATCATTGTTTCAGCTACAAACTTTACACAACATGATAACCAGAGCTCCTTTTCCGTAGGCTTCCTACCACGAAATAAAACTATCACAAAGGTAAATGCTTTTACAGTAATGCAGAATCCTTAAATAAAACAATACAACACAATAAAACTTGTTTAGAATTAGCCATGTAACAACATATTAATGTCTATAGCGTATAGTATTAGTGCAAATAAGAAGTTCCAACTTATAATCTACTGTGAATTATACAAGAGTAAGAACATGCCATATTACCTTTCAGCTGTTTCTGAAATGACTGCAAAGGATTTCCAAATTTGAAATTTTCTCCTGAAAACAATGATCTAGAAAAAAGGAACAAACACATATGACATATTGACACGATTCTGCAAGTCAATGTATCACATTTGTGACATATCAATTACACATTAGTCTTTATCAAAATATTATGCTTTCTTCTATTGTATTGTATTCTATTCCATTTTATATCAAAATATAATATTTTGTAATATTCAAATTAATATAGATTAAAAACTAGAAAATGTAATTTTATTCCAACAGTGAGAATTTCAGCTTCAGAGTGAAAATCAAGTTTGTGCTGGCAATCAGTAAATCCACAGCAGCTAATATACCTGAGAGTTTCTTCGTTGTGCTGGGCGCTGTTTTCAGGGAATGTGGGAAGGAATTTACTGAGATGCTGCCTCTGCTCTGCTGACAACACACTGTTCCAGGTCTCCAGACTCAGGACATCCTGGAAAACCTCAGGCTGAAACAGAGAAATCTGAGATTTCAGACTTTCTGGACATATTTTAGGTATCTCTGACTGTATTGGAACTGTACTGTATGAAATAGAGGTACATCATAGAATGCATTATTACTCATAATATGATTGTATGACACAAATCACTCCAGACTATAGTATACACTACACATCTCTGACATCCCCATAACAGATTCTAACACACTGGGCATACCAGGTCACAACCATGTCAATCAACTGAAACCCAATCTCCACCCACTCACTTCTAATCCTTATTGCTCAGGACAAGATACATACAAACTCCCCATTTACCAGTAATGCCTTTGAAACAATACTTCTGTCCTGGAAGTAAAAGCCAGGACAAGACTTGAGGAACTGTGAGAGACTTGGGGCAGCATATCAGAACAAGAAGTAGGTGTTGTGTTAGCAACTGATATAAATGACGTATATAATATGTTGAAAGAATTAAAGACAACAAGTCTCACTTTTTCAATGAGGTCTCTTGGCACCAGTACATCCTCCTTCCCCAGTCGACATGGTTCCATGTTCAGGTCAACAGCTGGCATCAGGACCTAGTAGAAGATTATGCATCTGGGAACAAATAATTCCAATGATAGTTACCATACATACAATTAAAAGGCTCCAAAAAAATACTATTTGCAAGCAAATACGTGATGTTTCACCAGTACTCTACCATCATCCCGTATCCCTCACCCTTTGTAAGTAAAAATGTTAATGATTATGAAAAATCATACCCGTGCAAAAATTTTGACTGACCCCCTTAAGGATTGGGTCCTTGGTGGAGTTAGGAATGTCCCAGTGTATTAAAAGTGTATTAACCAGTTCAAACCTCCCAACAAAACGTACAGCGAGCATCTCATTAGGTTAAATATTTATATATGTCACCATGCAAAGATTCAAGGATAACTGCAGCTGCAACCGTTCAACCGGAATAACCACCTTGGCTTATCCACCACTAGTACTCTCCACATGTTGCGGCTGGTCATATCAAATCGAGCGACCTGAAGCCGAAAGGTGCTGCTTCTCAGGTAATAAAATGAGCTCTCATAGCAAAAAGATTTTAAACCGCCTTGCATATACCAAGGATTTTGATTGGGACAACAAGGCAACATACCTCCCACATACTCCAAGCTCCTGTTCCTGCTGACTCATGACCTTCGACCTACATAGAATCTACCATTCTATTTATCGGGAGTTTTGGCAATACGACTGAAAATTGTATTCAGCTCTTATCATCAATACACGATACAATATAAATATATCAAGAGAAAAATGAAGATTTTATTCTACCACAATAATGATTATATTCTTTTAAACCATCTATGAACTTATTTATATGGTCATTTAAATATGATAGGCCCTTTTGTAGAATGTATTGTTCTGAATTTACCGCCAACATGGCGGATCAAGACGTCTATGATATCCTGTGCACGGAATTTCGAGAGGCAAGGACCGACTCTCCCGAAGTTCAGCCCACAGAAACTCCAGATGAACACGACGTGATAATCATAGTGGAAGAGAAGGAGTTCCAGGCTCACAAGGCCATTCTTGCCAGCCATAGTGACTATTTCCGTTCTATTTTCAAAGACCATTTTAGCGAGGGCCTTGCGGCGAACTGCGAGGTCCGTCTGACGTGTACAACATGCCAAGGCATGAGGGGAATTCTGGACTACATGTACACGGGCAAGGTCCTCATCGACCGCAGTAATGTTACAGAACTATTCACAGGTGCTCACTACCTTCTCATGCCAAAACTCAAGGGATATTGCGTCTCGTTCCTCGAAAAGAACACAGACGTCTCTTCATGTTTACAAGTCAAGTCACTGGCGGCGTTCTACAGTATCGAGCTGCACGGCTTGTTGAGACAGAGTCGAGAATTCATCAGGAACCATTTCACAGAAGTTGCAGACAGTGACGCAGTCCTGCAGGTTTCTGCGGAAGATTTGATCGAAATAGTAGCAGACGACATGTTACGAGTTACAGACGAACAGTCTGTATTCAGTCTTGTGGTCAGGTGGACCAATCATGATGTTGACGAGAGAAGGCAACACTTCCCTACGCTGCTTCAAAACGTCCGCCTGCCACAGTTAGGAGAAAACTTCTTAGTTAACATTGCATTGAAAACAAAACTAGTGACAGAGGACGTAACTTGTAAAGAACTGGTTATAGAGGCAATCACAGTGATACAAAACCCGCCCGAGTTTGGAGAGGACAGCCTTGGGGTGATGAGTAGAGCAAGGCGTGGCACCCTGAGGAATGTCATCACTGTTATCAGTTCTCAGGACATTTTCTGTTTGGATGTAGATGAGAACTGCTGGGGCAGGTTGAAGACAAGCACAGATAAGTGCCTGTGGTCTCAGGCTGTGGCAATGCTGGATGGTCACTTGTATCTTGCGGGTGGATCATCGGATAGTGTACAGGCCACCAACGATGTCCACCGGTTTGATCCCCTGACCAATCAATGGTATCATGTGTGCCCCATGAAGGTTCGTAGACAGGACTTCTGTTTAGTGCCGCTGGACGGAAAACTCTATGCAATATGTGGCTCCCTGGGAACAGGGTCTCGCTACAAGTCCCACGTATCCGTGGAAAGCTACAGTCCAACACAAAACTCATGGACGTTTGTTGCCTCCACCTGGAAACCCTGCTTCAACAGCCAAGCAATAGCCAGCTCTAACAATCCACCGAATCTACTGCCTTGGGGACAGAGTTGTCAACGTCTGCAGCAAGACAGAACACTGTGTTCCTTAGATATAACCAGTGAAGTTGACCAGTGGGAATCTAGAAGCAGCCCTCAAGTAGATGTGCTGGGCNGCCCAACTCGGCCCACCGCCATGGTCAACTCGGCCTAACTCGGCCCACCGCCATGGTCAACTCGGCCCAACTCGGCCCACCGCCATGGTCAACTCGGCCCAACTCGGCCCACCGCCATGGTCAACTCGGCCCAACTTTTTCGCGAATTTTCGCGTAGGATAATCCCACAAAAAAAAATTTTCCGGCAGAAATGACTGATGCTGGCAGAAAGACCCAAGCCTTGACTATACCCGAGTAAATTATAAAGAAAATTCTAGTACTGTAATTTTCTAAACAGTCCACGGCGCGAGGGGTTGCAAATCCACCCCTACGAAGCCGCAGAGCGAAAACTAGGTCAAACGGGCGGATTACACTTGGCGCGCAAGGATACCCGGAAGTAAGGTTCGGAGCCAAAAGAAATTTTCACCCCAAAATCACCATTTCTTACACTCTTCAGCCATGTTAATGTTTAATGATACTTCGTGGCAGTTTATAAGAAATGTCACCTCAAACTTGGACCCTCAAAACCCTTTCGTCCCTTTTTACAACGGACTATCGTGGACCCCTGTCGCGGAAGAACTGGGGTGTGCACCGTTAATAACGATGCATACTTTGATATTCTAGTAAGAAAAGTAACGCACACGACTTCGTTTTGACGTCATGTCGTCTTAAAATTGAAGAAAAAAAATAGGCGGGAAGCTGTTCCGTACTTGGTCTACGTCACGCTGGTGTTTATCACCTTGTAACCATATAATTTTACAAATTGTAATGACTTTCTAATATTTATGACTGGTAGATACTTGTTAATTATTGTAAGAAAAGTAACGCACACGATGTCGTTTTGACGACATGTTGACTTAAAGTGAAGAATAAGTGCACATTAACGAGTTGAAAACGACACCTAGCGACAATATCATAAACTGAAGCTGAAGCGAAGCTGGCCGCCGATTCAAGTAAAGATGGCGGGCAGTTGTAATAAAACTGGTCTCCGTCCGCGGGTATTTAACACCTTGTGGCAGAGTACAATATAATCTAATCTTATAACTCGTTATGGCATTCTATCATTTAATTATGATCCATACATTTACATACCAGTAAGAAAAGTGACGCACACGATGTCGTTTTGACGTCATGTCGTCTTAAATTAAAGAAGAAATGGCGGGATGTACCGTAGCTGTCTCCACCCTCATGTGTTTAACATGTGGTAGGAGACGAACCATATAATTTTACAATTTGTAATGAGTTTTCATCACTTAGGAATGATCCAGTATTCGATACTATAGTAACAAAAGTGACGCACACCTGAAGGTGAAGACGTCAGAACGACGTCGTGTGCGTAAAATTATATGGTTACTCTACTGCAAGGTGTTAAACACCTGCTGGAGGCCAGCTACGGTACAACTTCCCGCCATTTTCCTTAGTTTTAGACGCGTGACGTCAAAACGACGTCGTGTGCGTTACTTTTCTTCCTACAATATCAAAGTATGAATCATTATGAAGGGATTGAAAGTCATTGCAAGTTGTAAAATTATATGGTTACTCTGCTGCAAGGTGTTAAACACCTGAGAACGGAGACCAGTTACGGTACAACTGTCCGCCATGTTCTTCAGTCTAAGACGACATGACGTCAAAACGACGTCGCGTGCGTTACTTTCTTATTAGAATATCAAAGTATGGATCATTATAAAGCGATTGAAAGTCATTGCAAGCTGTAAAATTATATGATTACTCTGCTGCAAGGTGTTAAACACCTGAGAACGGAGACCAGCTACTGCCACAACTTCCCGCCATTTCTATTCAGTTTAAGACGACGTGACGTCAAAACGACGTTGTGTGCGTTACTTGTCTTGCTAGAATATCAAAGTATGGATCATTATAAAGGCATTGAATGTCATTGTATGTTGTAAAATTATATTGCTACCCTGCTGCAAGGTGTTTAACACTTATAGGTGGAGACGAGTTACGGTACAACTTCCCGCTATTTTCGTTGATTTAACATGACATGACGTCAAAACGACGTCGTGTGCGTTACTATTCTTACTAGAATATCAAAGTATGGATCATTATAAAGGGATTGAAAGTCGTTGCAAGTCTTGTAAAATATATTGCTACCCTGCTGCAAGGTGTTTAACACTTATAGGTGGAGACGAGTTACGGTACAACTGCCCGCCTATTTTCGTTGATTTAACGCGACATGACATAATAACGACGTCGTGTGTCGTTACTTTTCTTACTAGAATATCAAAGTATGGATCATTATAAAGTCATTACGAGTTATAGAATTATATGGTTAATCTCACGCAAGGTGTTTAGCACCTGAGGGTGGAGACCATTCACTTGAATCGGCCGCCAGCATCAGCAGATTATGATATTGTCGCTAGGTGTCGTTTTTAAGTCTTTAATTTGCACTTTATCGTTTAATTGGTACTTTATGATTTTATTCATCTTTGAATTGATATTCTATGCGTTATTACAGACCATTTGCAACAATTCCCCATTCGTGATTTTTCTTTGGGGTCGATTTAGGAAATTTCTGGGATTTCGAATCTGTATTTGAATCAGCTGCTATGCTCGGTTTAGTCCCAAATCGGCGGCTGAAAGGGCGGCTACGAATCGGCGGCCCAATCGGCGGCCTACTTCAGGTTGGTCCTGTTCCTGCTGACTCATGACCTTCGACCTAGATAGAATCTACCATTCTATTTATCGGGAGTTTTGGCAATACGACTGAAAATTGTATTCAGCTCTTATCATCAATACACGATACAATATAAATATATCAAGAGAAAAATGAAGATTTTATTCTACCACAATAATGATTATATTCTTTTAAACCATCTATGAACTTATTTATATGGTCATTTAAACATGATAGGCCCTTTTGTAGAATGTATTGTTCTGAATTTACCACCAACATGGCGGATCAAGACGTCTATGATATCCTGTGCACGGAATTTCGAGAGGCAAGGACCGACTCTCCCGAAGTTCAGCCCACAGAAACTCCAGATGAACACGACGTGATAATCATAGTGGAAGAGAAGGAGTTCCAGGCTCACAAGGCCATTCTTGCCAGCCATAGTGACTATTTCCGTTCTATTTTCAAAGACCATTTTAGCGAGGGCCTTGCGGCGAACTGCGAGGTCCGTCTGACGTGTACAACATGCCAAGGCATGAGGGGAATTCTGGACTACATGTACACGGGCAAGGTCCTCATCGACCGCAGTAATGTTACAGAACTATTCACAGGTGCTCACTACCTTCTCATGCCAAAACTCAAGGGATATTGCGTCTCGTTCCTCGAAAAGAACACAGACGTCTCTTCATGTTTACAAGTCAAGTCACTGGCGGCGTTCTACAGTATCGAGCTGCACGGCTTGTTGAGACAGAGTCGAGAATTCATCAGGAACCATTTCACAGAAGTTGCAGACAGTGACGCAGTCCTGCAGGTTTCTGCGGAAGATTTGATCGAAATAGTAGCAGACGACATGTTACGAGTTACAGACGAACAGTCTGTATTCAGTCTTGTGGTCAGGTGGACCAATCATGATGTTGACGAGAGTAAGGCAACACTTCCCTACGCTGCTTCAAAACGTCCGCCTGCCACAGTTAGGAGAAAACTTCTTAGTTAACATTGCATTGAAAACAAAACTAGTGACAGAGGACGTAACTTGTAAAGAACTGGTTATAGAGGCAATCACAGTGATACAAAACCCGCCCGAGTTTGGAGAGGACAGCCTTGGGGTGATGAGTAGAGCAAGGCGTGGCACCCTGAGGAATGTCATCACTGTTATCAGTTCTCAGGACATTTTCTGTTTGGATGTAGATGAGAACTGCTGGGGCAGGTTGAAGACAAGCACAGATAAGTGCCTGTGGTCTCAGGCTGTGGCAATGCTGGATGGTCACTTGTATCTTGCGGGTGGATCATCGGATAGTGTACAGGCCACCAACGATGTCCACCGGTTTGATCCCCTGACCAATCAATGGTATCATGTGTGCCCCATGAAGGTTCGTAGACAGGACTTCTGTTTAGTGCCGCTGGACGGAAAACTCTATGCAATATGTGGCTCCCTGGGAACAGGGTCTCGCTACAAGTCCCACGTATCCGTGGAAAGCTACAGTCCAACACAAAACTCATGGACGTTTGTTGCCTCCACCTGGAAACCCTGCTTCAACAGCCAAGCAATAGCCAGCTCTAATAATCACCGAATCTACTGCCTTGGGACAGAGTTGTCAACGTCTGCAGCAAGACAGAACACTGTGTTCCTTAGATATAACAGTGAAGTTGACCAGTGGGAATCTAGAAGCAGCCCTCAAGTAGATGTGCTGGGCTCCATTCTGCAGATAGCAGGTGATGAAGTGCTCCTCCAGGACCTGGTTGTTGGTAGGACCCAGGTGTACCAGGATGTAGAGGACCTGTGGGTGTTGGTGCCCAGCCACATCAGTGCCATACCTGACCACAGACACTCCTTCACCAGCTGTGCAGTGGACAGTAAGATTTTTGTCTTTGGTGGTGAGCAGCACTGGGCAGGGATGTGGTCAGGTAGTATTCCTCGGGACACCTACCAGGAAGCCTTTGTCTACGACAAGGAGTCTGAAGCTAGACTATGGCAGGCCCTTCCGGAGGTGCCTGCCAGAGTCATGGGACAGTCTACATGCTGCAAGATGCAAGTGCCACTCGAATACCTTGAGATTGTTTTATCGTAGGCCATTTTAGCATAAAAAGAATGAAATAAAATTTTCCTTTGCTGTAAGTTACTTACTAAGTAAGACTTGATAATGGATACTCTTTGAAAGAGTATTGAAGATGCTAAGGCATTTAGTGAATATATTTTCAGTATGTTATTACACAAAGTTATAATTAGATTTTGATATCATAGAAATCATTGAACCTGTATGGTATAAGATAAATTATTAAGGAAGGCCAAGCATTGGTGTGAGATATTTATTCTGTAACATTAATATTACAAGTGTAACATGGAAAACTGTAAACTGCCATAAATAATTTATTCTAATACAATATTTTGTAGATTAGGTATAGCTTTTGCCATTATCAATACAGCATGACACCATGAATATAGCTAGGCACAAATCCTCAGTATCTTAAGCTTGTGTGACTGAATCAATGTCATTATCATGTCTGCTTGACAGATTTCAGAGCCAAGAATCAATGTTAAGAGATCCATCTTACAAGTGTTGTGTTCTTACAAAGAGCTTCAAAGTACACAGCAGTAGGTTTCCTCTTACAAAGGATACAGCAATGCTTAGAAATAGATGAATTCTTTCCTCCTATGAAATTGAACTGAACTTTCATGAATCTTGAACCCATGTTTAAGGAAGTAGCCAAGTGCTTTGATGCTCATCCAATTCTGTATATGTAGTCCTACATGTATATTTGCATGTCACAGCTGTAATAATGCCAATGTTTCATTTCATTTTGAGACTTGGACCTTTTGTGGTCTCCAATGACATTCAGCATTCAATGGCAGCCAGACTCAGTGTACAATAAAATATTCATGTGAAATTTTTGTCTCATAGATTCATATGGTCTATCACAGCTTTAATTATACAACGATGTCAACTGCACTTAAGGGGAGACACATTTTGTACTTGACCTTCACCGACAAATACATTTGGCTAGACTTTTGCACCATGGCAAGAAGTCGCGTCATCCCATCTTATCAAAGGAAATAAGATAAAACTTCTTCATACGGTATAGAACTTAGCATAATAAAGGGTATAACAGTACAAGTCCAATATACACCAAACAAGACAGGACTAGAGTTCAAATGCACAATCAGGAAACAAATGCTGTCGATCCATACCGATATCTATCGTGCAAAATCCACAAGACACGAAGTTTTACATGAATACTGATATGTTACGTTGTAGCTTATACATTCAATCATTCAACATTATCTAAATGTCCTAGTTGTATAAAACCCGTGGGCCATTCGGTGTATACTCGGCTGCTCGGTTTATCCAGCTTGAAGGGTTGACTGGCGTCCAACTTGACTAGTGGCCCTGGAGCCGATACGTAGGACTTTCTTGAAGGCCTTTCTAAACTCCGGACTGAGGAGGCTGTAGACGATGGGGTTCAGACTAGAGTTTATGTAGGCCAGCCAATAGGACACGTTGTAAGCCGTACTGCTGACGCATGCTGGACACGCCGCAGTAACCAGGTACATGGTGATGAATGGGAGCCAACAGACCAAGAAGACTACTGATACCACAGCCAGAGTCCTCACCGCGCGTATCTCCCTCCTCTCTCCCGACTGCCCACTTTGTCTGACGCTTCCACGAAAACTTTGTGTGCTTAAAGTGCTGCTGCGCCGTGATCCCGCGTGTTCCCACTCAACATCTAACGGCATTATTCCATTGCAAAACGGTTGCCACAGGCAGCACCATCCGTTCCCGTGTACAGTTATAGGTTGTTCGCCTTGTCGTGGATTTGGTGACACCTGTCCGGGTAGCTTCAAGTCTTTTAGATACGTGTCCAGCACAGAGGAAGTGTCCATGTCAACGTCAGGATCTCCTACAGAGGAATCTTCCACGACAGGAGCATTCCTACACTTCTGTTCTAACGAAAAGGACACGGTTTTCCTGAGCACGCCTTGACGGTTTATCCGATGAGAGTGTGAGCAACTGGGATCGGAAGTTCCCGGCAAGACCTCGTCAGCTTGTCCACTTACCTTGCTTATACTGTTTGGCATGTCCAGGGGCACTATCTTACGTTTTGCATGCTTAGTTTTCATCTTCCGAATCAGCAAGACTGTCATCCGGCTGTAAAGGGCGACGATAGACACCACAGGAAGGTGATACGATAGCATGGCGGAAGTCACGGTAAAGGCAATGTTGGATGACGGTTTCAGCATGCACTGCTCGGCGTCACTGGCTAAGGAGCTGGCGACGCCTGGCGCCCAGATTGTAACAGCCACCGCCCAAGTGAGGACGACGACCGGGATAGTACGTTGCGCAGTCCGCCGGGCTACGTACGTTGTAGGCCACCGGATGCTGCAGTATCTATCCCCTGCTATGAGAAGGAGTGTAAAGATGGAAACCTGGCGGCAGCCAAAATCCATCAGCACCCAGAGGACACACATCGCAGATCCGAACGGCCAGTTGCCGAACGCGACGTAAGTGGCGGAAAGGGGCATGATGACCAGTCCCACACTCAGGTCAGCCAGGGCGAGATTCAGGATGAAGTAGTTATACACCGTCCGCAGCATCCTTTCCCGTACCAAAGCCACCAGCACCATCACATTCCCCACTACAGTGGCTATAGAGATCAGTACAAGTACCACCAGCAGGGCGTAGTTAGGGGTTTCCTCCTCCTCCTTACCGATTATCTGTGTGATGTTAACCCAGGACGCAGTGCTCAGCGACAGGCCGCTGTCCGTCAGCAGCTCCTCGCTCACTCCGGCTGAGGTAGGAAGGAACCCCGGACACGACACTGTTGACAAGCCGCAGTCCACCATGTTGCAAGCTTCCCCTGCTATGCCTTCGGCAAGCCTTCAGCTCTGAAATATGGGACAGAGATGCATATATGAGTATAATGCCTTTGCTTGAAATCTAGGCATAGACATACACAGGGGTCTGTTTTCCCCGGGAGAAATCCATCCAATTACCATGCTCATTACCCTACTTCCTTACAGCTGCAGGGAATAAATTTCGTCAAGGCTAAGTGCTGAAGACGTACGTAAGGAACGGGATTATTAAGGCTCACGAGCGAGTGGGTGGAAGATGTATTTGGTGTTTGCGACCTGTGCGAATTTGACAACTGTCCGTAGAAGGAATCCTCGTTCGAATCTAAAATCACAATTACAAGAAAATGCCCTGAGAAAAAACATGTTCCAGTATCTGCAATTAGCCTTGTACAGCGGAAATGTGACTAGTACTAGTCACTGTATACTGTTGAACAGGGGTCAGGATTATCAAGGCCAGCGCTCGCAGTCAGTAGTGGGTGGAAGATGTATTTGGTGCTTGCGAAAGTAAAACATGTGATTCTTGCGATGCGGTACCTAGACAACTGACGCCCACAGTCAGTCCCTCTGGAGTAAAAATCGGCGCCCACGCTCGCTTAAATGGCTGATGTGCGTATAAGAGGAATGTTTTACACGGGTATATCAGTCACGGGTGGTGTTGAGCCCTGAGCTCAACCCAGGCTTCTTCCGTCCTATAGTGTATCGGATTAGGCTCACTCCGGGACGTCAATTAAATACATGACAAACAGTTAAGATGAATGTCTAGCCTTGTATAACTCCAATATATAACAGACGTGAAAGCGGTCATAAACACAGGTTGACTGGTAAGGTATACGTATTCAGTTTAATTAGAATAACGCATGGCAAACAAATAAACAAACAAGCAAACAATAAAATAGAGACATCAATATCTATAATCATTGCACCGAGAGCACTCTATGCTTTATGTTTGACAGCAATTGATATTAGAGAAAAACATCGATCACACCAGCAAGCTAAGTACTAGTAATCTACACAATGCAGTTCTCTGCATGTTCATTTGAATCACCGCTACAAACAAGACTGCGTAGGACATAATCCTCCGTGAAATAATCATGGTGTTTCTCACATTTCTATTGGCACTAAAACCCGCTGTTTTCCTCATTGGTTATGATTCAGGCTCTTGTGCGTGTTAGATGTAATGGCGGAAATGCTTGGTTGTACGAAATAGCTGCGGGGTAACACAAATGTTATTGACAGCAGCTGTGAGGACTGTTCCAAACCTTCAAGATGGGGGTGTCATTTTTAAAATTACAATGCTGCTGAAAACTGCTAAGGTGTAAAAAAAACTTGCATCATCTCGCGTATGCTAGCAGACGACATACTAACTGCACACCAATGCAGCAACGGGTTCGTGAGTTACAGCTGTGAACGTACGTACGGATTTCAAAACTCCGTCAGAGGTCACTGGCCTCCTTCACGGAGTAATTATTGAGAGTTGAACACAGAAACATTCATCCGAGGAATCGCTTAACGTTGTGCTGGTAATGTCACTACAGGGGCCAGAGCAACCGACAGGTACAGACGATAAGACAGACAGTACTCATATAAATGCACCCGTGCGCGTGACTACCGATGTGCATACAGGGCCCTTTATATAACTTGGCAATGTTTCTTTCAAAAGACGTCAATTGTATCGCCTTGCAGTCTGCCAGCGTTTAGTACATGTGGAAAGGGAGATAGTTACAAGTAGAATGACCTATGAACTACAGAACCTGGAGGCGTCTACTGAAAATATATCGTTTCAGAGGCATTTTCAGAGAAGGCTGTTTCGAGAATACTAATGACTTCGACATGGCGAATGTTTGAAAAATGACTCCCCGGTAGGAAATGAAAGATGTGGAAAACATAAGGCGCAGAGGGGGACACAGTTAAACATAGGCGATGTATCAAACTGTAACCGGCAGGTAGACATTAAAATATATTGGCTCTTTCCGACTGAGTAGTTCCTAGTGAATTGATGCGGGGTGTAACTGAGGTTGTTGTAAGTGCAGTAGTAAATGTATGTATATATCAAACAATTTTGATAGCTTTCCTCTGGAGAAAACCACTGTGATTTAGAAAACCAGCACATGGTTTCCAACAAGTATACATGGCACTATCTCTCTTCTCAATTTTCCTTCAATGCAAGCCGTTATTACTAAAAGTATGTGTAGTGTCTCCAAGCGAAGAATGTAATGAGCATAAACATTTGTTAAATTAAGCAATACCTTAGCCCCACATACATGTACTTGTTTTGTACTACATATCGGATACCAGTGATCATACCACTGCAATCATGTTTTAGCACAGCTTTGTCTTCGTGATTTCCTGTCCATCATTAGTACAGTTCTCTGGATTTTTCAATTGTTCTTCCATTTAAAAAGATAATATAATCTTCACAGCAAAGCACTCGTTTACTTGTGTTCTTCAATTACTTGTGTACTTTCTTCGCAGCACAATCCGTCCCTGAGTGCTGCATTTCCTCCCATTTCATACGGCATATTCCATCCGCCATCAAAGTGCTCCTAAAATAAAGCGACCTTTATTATAAGCCCCTATACCAAATCCTACTGATCTGCAAGACAGGGTGACTTTGTAGTCGATTTTAATCCGATTCTCCCCCTGAGATCCCTCCCAGCGAGGCAGACTCAGGCGGTTTATCCTTGTTATGTTGACAAGTTTAGTTGCGTTTAGCTGTAATCTAACACCAAGTCGACGCTAACACTAACGTTGACAGAGTTCAGATGAGCAGCGCCAAAGGATATATGATTCATTAGCAAAGCACAATTGAGAGGTAAAAAAACTCCATAAAAGGTCTGCAGGCTTCCTGTTTTGAAGAACGCCGTAGGAAATAACGAAGCATGCGTGACTATCTTTACTTTGATCCTTCCGCACAACCTTAGTAGCATTCTACCCCCAACCCCACCCTCCCCACACAAAAGTTTTGCCGATTTTTGCAGAAATGACGGGGAAAATTCGCAAACTTCATAAAAAATACTTCTGAATCAATAGTTTCTCGTCTGATCCTGACTTTATTTGATTTCACGACCATTTGCTCCTAACGTAGTTTGTTCCTCTGGAGAAGAAATTGATATCGCAATCAATCGATAAGTCAGATGTTATTTCTCCCTATGATTAAATAGGAATGTACGTAGCACGTTATAGACGATACTAATCAAATCAGCCGGGCGTCAATGGAAACAAGATGTGCACCGAAACGCCACGGAGACTTCGTTAAGGCATAATGGTAGAAATAAAGCAAATATCACACAGCGGAAGCGTAAATACCAGGTTTGTGTGGATAAGAATCACTACTCCAAAATATGATGTTGTTTCATTTCATTTGATACTGATATCTTGATCATTTTAAGTTTCGTAATGTAATGCAACCAAGTGAATTTACGAGAGCAGATTAGGCCTGTCCTTGGTGCTGAAAGCTTGGTGAAGCTAAGAGGTAACATTTGCATACGCGGACAATATCGGGGAAACGCCGCAGTTATGTGTTTGAGTCGCCAAGATAAAAAAAAATATCGAAGAGTACAATCTTAGCCCGTTTGGCGTATCACCTCTATTGAACACGACTGTATTGAGATAGCCATTGTTTTCATCCGAACATCAGGTGGCAATCTTCATCAGAGCAGCAACAAAAAAACAATTTGCCGCCCATCACCCCACACATGGGGCTTCATTATGAACCTTCTCTTATGTACATCTGAACCAGATTGAATCCTACAGCTAATATGTTCGGAATCCTGGCATTAACATCACTCGACTTGAATAGCAATTGCCAGGCCGATGTCGAGTCGGATTGTTCAGATTTCACTTCACCCGGGGCACACAGCCTGCTAACGTCGGCTCTCATTACGTCTGAGTAGCCACTGAGACACACAGTGTACACCACGGTCATATAGGAGATGATGTTTTATTTTTCAGAAAAGACATCACAAGGGAAGAACATGTGCTTGATGTTATCGATAATCAGCGTGGCATTCTGCTTTCTGCAATCCAGACATAATTGACTGGGACGCATGCAATCAGTGCACTATCTTGTTTTCTACATGTACCATGTTGATTCATGTCCTCCAAACTCTAAGATAAACGCCGCACCTGAAAAATAAAGAAATCATACCGTGGTAATTGCTATGGATGGCATAGAACAAACGTTATTGAAACATTTTTAGCTCTGACGTATTCTAGCCCCAAGCCGACAATCAATGTCCAAATTGTTCTTCAGCCAAATCGAATAGTATTTCTAATTTAGATGAAACGTGCTACGACACGTGTACGAGGGAAGAGGCACTTCATACCTGCCCAACACAAATATAACACAAAAGTTAATACGAGTAGGATTTAGTCGAAGGTCATGTCGTGTAAAATATGTACATTTACGAGAGAGACATAAACAAAGTTTAGCGTTCTTCTTGATATCTATTTTTGCGGCACGAGACTTCAATATCTAACAACTAACTCTGTTTTGACAGAACTATTGGCATTAAACCGTGTGATTATTATTATCACACAAGCATCTAAGAAGACTGATATTCACAATAAACTACTAAACCTTTAGTCTCGTCATGCAATTTCATTCCACGGAAAGGTACGATCCACGAAGTCACGAAAAATCTTTTCTTTAATTAAACAACGGTACAGCGTATCTCAAAATAACTCTAGAAGTTGGCAATTTCGAACGTTTTTGATTTTTTTCGTCCTTCAGAGGCCGAAGCAATCGGTGCTATCTATTATGGCGCAGTAATGAGTCTGGTCCCGGGGTATCCAGTGCCATGCAGCAAATGGTCGGTGGAGAAAATCTCGCAGGGAGTTGCTCGCCTGAGCACAAGACGGCGTGTGTAATGGGAATGGTCGCAGGGCTACCTTTTATCGGGAATGTCCACTGGGATTTCTGTCTTGATGGCATCCAAAAGCCTGCATCTACCAACAGAACACCACAAAGTCAATTACGTGTGGGTCAGGCAAAGCCACTAATATAGGCTGCTATTCTTGTACAAATATCCAGACATTGTTAATATTTGATTTCCGTTTTTTTTAACAGAAAGAGAAAATTGGATTACGACTAGACCATGTTCATCATTTTTACAGGGAAGAAATTGTATTCAACCCAAATCATCATGTTACCTGTGCCGTATGTGTAATCTTTATATAAAGCTACACACAGCGAATCCTTTAAAAACCTTATGAGATAAAAATATCATGTAATGTTTTGAGATAAGCATTAGTTTTTTAATGCTTAAAACACCCAGGAAACACTTGCAAGACAGGATAAAGCCTCTCGCAAAATTCCCCGCGTACAGCTATATCATTCAATATCTTTAAACATCTTTCATAATATGAATTTGAAAATATACATATACATATACATGTACATGGGCTTCCTCGCAACATTTAAGTTCAACAATTTCAGTCTAAGACCGAATCTGGTATATTATTCTTACCGCATCAGCTGCAGCAGAGCGAGTCCCGCTGCAAAATCCCGTTCTAATGGTTGCCTCCAGCAGTGATTGCATTCATCCCCATCCGACGTTCGCAATGAAAAGTCAATATAGGCATGGCAAGCAGTAGTTGTTTCAACACTTGTTACCTTTCCCTATTTGCTTCGTGATTGAATTTTCATGGTAACACACACTGCTTGGAAAAATTTAAGATATAACTCTCTCACTGTTGTCCCTGTACGTATCTGGCTTTTGTGTAGATTTTCAAGGTAACATAACATAAGTATAGACATAGAGTATAGCTTACCTGGAGGATAACGTTCTAGTTGTAGGTGATTCCAGTAGTGGTGAGATTCAGGAGAAGGCATGTGCGAATGGCGGCCTGTTGAACTGCACTAGCTGTCCTCCGAGAGCTCACCTGAACCACGAGTGCCGCAGGAGCCAACGTCGTTCCGCTTTATATCCTCTAACCCACGCCAAGAAATAGCATGTCGGGGCTGTGTTATATACCGGCACTCTCGCTCAGAACCTTCGGGATTACACACTCCGTCGCCATGGGAGACCAACACCATCTGCTTCTCTGATTGGCTGGGAAGATTATGAAACAAGTGGGTGGTGTTATCATGGATTTGTCTGAGGATATAATTCCCGGCGTTGGTCGTGTTTTTTACGGTACATGAATCATCTTAGAAATTCAAAGTAAGTTCTGAGGGAGTGTTTGGTCGACTGTACAACAACAAGTATTTTCCATGCACCATTTTAAAAGAGAGATGGCAACATTCCACATGTCGAGGATGTACAGATCTAGATTTGGAAGTTTTTGTGTTTTTTGTTCATTTAAAATGATGTGGAAAGTCCACGAATTGAACTTAACCAATTGTGTTTAAGGAGCACTATTAAGATCGAGAAACCGTTCTAGTAGACTATTATCAATGAATAGAAAATCACCAGAATTTTTGTGACTTAACTTTTGCCAGGCCTTGTCAGGCATATTGTATTCAACCATGGGCGCGGTGCATGTTGGTATTGCCTACAGGGTATACATGGAGAGTTAATCAAAAGTACTGGTGCTTTAGTATGCGCGTTATTATGCGCGTCCAATGAAAATCTGAAGAATTCTAGGTTAGGAAACGTCTCGAAAGTCGGAGGAGCTGGCGCACTGCGTAGTTTGTGCTACGCAGGCGACGACAGCTGCAGCGTGCACATGTTTTATTCAATTACATGTATTTTCATTTCATCAACCTGTTGGTGGGCGAGATGTAACAAGTCTAACAGGAACTGTTTGGGAAGGGAAGCATATTCCTACACAAGAGTTCTCCGACTCCGTACCTTCGTCAAATGATATTAACCTTTACGATTGACGAATTAAAAATGTTTCTCATTGATTATACAAATAAGATAATTTGCATGAATCATGTCAGTTGAGAAAGCTACGTACGTACATACACAAAATCATGACGATCGATATCCGTCAACCTGTTCTTGAATTATCCCCCCTCAAAGATTTTTAAACAAATGCCTCTGCAGTTCCAGGACAAGCTGCTGGGAGATCCAAACTCACTTCTTTCCAAGCACAACAGCTCTCTACCACCTAATTTTCGTGACCCTAGCATATCACATTTAGATGTTTTAGATGATGAAGTCAGGTTCATATTCAGATCAGGTGATATCAAAACCGGAATTTCCGCTGCAGTGCCATAACAAGCTGCTAGGGAGCCAAAATCTAATCATTTCGAGGTCTCATCAACACCTAACCACCTACCAAGTTTCATGACAATCCATTCATATCTTATCAAATTAGCGTGCTAAACCAGATACATATATGTATATACATACATACAAACGCTATCAAAAACATAACCTTCTTGGCGAAGGTAATGTACGTATTCATCAACTTCCCATGGTACTTTCAATTTGATTTAATAGCGTAATTATTTGCAGTGGGCGTAAGAACATCGTTGCTAATTACAACACGGGTGGTTTACATCTCACATTTATTAGCCCCTCATTAAAGGAAAGAGACGGCGGCATCAAAGATTCCTAGAGGCCTGTTATTACGTCTGGACAGCAGCTCCGGAGATCGCTGGACTTCTGACGGACACCGCTGTCAGATGTCAGCTAAATAACAACCAAAGACGCAGCTAGTTCTGACGTGTATCACGGCATAATCACAAGAGTACCAAACTAGCGTTATTAACGTGCATTACGTGCTATCTTGTTGTTAGATGCCCTCTTATGTTATTAGCGGCACTCGTTATACTGGCTAATGGGCACAACAGCAGGCAATGCACGTACAGACATTGTACAAATGGCATTACACATACAGACACATGCCTGCCGCTGATATGGAGATACGTGCGTAACCTGACATACTTTAGATTGAAATATACAAGCAGTACTAGTGCAAAGAGCAAGCCAGATGAACACTGACAGATCTAGATAGCTGAAAAGGTTAACTCTATTGACTTATATGTCGCGTAAAAGGAACTGACGGAAGTCAGGTGCGTTTATTAGGGGCGATGCCTATCAACAACATTATTGGAAATCATGATATATCTAGAGCTAAATGTTTTGTCATTCTCTTTAAGCCACCCTGATGCAGTGGTACAAAGATATCCCAAGCATGTCAAAATGAGCAGGAACTTCAATTCATTATACGAGAAGAACGTGTTGAAAATCTGAAGGGAAATCCAATGCTCCAGCGAATTTCGCGAGTGAAAAGAATAGCGGAAAATCAAATACATCCTGTCCGCGGTGGAAAGAGATCGAGCGTGCCATGCCGGGTAACTGCGCGTGAAAATTGACTTGTCCAAAGTACTTGATGTATCGACTGAAATATCATGTGTGACTTTTGAGAAAAGCCAGTCTTCCGGCCCGGTCTGTCGGGTACGGATATGAACTCACCCTAGCAGAACCAACATCCTGGGTCTTAAGATAACGGCGCAGCAAGTAATGAAAACATCGTCTTATCAGAATCATCACGTTTTCCACGTAGATATCAAACTAAGAAGAGAACGTTGTTGCCGTCTGGTATTCCTCTTGGGGGAACAACAAACCTACAGGTAATAACTAGCCTGGAAATTCGTAGAAGTGAAGTGAAGCAAGGCATTAAAGAAACCCCACACCGCATGTCAATCGCCGGGAAATTTGAGGGAACGGTGGGTACAACTCTTTCACGTTGGGATATTTTTAAAAGATCTTCGAAAATCCCCACAGCTAACTTTGTTCCTACATGTAATTAATGAGGTCCTTTTGAAGAAAGCCGTTAGTCTGCATTGACGACTGAAGAAAACATACCCGACCGTGATTGTCTGTTCAGCACCAAGGACATGTCTACTAGCCGTCAGTTCAAAATCCTGTTTAAATCACCATTCCGCTTTCTTAGTGGCATTCGTACATTCAAATCAGTCAATAGCACTGGAAAAGAAATTTTGTACATTGACTGACTTATCACATCATTATTCATATCCTGGATGGCCACTCTTCATTAACCTATGTTATTGAAAATGATCACAAGGAACAAAATACCTTATTAGAATAGATTTATTTGATAATTCTCTTGCCTTGTGGCAGACTTGCATGAAGCATCCTATAGGGGCAAAAGTTTGCACATGTGAGCAGAATGGACTATATAGTACAACATAATGTCTTCTCACATTTACTCTGTGTAGTCTATGGAACCAGTAAGATGGCTCTAGACCACGATTCATACATTCATAATGTGCAGCAGCACTACTTAGTTAGGCCTGCTATACTACATAAAACATAAATTGTCCCTACTAGGCTCTGTCTGTACGCTAGAAGCAAATTCAAAGTTCAAATGAGCAAAACAGCTGATGAAGTTAGGACTGACATTTGTAGCACGAAGAGCCAACTTACTATATTTGCTATTGAAAAGCAATGAAATTTCATAGTTTTACAAGTAACGTTACATGTAGAAAAGTCTAGATGGGTTGAGCAATCAGCCTTCTTTTCCCAAACTCTACTCTCTTTAGTCATAATCATTTAGCACCTTGTCATAGATCATTCTAATTCATATTCATCAGATACAACTATGAGTATACTCTGCTAGTTGTGCATGCTAACTCCTAAAAGCATTAGAAAATGCTCTTCCATAAGTCCTCAGTAACAGTTCATTTCCAGTACCATTCACAGTGGTCTTTTGTCACAGTGAACAAGAAAAAAGAATCTATGATGTATGTTAGACACAGAACATTTACAATGCAAAGGTCGGTATAACATTCACAGCATCATCAGGAGACACATGATTCATCCGTCCTCATACAAAAATAATCCTCTTCAGGCTCGGTGAGGTCTGTATAGAACAGCATGCACACAAGCTATGGCAGTTGTCAGGCTGCAGCATCTGGACTTCAGGCCAGGCCAGTGGCATAAACTGGTTCTCAAACGTTTCAGAAACAACATGGACGGGATGAGAATTCAAAACAAAAACTCTTCAGAGAATAAACTACTGTTTTACACAGTCTAATACTTCAATGTCACCATTGGGTGACAGGCTACACTGTTTCTAGCTGATCTGAGTAGGCCTTCTCTAGAAAACAATCCTCCAGATATTTTGAATCTTGGAGAACCAGAGATTGGTTGTTGAGAACAAATTCAAAAAACTGGCCTGGCCTTTTCTCATTTGGTAGACTTGGTCACCATTTTACTCCAAAGGTTAATCATTATAACAGCCAGTTACTGAGCTTCACAAAACTGATTTTTGAAAAACAGTAGGATCAATATGCTGATATCTATTTTACTAGTGTGCAATTATTTTGTAAGATTATCCTTTTGGACATACAACCATATACACAGCAAAAGCCAAATAGCCTTTAAGAATTTTCAGAAAAGTCCATCCACAATAATAGAGAAGCTGGTATGTCAAATCCACTCGATTTTTAGGAAACATTATATAATAATAGTCTACTGTCAGTAACATTTCTTGTGAAGCTCAAGTAACATGACCTCATCACCATGTCTTTGATACTAAGAAAATCAGTTTTACACAAAGCATAACTGCTTATTCTTACACTTCTTACCAACAACTAACATGTCTTACATGGGCTTTCTAGGCAAAATAATGTGGGGAGCAAGACAGCAATCAGAAACATAAAACCACAAGTGTGTGGATGGTCTACACATATATAATCTTAAACAAACATACACAATTCAGGTGAGAGGGTGTGTTTTATACTACTGCCTTGCCCCTTACCTATTTTTCATGGAAGGGCTGTAAAGCATCAATCTGTAAAATGATAGTTTGTTACTAGATAGTTTGCACAACTTCCAAAAGGTTCAAAAGTCACTGTAACTTTGCAAAAAAGCAATTATATTTCTGTATCTTCTGATGATAGTCCTACACAGTCTTATACCACAGGCAAATGCTCCCTGTAGTTGACAGAAAAGTAAGCATTGACAACTTAGCTTCTTGAGATACCGTAAACAGAAAATTACAAAGAACATTTCTAATGGAAAAGCTTGAGGGAATATAATGTTGCATTATCACATTTTGCAAGCAGTCTTTGCAACAAGCCCAGCAGGCCGTGTCAACCTGACACAATAGTTTATAACTGGTAATAGAATTACAGTTACCAATTCTTCCACAAAGTATAACAAGGAATTATTTGTACACAATGGTAGACTAGTGGTAGTCAGAGCAATTCCTTTAACAAGTCATAGTACATGTACGTCCAGTTGTCTGAAAACAAAGGAATGTCTTACTTGTATATAAACATCTTTAAAAAAAACCTACCTGAAGTGTCACATAGCGTTGGTAATATATATTCCATGTTATCTTCCTTCCAATTTTGTGAGCTTGATTATAAAAGCGGTTATAAGTCTCATATCATGCATATTTCATTGATAACAATTTACTTGTTTGAGTATTTACAGTAGTCTAGATGACTGGGATAGTTTGGAATTGAAGCAGAAAGCTACATGTATATTGTGATCAGGTGAAATCTTTCCCAATCATGTAAATCATCATGACACAAGGAAACTTGCTGCATAGCATGATCCCACTTTTATGTACATATGTATATTCTATATTGAATTTTGTGATGAAGTGTTTGTTATCCATACTGCTGACAAAATGGGCAGACAATTGTTACATATGATGCCAGCATTGGAGTTATAGAGATGCTTCATTTAAGGTGGTTAACAATAGCCCTTTCCATGGGTCAGACAAAGGCAAAATGTTTAGAAACATATTTCACATCCTACTAGTTATCTCATTCTTTCCCTCTTGTTACTTGTATCCTCTGTAAAAATGGCAACCTGGGCTGCAAAGAAACCAGGAATCAACATTTAATCTGTACTAGTTCCCATATACATAATCATAAAATGGGGCTGGGGGAAAGAATCCTAATGAGGGATTGCTACCTAAAATTTTATACATAATGCTTCTACTTGAATAAAACTGAATTTGTACTCAATGCTGTGAGACAATTGATAATTCCCTGTTTTTGAGCCTTCTAATGCAAGAGACAATCCTAGACATGTAACTCTAATACATGTAGGTTAAATTTTGTTGGTGACATGTAGCAATTGTAATGGTAAAATCAACTTTAACCAGAATAAGAACCTCTTTAAATAACAAATCCTCAATATTCCAGCAGGAAGAACTCGCCACAATTATCACATCATGTAAAATCTAACTTCATTTAAAGTCTCCACACTTCATGCATTTGCTAGTTAAGATACGTAAGGCCTAGGGAAAAAATGTTGTGTTTCCGGTTACCCGAACCATAGGAAAAACCTCAGGCTGCTGATTGTAGCTTTTTTGGGGGAGAAACTGCTGGCAAGGGACACTTGTGCTTGTACAATGACTGTATAATCTCTGTATATAATAATTAAAATATGATGTTGATACTATTGTCCAGATGCATTCCCCTTTTACATGATTACACTGTATTTGTTGGCTCACTTTTGCTGAGATCTGAAAAAAGAGAGAGAAGAGAATCCCTACCTACAGACCTTAAACCTTTCAGGATTTCAATCGGAAAAACAACATTAATTTTCCCACTAGTAGGCCTACGATCTTTACAGTACTGCACATGCCAGGACACATTCCTTGCTAAAAGACATCCCATGCAGTGCATGTACATGAATAACCATTTCAAATACAAGCAGCTAGGAATTGTGAGCCTGTGTCTAGATAAATGTCTACCTCTACAGGGACTTAATAGTAAGTCTTTAGTTTAAATAAAGATACAAATCTTGGACACTCTATATGATACACCACAATCTTGGGCAGTTAATAAGAGCACAGGCTGTCAGTAGTAACACAAGCACATTGCTTATCCCCAAGATACAGGGTGGTAGAAAATTTCCTTTTGATACATGGGAAGGGACAAAAGTTACCAACATTGAAAACATCACCCTCATGACACAGAGTGGTGCACAAATTCCCTCAGGATCTGCTTGGCCATGGTAAGGTTGTTGTTGGCGATGCCTAGTGCCTTGACGATGGAATCGTACGAGTAGCCCTGGCTCATCAGTGTGGCAATTTCTGCATCCATGTTGTTTCCATTTTCTGTAGCGGTGCTTTTCCTAGAGCTGGGGGAGGGGTCTCTAGTGCCTGTAGTATGCAGTGAATGAAATTAGACTGGATTCATGCATGTACATGTATGTCAACATAAGGCCACACCAATCTAATTTGTTGGTTCTCGGATTCGCCTCTTGGTTTTTTTCTGATTTGCAAAAAAAAAAAATGATTCTGGTCCTGAATCAACTGAAAAATGCTAATGTTTTGCCCCCAACAGTTGAGGATAGTCCTTTTCGTCCTAGTTGTTACAGTTTTCCCATCTATCATTGCACTGGTTTGATTAAAAGTTCAAAATTCAATGTTTAAATTTTAACCCAGCCTTTTGTGTTGACTTCATGGCTCATTTCGTAGCATTTAAGCCTATAATAGGATGCCTAGACCTGTTTTTATTTTTATTTTTTTTTGCCCTGTCGCTTAATATTTTTTCTGAAAAAATCCGAGAACCAACAAATTAAATTGGTGTGGCCTAAAGACTGTAAATTTCATTCAAAGCACGCTTAGATTTTCAAAGGGCATAAGGGAAGCTACAGATGTACATGTACATGTATTTGTTATCTGCAGAGAATGAAGCAAATTTGAAGAATCTGAATCATTTCTTGTGGTGAAGAATACAGACGTGCATCCTGTTATGTGCCTCCAGATATTAAATAATCTTAGAACTTCCCAGGCTCACAAGCTGCCTGACCTTGGACGTTCTCGGCAGAAGACCAGCTGGCAGGATGCTTCTGTTGGCGTGGCTGGAGGGCGGGGTCCAGGCTGCTGACGGGGAGGGGGGGCAGGTCGTAGTCACTGGGGGTTTTCCTCAGGCGCCTCACAGGGACATCATAGTCACTCGCAGGGTCTGGCAAGAAAAAACAAATCAAACTTATGCAGGTGGCTTAATGGAGGACTCAGAAAACAGAGGCAAGGGTTACTTTCTGAAAGACCACATTCTTCACAGTTCAATTCCTTAATCTGTAACTAAATACAACGTACTACAGATTTGGTTTTCACGGTTCAATTCCTTGTTAATCTGTAACTAAATACTACATAATATATGTATTTGAATTGATTATCAAGTAATCAATATTATCATCAATAAAAATGTGGTCTTTCAGAAAATAACACTGGCCTCTGCTCTTGAGTCTGCCTTTAAGACACATGGAAAAGTAGAGCAGCATATATATGCATCATTACATGCAGTTGCAGCATTCCTTATGTGAGGTCTTCTTGTACAATGTACAGTAGATCAGACTTTTGAGGACAAAACAACTAGCTATTGTTGTATTATTGCATTAGCTACTACCCACTAATCTGGAAGCAGATCCTAGGGTGGCAAAAGACAGTATCAAATTGGCCAGGCACTATCCATTCGCCAGAGAGGGTCCAATATGCCACCCAAGGGTGTTGGACCCTCTCTGGCCAATGGATACTACCTGGCCAATTTGATACAGTCTTTTGCCACCCTAGGATCTGCTTGGAGATTAACTACCCACCATGGTTTTCACTGTTCATTCTGTCTTCATTTTCACTTGGGGTTTCAAAATTACTCCTTGGGGGGCCACTGGGCTGGGATATTGGTGAGGGGGGGCTGGGCTGGGCCGAGGACCCTCTGCTAGGTACAGGGGGCCCCATGGATGTGGACTTGGACATGGGATTGGGCACTTTGTAGATTGCATTTTCATCACTCGCACTCGACCCTGTTAACGTAAAATAGAAAATTAAGTGCCATGAAAAAATCTGGCATCCTTACCAGGTATAGGTTTAAAATATATGGTACAATTATTCACATTAACGTTTTCCCTTACTACTGTGTGCAAAATGTATAGCTACTAAAGGCACTTTCTGCACACACTTTGCACACTGTCTTGCACAGTTAATGTTATTGTCATGTTTCCTAATTAACATAATTCACAACCTTTATATAGATGAGCCCCATAGAATTAATTTCAATTCTTTAAAAAAATTAGTTAATTCCAAATCGTACCATGGAACTGTTTTGTTACAGAGCTACAGTTACATACCCAAAATGGATCTCACCGCATAAAGAAAGTGGGGTAGCATTTTGTGTACAATCATGGTGTTGTCGTACAAACCAGGGTAGCATGGAAGGAAGCATGAAATTAAAGGAAGGAAATCGAAGCATTGTTTGCTGGTAGTGGCCACAGTGCAAAACAACCAGAAGTATGGACTACATTTCAGGCACGTATATGGCAAGTTAGTTGATCTTGGAGACTGTCAATGTAGCAAGTAGATTCAAACAACTCATACTCAACAAAAAGTGTTTGCTAAGAAAATACTGCCAATATCCAATTGATGGGATTCTTTAGCACAAATATGTGCGAAATGAAAACTATGAAGGCATAAGAAAAATAACAGGATGATGCTAATCTCTAAAACAAAATGGACTGTTCTGAGGAAATAATACTTAAGTCTATAACTTTCTGTTTTGGTCATTCAATGCAGAACATTACAAACCTGAACTGGAGGCACCATCATCACTAACAGACCTATTGTATGTTTTCTTCACATTGGATGTCTTGTCGACAAATCTCCTGGGTGGCACTTGCGGGGCGTTTATGGTGGGAACTGCGGGTAAGTCTCTGTCGGGGAGGGTGGGGGAGGGGATGGGTGGTGCCGGGAGGGGTCGGGGGGCTGGCAAAGGCACTGGAGGAGGGAGGGCCCGCTCCTTGGGGACTGGGGAGGACCTCGGGGAGTTTCTGGGGGAGGGCATGGGGGACTCGTTGGGGGAGATACTGGGGGAGGGGAGGGGGGACCCTGCCGGGGACAGCCTGCGGGCAGGGATGGGGGGCAGGGAGGGTGCCCCGTGGGGTACGGGAGGTTTGGGGGGCTCTCTCCTGGGCAAGTTGGGGGAGGCTCGGGGAGAGCTAAACGGGGAGTGAGCAGGTCTGGAGGGTTGGAGTTCACTGATGCTCTGGTTAACCCACTGATTTGGATCCTGTAAGATAAGATAGTAATTCATGTCAAAGTAGTGATGATGTTATACAGTCAACCATTAGAATGTTCTACAGGGCACTCTACATAGTACACGTAAACACTGTTTCTTCTGTACTGTTGTTAATGTTGTCTCAAAACAAGTACCTTCACACTAGACCTAAGTTTGTACATTGAGTTTGTATGGTTTGTAATATGGAGTTTGTACAAATCAAGGCAAATAATAAAGGGTATACATGTATATCCTGATTCTGTATGTTTTATTGTTATAAAGTTGCAAGCAAGCTCCACAGGTGTTTTATCATCAGCGGAATCTTAAAAACTTAAAATGCCCACTGTCAGAAAGCTTGATGTATTGGACATTGTAATTTGCCCCCCTCCTTCCCCCCAATAAATATTACAAATCTGGCAATTTTTTCTGAGCCGGATGATTCTATGGATTTTTTAATGCATGTTTGGATGTAATAAATTGCTCAGCTTAGACTATGAAGCTCTGGACATCTTGCAGGGCTGTCATTTTTTAATCATCTGTGTTAGGCTGGCAGGAGTGTTTGAGAATTTTTCTGGTGCTGTTTGAGAAATGTTACATTTTACTTACATTTAGATATCCAGTTTTTGCTTTGATAAAGGTGAATTCTGACCATGCTTACATTTATATGAACTTGATACAATACATGAGTACTAGACAATTGATCAGACCATTTTATCATGAGCATTTTGTAAGTTTTGCATCTTGCCTCCCAATTGTAGCTTTGGTAATTTAGTAAGATTTAGTTGTTAATGATTAATTTTTCATGTTATTTAGAGAATTGTTTATTGCATCATGCAATTGGCACTCACCAAAAATTCACCTTTCTCCTGGTTGACACAAGGCAATATAAAAATAATGTCAGAATCCAAATTGCTTGTTTAAGATAACTACATCATATACATTTCCATGCACAGCTTTTTTACATCTGCATGCTTCTCTTCTCACTAAAGGTTGTTTAACGTTAACATGTTGACTGTAAAAAAAGAGAAAGACAAGAAGATTTTATGCAGTGTGCAATGCCACATAAATGCCCTCTTCCTGTGGATAATGGGTCGTAATCTCCAATTTCTGTACCATTCAAAATGACACATAACTATCTCTAACCACTTTTACAATTAATAGGAGCACAATGTACAATTACTGGCTGGAACATCGTGCAATTTCCTTGAATGCAGGGCAATTTCCTGACTCAGGAAAGAAATTTCTTGAACTGTTGGGCAAATAATGAGTGGTATATCTTAGTTACTCTTTTCTTTTTTTTGGGTCTGCATGAGAAGCATCATTTCATTGGTCAGTGTCAGAATCTTTCCAGAGAAGCTGTGTCTGGCTAACCTGTGTGTGCCTCACCTCAAAGTTACCATCCTCCTCCTCTCCCTCTGCATGCATGTCCATCTTGTTCCTCATGGTGTCCCACTTGGGATCAAAGGGATCCACCACCACAGGTTCTGTACCTTTGATCTCTGCACGGCAGAATGGGCAGCCCTGGCCATCAGAGTCCTGTGTGAACAAGATAGCACTTTATGACATACCACTTACACTGCATCACTCTTGGCACTGTACGTAGGGCTTGAAATACCATCTGCGAGGTTAGCACAAGTAAAATTGGACCTGGGAAGGTGTTTCTGATGAGTACACCAATCTTGGTTTTATATACAGATGTGAATAATTTTCTTAGGCTGTATTGACTGTTACCTACAATGAAGTGTAAAAAAAATAATGGCAATAATTTCTGAACAAGTGTGCTTGATACCTTGTAAATTCTGAGTGGGCAGATAAAATTTGTCTGGTGCAGGTACCGTAATTTTCAATGTTATCTGCACAAGTGCAGGTATGCAGAAAAAGAGGATTTAGAGCCCTTGCATGTGGTAGGCTTAATACCTTTGCCTCCAGAGAGAGTCACTCCTTTTAACTGTCATTCCAACCAACTGTGATATCCTTTCAACTTATGTATCATTTCAACAATTAAGCCAAAAGACCCGATCCCTAATCCTGTGTCTGACACATTAAAGTAGATTCAGACCACTGCTGCTGTGTGAGTTTCTGGCTGGAGTACAGCTGTCAGCAATCCTTTTTATCAAATCTTTGTAGACATGGGAAAAGGTTAAACAGTTGTTTGCCCATTTTGTTAAAAATTATCAACATCAAATGTTAGACATGTTAGGCAAAGCTCTTACCAAATATGGTTAGGAACATTTCTATATGTCTGAAACACAAATCCTAATTCAAACTTCACTGGCTATACAACCAGCAAAGTTGCCCTTGGGCATTCACAGCAGACAAATATTGAGTGCTTGAAATGTCAGTTAAGTCAGTTCAGCGAGACTGGAATAATCAATGATAACATGCATGCTGGGATGAACAACATGAAACAAGAACACATTTGTGATGTTTTACACTTTCATGTCATGCACGTGTCATCCCTTGGTGTATCCACTTAAACTTTGTCTCCTACATTTTGTATCTCATGCTGTGAATCCATCCATGATGAAAAAAGAAAACCATTCAGTGTTAGAATTGCAGAGCTTGCATCAAGCAAGATAGGACATGAGTGGACCTGGACAGTTACAAGCGACATGACACAGCAACAACAGACACAACAAACACATTGAAGCAAGACTATCTGTAGGAAGGGTAAAGTAGGAAACCTACCCTCTGGTGTCAGCAAGTGCATGAAAGAAAAGAAAATATGTTCAGGCATAGATGTACATGTATACTACATAGTTTTAAAGTAGTATTCCAAGATACAAGGGAAGGCACTGAACCATTTCAACTGTTTGCAAGGTAATCAACTTTAGAACGTTGAATATAATACCATTGGAAAATGATGTGTCAAGAATAGGGAAATATTCTGATGTAGCATATGATTGTTTGTTTTAAGTTTAAGCTTCTAAGTTACTAAATGTATGTACATTTGTTGGTGCTTTGATTGTATTACTTGGAGCCAATATATATTTTCCACGTACTGAGTACTGGTGCATGGATGCATGCATATGTAAGATTTGAAATGAAATGCACACAAACATGACAGTTTTCGATGACTTGTACCAATGGAATACTAGTTTAACAACTGCACTGCATAGTTCAAAGGGAGTGCCCACAACAATACTCATAACTATGTATCTATAGAGCAGGGGGCATGAGACTAAAAACATGGAATCAACAGTAATTTCACATACAGAAATACAAAACCTACATGTACAATGTATTTGTACAATCTACACACAGTCAACAATACATGTAAGTACATATCTACATTTCTCAAATTCTAATACACACAATAGAATACAGTTTGATAAAATTTGTATGGTACAGGTAATCTTCAGTGCAGGAATGCAGAAAAATAATTTTGAACACTGCAGTGGGACTTGCTTTAAAGAGCATCATGTCTGAAAGAGGATCAGGTAGATCACTGTTACAGTAGTAAAGTTCACATTTTTGCAGTGATTTGGTTGTGTCAAGAATGCAGAAGTGCACCTATGCAAGTGAAAGGTAACAAACTGGCAGGACCACAAGAACATTCTAAATGACCATAACACTGCCCTGTCCTCACCTGCCATGATGTCAGGCATGGCGTACACATCAGGTGGCCACAGGGCTCGATCTTGATGTCCTTGTCGTTCTCGGCGCAGATCTTACAGAGCTGGAAAGTGGAGCCCATCTCACAGTACAGCTCATACTGCTCCTGGGACACTTTGATGTGCTCGTCAGGCGAGTTGGTGCACAGGCTGGACAGGTCAGGGTTGATGTTCCTCCCATCAGGGAACAGGTAGCTGTGGGAGAGAAAACAGACACCTAATGTTGGACACCACGTGGCTGGCCGGTGAAGTTGCTGAGACCCTAACCCACAGGGGTACTGGACAGAGGAAAATGGCGAGCTACCATCAAGTCCCAGCATGAGTGTGCAAGCACATCTAACACTCGACAGACGATACACAGGATAGAGAGAGAGAGAGAGTAGATTGCTACTATTGTACACATATAACAATGCATGTGGCATTTTGAGGAAGCTTGACCTTCTACAAGCGCCCCCTTGCAATAGGAACACAAAGTGCAAAAATCTAAGACGGCTGCTGATATATTGTGCGACATGATTTTGATTATTCATTGCATATTAGAATTTATCTTTTTAGCACTACAACAATTTGCACATTAGAATTTATCTTTTTAGCACTACAACAATGAAGACATAGAGTTTTGTAAGTAAGTTAGTACATTGTATCATTTTGACCAGGTCGAAAATTGCCAGAGTTTAGGGTAATGTACATGTAGCTGGGACAACCACTGGCAATTGGACTATCTAAAGCTACAAAAGGCAAGTATGAACATCTCCAATACACCATACAAATGTGAATATACACCATACGAGTATTTACTTACAATCCTTCCCTCTGTCCGTCAATGAGAGCCTGACACAGGGACTTGTTCTGTGGTATTGTCTGCAGAATGGTCCCCTCCTGGGTCACATAGCCTATTGCCCACTGCCCTAATCTGGTACAACTCAGGCGGAAGATGTAGCTGAAAGACACAAGTTCAGGTTCAGGCTTCACAAAAATTCTACATGTAACTTTAAATATGCACCAGCTGGTAGTGCATGGTTCATGTACATGTACATGTATATAGCAGCTGCAGGAAAATTTATCTTCTTTCAGTTATAACTACATTGTACATCAGTATTAAAACATACATGTACAAGTGACTCAGTGTAAATGATTGTGATGGTTAGCTACATTCAATGTCTATGTTTAAGTTTCATGTGTGGTAAAGCATCCCAAACAGGCTTAAGAATCATAGAATGACAACTTATTAAAACAACTTAGTAGCCAATGCAGTAAATAACACACCTTCCTGGTTTGTTGATGTACTTTTGCAGCCTGGCCTTGACTTCGTCGTACGTCAGGAATGCCACGTAGCCAGAATGTGTCACAGCCAGCAGGTTCCAGTTCTTCAGCAACGTGTTCCACGGTTGGAACAGCCGCGTGAACACGTCAAATTCGAAATTGGAGATGTAGTCATTGCAAGTAAGGTCTATGGTTGACTTGAGGGCCATGGCCTCCAGTCCTGAACTGATGGGGTGGACGTCGTGCAATGTCTGACGGAAAAACTTCCACGGCACAACCGTTCTGTGGACGGAGAAAAGTACAACAGGTTAGTTAGTAACAGTCAATGCTGATAAATAAAAATCCACATACACCTGCATTTGTATACAAACCCAGTACATGGTCTTGTGCAGGTCAGCTGCAGGTAGATATCAGAAATACAATTGTACCTTAACAGCCCCAATTTTACCTGCATATGCACTAGAGCCCTGTACTACACCTACAAGTGAAGACATCAATGCTGTTGCTAAGTGGACTATGTTCTTTGGTTCTCTAGTATATTACCTGCAACATTTTTGTGTAAAATCCTTGTTTACATGTGACCTTATGAAAAAACAACAATATCTGACACACACTGCAAAATTTCTGATAATTTCTGATGGTCAGCAGATGTTTGAGAACCTATATCTTAATCCTCTTTGTCCTGCTATGAATGGGTTCACATGTGGACTACCCTAGGATTGTAGGAAGGAATGACAAGAATCTTGTGATTGGCCTCCTGGTAGCTTGGTGTTGGATCCTGTACATCTGTTTGTCAAAGTTGTCCATCATTTCAAATTCCCTTCCAAGTCTCCTCACTATGAACATGTTCCTATGCTACAGGATCATGATAGATGGACAACTGACCTCCCCTCTTACTAGTCTTACTCTATCACAGGTCCACTTGGTTGTGAATGAAATGCCAAATATGGTACCGTTATATGCTTGATGATTGACGCTGCTATCAGACAAGAAATCTTCAGAACATCATGCATACAGTTTGTCTAGATCTAACAGCAATACTGAGAATATTCCTTTCCATTTACTCCTTCTTTAGCTACAAGAACCTGTTTGTTATACTGTTAAAAAGTGTATCCTAGTATTCAGCAGGGTAAACGGTGGTACAGATGGGCTGTGTGAATAAATCAGTGTTCTTAATTGTGTAATTATAGGTTAAAAGATAATAACAATGATGATTGATTTATTCAGTCTTCCCAATGGCATTCATCAGGCTAAACTGCTGGTAAATTACAGTGTGAAATTACATAGCTGACTTTCCTTCATGTCCTTACAATTGCATATACAATTGCCTGCTAGATTTTTAACATTACCATTTACATGTACGTGTGGCTAACACTTGGAAAAACCTCATGTGCATAAACCAGCATGACAACCTGGCCTAAATATGTCATTTCAAAATCACATCAAAATCTTCAACATGTTTTCACAATGTATACACAATATTGTAATACTGTCCCTTGTGGTTTCTTATGCTCTATTTTCATGTAAAGGGCTAAGTATCCCAGCAGACTGGCTCTCAGACATATATACTGTTATATTACAATTGCAGAAGTTACAAGGTTTCACTAGTACTAGTATGCCATTTGTAAATTGTATACATGACTTAATTCCCCTGCAAAAAAATATATTACTAATTACAAGTCTTGCCCTGAAATGACCTTGCAAGTATTGAAGTACGCTGAGGTCACAGCAGCTGCAGATATAGAAAAATTGAAAGGTATAACTTGGGCACATGATGCCTGACATAATTAGATGTCAATTAGACAATTTGATCATCATTAAACTATCAGTACCTCATCTGCATAACTTATAAGGAAATACTACAATGGCCTCTTTGCTAAGATATGACTGATTGGGGTGGTGGAGAACAGAATGTAATTCATGAAAATGAGGAACTTATTTGCATAATCAATGAGCACAGGAAACATTTATGTATCACCAGTCGTAAAAATTAACATTATTTGGCAAAATTAAAGGTATGAGCTCGTGGTACTCTGTTAAGATTTTGTACTGTTACCAAAAAGCATGAAGGCCTAACATTAATGTATAAAACATATTTCAGACATGGTTGGAAATAGCAGTCATAACTTGTCTGGCCGACACCAGCTTTTTCTTTGAATGTTTAGCCTGCAGGTATTCTGCACACCAGAATTTCCTGGAACCAGACCACATGTTACCGGTATCAAGCTGATAAAATGGGGACTGTTCATTCAGACATGCTAGCTAGTAGTGGTAAACTACTTCACACCCAAGAAAACAAGCATTGTATAGTAGTAATAGTAGTAGTAGTATCAAGTATTTGATTATGCTGACATAAAACAACTGACACATGGCAATATACTGTTAGTGTTATATGAACTGTTTGACAATTCATTTATACTAGTCTATAGATAATATACAGGCATATATAAAGTTTAAACACATGTGTATAGACTAGATAGACAGATAGAATATGAGCTAGATGTATTTGAAATTTTGAATGTTGAATAAAAATCATGGATGACTTATTTCCTTTCCTTGTTTTTCATCAATATACCACACAATGAAAAGTGCACTGGACAGGACAATCTTTAGTCCTCCAGGAAAATGTACTGCTACAGAAATGAAAGAGTTCAATGACAGTCTATCCAAGTCAGTACTGCTCACCAGTGAGGACAATGATTCTCCCCTAATTTCCCTGACCATCCAGAAAAATCTCACTGAGCAAAAAATTGTGACATGCGTCTCAAGCAAAACATCTTCTCCTTCATACATCGTACATAGTTCACTGTGTAGAAAGTTACAGCTCCTTGTTTTCCAACTTTTGTCTGAATACTTTGGTGACATTGTGCCTAACTGATACTGTGATAGTGGGAGCACCTTTGTAGAGGACTCAAATTTGGATCACGGTATTCTAAATACATTCACACCAGACATTGTATCAGGTATGTCCGCTATCATTTCATCTTGCTATACTCAACTTAGATGTATATATACAATGATCATATCTGTATCCGTGTATATGCAAAATACTAGTATAAGCTGACTGGGATAAAGTGAATGAAATTTGATTCATATTTGCATTTGGCAAGCCAACAATCTTCTCCTGGCTTGGCAAGCCAACACTGAACATGAAAACTACATTTCCCACTAACTTATGCTAAACTTGGTACAAGAGACAGTGAGATAGACTGGTGTGACATGGAAATTACCATATGACACAGATCTAGCCTCTACCAGGCTTCGGGAGGCTGTAATTATAAGTGTAAAGAGTAGAAATGGCTGGTAAGAGGAGAGCGGCTGGAAAGAGTAGAAATCAGCCAAATAGATAGAATTAGCATGCCAGGGGAGTTGGTAGACGAGTGCTGGAGAGACCAACTCCCCGGCATGGTATCTCTTTATTTTGGTCAATTTCTACTCTTTCCAGCCGCCTCCCAAAGCCGGGTAGAGGCTAACAGAGATCAGGACAAGTCAGGTAAGGTTGAAGTCACTGACCTCACTACTAATACTCAGTGCTTTATTAAAGCAGTCTGGTTGGTAAACGTGAGCTCATAATTAGGTTCCTCTCATTTTTATTACAATATGCCTATAGTACAGTATGCCAACATGGATACTCGTATTTAATCCAACTGCACATACGTCACAATGATCTATGGCAATTTGCATAACAAAAAATTATAGATATTTTAATTTTATTGTGGCCTTTTCTTTGTGTTTACAAAATCGGTGGCTTTCTGGTTCGTTGCGCAACACTTCAACATCTTCAACAAAGCAACTAGACATGAAATGATGTCTGCACACCAACCCACACAAAATGTTTAAATGCATGCAGAAACAATAAGTTTTACACTTGAAAGAAACCAGCAAAATTGCCATCATGGACCAATCATCAGAAGATGTACATGTGCGTACAGCTCATTTTTGACAGGTTTTCACATGTGAAAAGAATCAACCAGAAAAGCCATACTTGAAGTGAATCACTAGACTAAAGAGAGCGGATCAATTCTGTGACAGCTATTACCCCCCCCCCTTCGATCATGTGAATGAGTACTACAGTGAATGAGTACTGTACTGTAGTATAGGTGACAACTAACTCTAGACAACTACTGTAGACTACAGCATAGTGTAAACAGAAATGAAATCAGAACCTAGGGGCACATACAACATATGTATACCATGAGCAGTTCTAAACATTTACCATTTTACATGTACTGCCAGACTTTCTTTGTACCTTAAATTCAAAAATGAAAGTAAATAAAAACAATCAATATTGTTCTGAGGTGAGGTCACAGCTTACCAGTTGAATAAATCATGACACGACTCTGTTTGGAGATTAAAAAAATGGCAATTAGTGTAGTAATTTATGTATTCTGGTAGTTCCTTTTATGACAAATAAATTTTAGATAAGACGACACACCTATACCACCTGGGCCTAATACATTTTTATCAGGAAACTATTGTAAATCAAATGTCAACTCCTCTAGAATAGAATTTATGAACAAAACAGAATTAGTCTATAGACAGGCCCAATTTTATATAACTTTTATCAAGTTACATCTGTATGCTGACATCTTTGATTATGATTACGTTAATACTAGGCCATATAAATTATGGCAAACAGTTTGCCATAATTTATATGGCCTAGTATTAACATAATCATATTTGACATAACGTAACTTTACTTTCACTTTTACAAATTTGTGATATCACTCACCGGTGATCTTCTGAACATAACCTTACTAATATATCATTCAAGTATGCCCAATTTTAGCAGTACATCACTTGCCTTCATACTTTTTAAAGAATATTTGCCAGAAGTTATGAACCAGACCTGCACTTTTGAACGTTGCCCAAATGTTAATAATACTCAAAAGTGAAAGTGAACTATTGAGTAAAATCCCTGAGTAACTGCCCAAAAAAATGAAACCATCAGGAATATTGTTGCTGTTTCCACTAAATGTATCATATGATAAAGCCGAGGTTTACAACCAGGCAGAGGTAAACAGACCTGCCCCAGTATACTCCAATCAGGGCTTACTATTGTATAGGTGGTCATGACGTACATAATGCCATTATCTGCAACAATGTAAACATTTCTCCTGCCCATACTGTGGAGTGGTATCAGCTGTTTGGGACAGGACAGGAAGTATGACAAACTGTCCATGTTTCAGGCAGGGGGCTGGGTGGACAGGACAGAATAATGCTACATCACCATGACTTCATCAGGAACAAGCATGTGTATGATCTCTTCTATAACAAGTATTTAAATGACATGTCTGGCATTTAACTTTTCTGCCATGTTGTTATGAATATTCAACACTTTGAGAGACTTGAGGCATGAGTGGTTCATGGACACAAAGACTCACCCACACACCACAACTGAATCCTTTCGAATTTCAAAGAAAGAAAATGAAGTAACGTAACTTACATGTACAGACGTCACAGTACACAGACGTTTTCAACCAACTCTGCTTCATGCGAACCAAACGAACAAGCTGGCAAAGCTTCTAACACACTACGTAATCAACTATGCGCCAATCTGACCTATCACAGGTCACGACTGCAACTTGCTGCAGTTCCATTGATCCAGATTAACAAGATTAAGTGACCAAGACTGTCCGTCCGCCTTCAGGGGAAGCCCTGCCCACACATATTACCCACCGTGACTGGACACACAGATATTTCCTGGTCGTAGATATACATGCGATTGTGACCAAACTTCCTGGTAAAAAAAAAAGTTGTAAGTCATTGCTACTCTACACCCGTAACAACAGACAAATTCTACGTACAACATGTTCAAAGAATTTGGAAACCATGTCAGTAGGAGCTGTTGGTAAGGATTTTGCTTGAAAGAAGTAAACACTCAAAAGTAGACTCCTTGTCAAGTCCGTCTCCCCGCCCCTCCTCTTCTTTTCCCTAAAATAGAAAGGCGGAAGTTGCCAAGCGGGGGCCCTCGCGAAAGGGGTTACAACTTTTGCTGAAACAATATAGCTCACCTGGCCCCGAAGGACTTCTTCCAGAAGTCTGATGCCTCACTTTTGGTGATCCTGAAGACGTCCCCGGAAAATGTTCCGTTGGGAAAGATCGCCTTGAGCTCGGCAAGCATGTGGGAAAAGATCAGGGAGAGTTTGGTGAGGTTCCGGCGGTACTGGGACGTCTCCTCGAACATTTTCTCTTTCCCGTCCTTGAACAGCCTGATGGCCTGCTTGCACTTGCGGATAAGATTTTCAATGTAGACCCTGAAGTACTCACAGTCATTAAGCTGTTGCATACGATCATCATACTTGGCGTGAATGATCCGAAGGTGCTGGTAAGTGTCCGGCAGAATGTCCAAGATGAACGGAGGGGAGTTCTTGAGGCTCATTCGCGGGTGTTGGCACAGCTTCACCACCTTGTCCATAAGCTTCCATGACTTCTCTATCGTCTTCTTGTCTACCACCAGCTTCGGTGGGGCCACTGCCTCCGCTATGGCGCCCTGAAGCCGCTGGAAAGCTCGGTTGATGGCACCTGAGGGTCGCGACGCTGGCTTCGCAGCTGCCGTCGCCATCTTTCTTCCTGGTTTGGTTACCTCGTTCTCGGACAGGAAGTCTGAATCTCCCGGCATCCATTGCGCAAACTCTACCCCGTGCCGCATGTTAGTGTTGAAAGTGAAAGTGTATTTTTAAAAAGCAAAGAGTTTTTGCAATGGAGGATTCCTCCTTGCTGAAGATTATCCATTATTTATTTGTATCCTGTCGTAGACAGTTTGACTTATTTCCAGACCTACTAAACATCCAATACCCATCGCGATGAAAATCCTCCAGCACTATGCATCACTTTGTAAGTCATGGTGACTTTCTGGGGCGAGTCTCACAAGACTTTTCAGTTCGAAATTTCATACTGAGAATCCTAAAGAAATCTGGACACGAGCTATTTTTTACCGCGAATAAAACAGAAAGCGAGTTGAAAGGTCATTCATCATGGTGATGTATGTTTTTGAAGTGCTAATGAGCAGTAAGAATGTGGTTTTACTCGGACCATTACACAACAGTGCCGCCGAATATTGGTCTTCCGGAGTCACGACGTCCCACTTTGAAACGTCACCCGCAAGTGATGTTCCAGCGGATCGTAGACTACATACAGGCCTTTCTTCGTTTACTAGTATTCAAACGTCCAGTCACATAACTTCCCGTCTCGAATACAATCCTCAAGCAATTCAGTAAACATCCACCCTTTGGCAACTCAAAATATCTGTCGTACCATCCGTAGCTCAGTGCCCAGAAGTGGTCGTTTCGCTGTACATTGTAACCAAAAGGGAACACCATCCGACCCCGAGACAAAAGGGGGCCGTAGTCCAACCATTTAAATGATGGGAATGCGCAGTTAGAAAAGTACAAGAACACATTTTTTGAAAAAAAAAAAACAAACACCGATAATAATACCTCTTTGTTTATTAAATAGTGTGCGAAATTCACTCAGTGGAAATAATCATGTTTGAGTGAACTCATCCCTACCACAAAAGAATACGCAAGGATTTATCTGCACGTATCATGTCACTGGCAGAGACAACAACAAACAGTAACACGATATGCAAAATAACTCAGCACAAAGAGACAGAGAGGCAGATCGGCTAAGATCATAACAATATCTCCATACGATATCTTCAAGTTTCAAACCAGACAAAACAAAACATATGATGAAGTAACCAACCTTAAATCGCCGGATACATCATAACAGTTGACTCATCCAGCAATTGAATTTGGAAAGGATAAATGGACAAGGAAACTTGGTGCTACAGAAATTGCATGACAATTACGTTACAATCGATCACACGTACACGTGCCTCCACTGGAACATCATTATAAGACACGGTATTGACATAGAGCATACATTACTGAGGATAGTTACTAAGGAAGGTATAAATAAGCTCATCTCTGAATGACAGTGCTTAGAAAAGATGCCACAAGGTATGGATGTCACTAGTGCTAACGACGATAGATAATTTATACTGTTACCATCAATATCTATGATTTTGACATTGATAGTCGAGAATACTATGACATGATATGATACTTATTTTACAAAAGCGCCATGTCGTTTTCGCGTCACTGACACACAATTCAAACTGATGTTTCTCAATGCATTTCGGTATACGGAATTGTCACATTGAAGCTCAATTGACAATACAATTTTTAGATACAATAACCTTGGATATCGTCATTCCACATCGTTACGTAATATACTGTTCGTTGTTATTGTAAACTGGTACACTTGTAACATCATGTGAGGTCATTTTTAAATTTTTAATTGATTATATGGTTATAACCGGCCACTACCTGCAAAGGAGGTATGCAACATACTGAGTTTTCCATATGATTATACCAAGGAGCTCAAAATGTAGATTTTAAGCTCATTGGTTATACTGTATCCATTTGTCATTTAACATAATGAACTTTCCATAATTATACCAAGGAGCTCAAATCTAGATTTTAATGTTATTTGTTATTCTGTATCATTTGTCAAACATCTTCGGCAAAAACATCCAATCGACCGGCGTAGACTGTACTGTCAGCACGGTAATCCAAACCTTAAAGCCCGACCCATAACCTACCCCCAGCCCCCTGATCTTGGCTTCAGTTGAAGCTGTGGACCGCCTGTGGCCGCAGCAGCTTCTTGAAGGCGTGTCGGAACTGCCTGTTCCTGAAGGCGAACACGATGGGGTTGCTGCAGGTGGAGATGAAGTAGGCGAACCGGCTAACGCGGTGGGTCACCTGCCAGCCGACCGAGGTGACGTGCGGCGCCCTGCACAACAAACACAACAACGTCGGTACTGTACACTTCTTATACTAGTCATAGCCTCTACCAGGCACCGCGGAGCGCTGGAAAAATAGTAGAAATTGGCCAAAATGAAGGGAATAGTATATCAGGGGAGTTAGGCGGCCGGAAAGGGTACATTTTGCGACCCACGGTCAACGACAACTGTCGAGTAAGAAAGTTTATTCATGAAATAAAAACTCACGCGCCCAGGATGGTCTCCACAGTGATGAGGGGGAACTCTGACAGCCACCAGATGGCGACGACAGCCGTGGTGGTCACCGCGCTCTTGATCTTCTTCCGAAAGTCCTCCGCCGAGTGGCCGCTGATGTTGCCGGCCTGGATGGCGCGCAGGTGTCGGCGTGCCTCCAGGTAGATCCTCACCTGTAACACACCCAGAACTGTCAGTGCAACGGTGGCTCTGAATCACCGGGAGGGAAGGTGGTCCGTAAACTGGCTCCCCTGGCAAGCAGTTTATTTTCTTGCGCCGTACGTTACAAAGAGAAGTGGTGCTTCAGCACCAAGGACAGACATATCAGTGTGAATGTTTTCACATTACTGTAGCCATTTATTTCCAGATGTCCCCATAGATTACCAGAACCTGACGTTATAGCGCGTTCAGATTTGTGGTAGCCCGATGTACGATTTTTTTTAATGTCGTAATTCTTTCAAGCAAGCTGTGACAGACCCAACCATTCACAAGGATCTAAGACAGCCTTTTCCGTAACAAGACAGACGAATTTTGCAGGCCATGTGCACGACTGTTGACCGGGGCCCTTACACAAGTCAACATATATTTGTCGCGGCCTTACCTGGGAGTATGTAGCGAGAGAACCAGCGGCCATGAAGAAGATCCAGCCCACCACCCCCGACAGTATGGCGTGGCTGACGCAGTACATGGGGGCGGGGTAGAAGAAGGGCGGGTCTGAGCGCAGGAACGGCAGCATACAACAGGCCGTCAGGGTGGCTCCTGACAGACACACCGAGAGCAGGCCCCAAATCCGCCGACCTAGTGAAATACGTGGTGCAACCTTCCTTATCTATAGAGTATTGGAATTTCTAGTTATATCCACCGAACCGACCGAAACCACAATTTTATCAACGAGCTTGAAATAGTCTCCACCAGAGTAACAACACGGGTTTAAAACGTTAGCCAAATAGGGAAAATAATTTGACAGGGGAGCCACCCTAGAGTTTATTTGCCCGGCCTCGCCGTGAAGTGATGCTTCAGCACCAAGGACAGACACACCGGTTTTGAATGTTTTCACATAAGGGACAAGTGAAGTGTTGTTGTGCTTCGTAGGGGGGAACTGACCATTCCACGGACTGAGTCTCCTGGAGAATTAGTTACCTTTTTTGCGGAATTATATTATCTGTACCCCCGCCGGAAGGTCTGATGGAGGCTATCAACGAAATAGATCGTATAACGCGTCTCTGTATATCTAAATATTCACAATGTAAAACAAGATCTAGAAGACTAGAACATGTACAACTTACCTGTGAACTTGTTGTGATACTGCATGGGGTGGCAGATGAAGTGGTACCGCTCGAAGGAGATAGCGCCGGTCATCATCATGGAGAAGAAGGTACACAGGATGTGGAAGAAGGCCATGATATCACACGCCGTCTGTCCAAACGTGTAATGTCGGGTGAACAACACATCTGAGGGCCAGAGTGTAACGGAAATGTACCATTTGACATTTACAGTTACAATCTGTTGCACACTACTACTTGGCAATCTTATCCTAAAATCACGTGTAACCTACAACATCAATTTCTGGGGAAGCTAGAACTCTATGATAAATATGATCTCTGTGTGTGCCAGCATAATGACATCATAGATGAAATAAGTAAAAGGTGATAAGAAGATGCTCACTAAGCATGACAGGGACGATGAGCAGGTCGTACAAGATGTCCGCCGCGCAGAGACCAGACAGGAGGAAGTTGGGCGGCTCGTGCAGCCGTTCGTCCAGCCACACGGTCCCGATCACCGCCGTGTTCCCCAGGAGGCACAGGACCAGGACCGTCAGTAGGTACACCACCTGAAAATAGCATACATCACGGGCCAGTATAATTGTAGTTTCAGACATGCTGTAGATATATCACTTCACTAGAAGGAAGACATGTATAAAAATGAGAAAGTTTATTGCAAATTCTTGTCCGTAGGCCAATTGCAAGTACATGTAGCATGAAAATAAAAGATGGACAATAGGGTGGATAACAATATATTATGCAACTGCTCTAACTCATCATCATCTGAGCTCTAACTGCTAAACACTAAATTCTAACTTATTCTAACTTACTGGGTCGACTTCTTTTACCGAGACAGTGGAAGACGAATGATCCCAAAAACGATAGCTCGGAAGCTTGTTCACTTCTAACGTTCACAAATACCCACTAGACGCCGATCTCTGATTCACGATGTTGATTCGTACTAGCATTTACATGGTTCTCAATAACGTGTTGCTAGGACAACATACATGTATACATCTAACCTGTGGGACGCTTTCAGGAAAAGCTGTGGCGAAGATGAGGGGTAGGGATGGAAGCGGCGGTGCCGTGGTGACATTTCCGGCCGTGCAGTTGACAGAAGTGAAGTTCGCCATGGTGCAGTTCCGCCCGGGCTCCATCTTACCACACAGCCCCAAAGAACCCAGCCGACCGTTACTGCGCAAGCATCGTATGGACCATTCAACAACGCGGCGAGCAAATTTTAAGGTTTGCTCTGAATCCGATATTTCAAAACCCTCGCGTTTTGACTGCTAGCATCGAGATCACCGTGCCTCCAGCAATGACCATCGTCCAGTAACGTCGGATATGGATTTGTTGCAGACGATATGACAGTATCGTGTTTCTCCTCTTCAAAATGGGAGTTGGTTTTGGCTTTGCATCCTTTTGTTGCGGAATATGCTACACTGGCGACGTGAATCAAAGTGCTGTTGTTCTTTAAATCCCTACAGACGGTGGGCATAAACATCGTTTAAAAAGACGCAGTGTTGTGGAAAGTTCATAGACACTAATTACTTACGTAACATGCATTATTAACGGAGTCAAAGCTGACAGTATATTTCTATTACCGTCCTTTCTTAATCCCCGCAAGTTATGGGTGTTATATGTGTTAGGTAATCTCTGATTGAGGTTGTTTCTTATTTTAGCTTTTCCAATTTTCTGGGCTTAACTGCAATCTTAGACGTTTGTATACACAACAGATGTAGGAAAACATACGTTTGGAGGCGGCCTACTTTGCAATTCACGGCTAATGATAAAATTGGTTTATCAAGAGTGTTAAAAGCAATTTTAGATCTCCTCTTATTGTGTAGTGTAAGGATTAAAGAATAGAAAGTAAGGGGGGGACTCAAATTGTGAGAAGTGTAAATCGTAATCAAGGATTGCTGTATGACAGGGGAATATGTTGGAGGATCGAATAGGATAGAAATAAGGATGATGACTACGGTAGGGGCAGAGGAGGAGCACGTCTCCGAAAACAAAGGACAGGAAGGTTTGGGCACAAGGAAAATGGAAAATGATGAGGAGCATATATGTGTATGTAGTAGACAGTATGCTGTCTAAATCAAGAAAGGTATGCAGTGTACGCATGTTGATAAATGTAATGTTTATTCGATCAAGGCAAACATTATCATCCTTGATTGCTAACACTTAGTGCCATCAAATGGCACTAATAAAAAAAGAAAACCACCGCAATACATTCAGTGGGAAATGCCGTTTCCTACGTGGTCACTCTTATATATTTTCTTTTATTGGTTATTATTGACCGATGTAGGACGAAGAACATGTTTAATTTATCCATTAAATTGACAACATTGGTTACTTTTACATTCACAAATCAACTCATCACACCGTATCGTATTGTATCAAAATCATTTCTTAAATAAACCTTTTGGATATCCTAGTTCCTATAGCTAGTGATGGCCATGCATAGAGGAACGTACATCCATTTGCTTTACATAGATGAAAACACTCGTTTTGTAGAAAGACAAAATCTGCCGTTGGCCAGCGTTAAACGTTAGCTACATGTACCAATACAGCCTAGAAGTTCATACTAGTGGTTTTGGTATTAAAGCTCTAACGTTATAACATCACACATTAGTCTCTTCAGGACAAAAATACGATAGTCGTTGTAAATAGAGCTGATCATGAAGATCCGACCAAGATTGGGGCATGTTGTATCCAGAACCTCGCCTTTGCCAAAATCTGCGTTTTTTTTCTTTCTTGGATGCTCGGAGACTATCCTGAACCAGGCCTGATCCCATCACTAACACATTGATGCATAGGAAAAGGGTTTGGATACGATAGGGCAGACGTGGAATGATGTGGTCGTCCTGTAATCTCCGTTTTACCTGGGAGTAAAGCGAATGTTTGGGGTGGGCGAAAGCTCCTGGAAACATCCCGTCACAGTGTCCACTTCCTCGTCACAGTGGAGGTAGAAGTTCTGTACCAACTGTAGTCATGCAAGAAAAGTAGTTTTCCGTCAGTTGTTCAGTTAAACCAGATAAGACACTTCGTTAAGTTGTTTGGATCAACTTCTTTCTCAACTGAAAATACATTTTTAATACCGCATTGTACATATAAAACTCCCTTACCTTAGATATCTGGATGTAGAACTTGTCTTCGGCGAATCGGCGACCTGGGGAATATGATTTAACAGGTTCAACATGAACTATGCCACAATGCGGCGTTGTATTTAGAAGAGAGGTCTGGCGTTTATTTTGAGGTATAACTTCACTATGGAATTCCAGAAGTAAAGGGTTGCTAGCAGTCTAGCACTGTTGATTATGAACACCGGAGCCGTGACAGAAATTCCTTTCAATCCATTTCTTAAGCTTGTTAGATCCCTTTATTATCCGGCTATCATTGAAAATCAAGATTAGACACTAATTGATTCTCTTCTTTGCTTATAGTTTTGAGTCAATCAAATAAAACAACACTAAAAGGTCATGACCTATGCACGCGCGTGGTCCGTGGCCGAAGGGAGTGACGTGACTGAACATGCGGGATCGGAAGCCGTTCGGAGCCCCTCGGAGCCAGCGCTCGGGCCGGAACCGGTCTGCCTGCGGGTACAGTTCCTCCAACCGGCCCAGCACGCTGATGGGGATCTCAATCGTTGTCTGGGGCGACAGAGCAAGGAAGGAAGTTCAATATGATTCATTGCGCAAGTGAAAGCACATTATAATTGTGTAACATTTAATGTTATTCTGAATTATCAAGCTCAAAAGTACCAACGATGTTATGATGATGATGCAATTGCCTACCATCGGTGTTGGTCCGTTACAATATCAATTGCGCACATCAATGGCGCTTTTCTCTAAGATTAATCAAATAGTGCAGTACCTGAGAATGACACAAGGGGCGCTAGAGCATAAAGGACGGTGTTACTACCGTTATGTGCTATGTGATTGGACAGGGAAGAAACAGTTAGTTACATCACACTACTTACATGAGCGGGTACACGATATCCGGACAGGACAACATCACGGTCCAGAACCCGCATGTGAAGGAGGCCGACTGGGTGGAACCTGGGGGATGAGAACAGGAAATGGTAATGATGCAGTAGGTTTCATCCTTTTGTAGAAGTACAAATGTTTATGTACCTACATGTATTAGTCAATGTTGTACAGAAGCGAAAGAGAAGAGGGGTGTTTCTGTGTGAGAGTCAACAGCTAGCTATATATAATGTAGGGCAGAATGTTACCAGCACTATAGCTTATAGAGTAGTCCTAACAGATTCACCTGAAGGTTTCCTTCACAAAAGCCTTGAGGTAGGGCAGCTTGTGAAGATGGGCGCTTGTTACCGCTTCTCCCGCGGGTACCACCTCTGTGACCTCCCGCCGGATGGTCTCCTGGACGTCCGGGTGCCGGGCTAACTCGTACAGCTGGAACATGTCGGCATGGGAACTCTGCGGAAAACAGAGAAACAACAAATGTCAACAGTTTTCTCTGGAGTAAGTTGAATTTAAAACCGAGAAGTGAAAACTATTAAAGCTAAACACCACTACTTTTGTATCGCTATGGATCGCATGTACCGTAAATCTAGCTAAGACTGAATATCATCCTTAGACAGTCTATGTTATGTATGTGCGCAATTGCTTTGCAACGCAACGTCATTGAGGAAGGATTTCTGTCAAAGAGATTTTAACTACTGTGTCCAAGTTCAATGGAGAATGATATACATTGTATCATGGTTACGTGCTATAAGGTTAGGGTAGGCTTACGGTTAGAGTAGGGTTAGAGTAGGGTTTGTGTTGGAATACCGGGGGTAGGTTAAGTTAGGTTAAGGTTTAATATACTAGGATAGGGATCGGCTCAGGATTAGGGTTCGGGTTCGGGTCCATTCTTGACTTACGGACTGCACGCCGCCCACGAACAGTTCCACAGTCGACATGGCGGCGTCCTTGTCCGACAGGCTGGACTCGGACAGCAGGTAACCCAGCACGCTCGGCCGGTCCTCTTCGTAATCCACATCCAAGTCCATGTGGTGCTTCACAATCCTTTTGTCAAGGAAAAAAAAAACATAAGTACCTTCGCCAAGAATGTTGCCGGTGCTAGTGAGTATTGAAAGTATAAGTAATATAATTAAGATCAGTCAACTTATCGCTTACCTCAGGATATTTCTGTGAGCATTCATATAGCCGTTCCAGGTGTCCTTGATGAGATACTTGGTCAGCGGGAACCCTATTTCCAGTTTCAGCCACGACGCGAAGAAGTCGTCGATGCTCCTGATCATTTCAGCCGTCTGGCACGAGTCCGAAAAGTCTGGCTCCAGACACCCTGGGCGACGGCCGAAGATCGTGGTCCCGGCAACTGGCAAACAAACAAATCCTGATTTTATGCCATCCTACAAAATCGTTTTAATAAGTTAGCAAACATACGCCAAGTGAAGGTGGAGGCGGTTTGCAAACGCTCTGTTTATTTTGAACCCTCATATATTGTTAGAGGAAATGGTGTCTATAAACTACCTATCCGAAACAAGCTATACGATTCAAGTTTTTCATTTAAAACCTCACCTTCAGTGTTGTAACGCCTGATCTGCCACGTGAGGTTGGGGACGGTGTGATCATCGACCAGGCTCCGCTTTAGGAGAGCCAGGAAGTCATCCGAGATCTGTAACGGAAAGGGATTAATCAAGACCTTACGTTACACCTGGGCCAACGGTACATGTACTGCCTCGTGCCCTGTCTTTTAATGTCTCTCATTGTACCCTTCATTTATGCTGGTAACCTGAAGCCACTTTCTAATGTTACCGCACCTGTCTAGTAAAGAGCTTGAGTCAATGGACACGATGTAACGACGCTAATCACCAAGGCGTGTGGAAAATGGTCATTGGAAGGTTGGATCACAGTGTTGACAAGGTTAAAGGATTGCCACGAAGACAACGAATGGGCAACAATTGCTCCGAAAACCTGTTTCCTGACGCCCTATTGTATCCATCAGCAAAACGACTTTTTTTATTCACGATATCCCCTGATAAAATAGAATCAGTTTTACATTACCTCATTCAAGGTCGGGTGGAAAAGTTCTACCCCACTCCTCCTCAGCAGTGTCCTGTTGACGGCACTGCGGGTACGGTACCACTCTAGGCCCTGTCTACAGAAAAGGAAACACACGTTATCGTACGAACAGTTATGTGGTGTTGTGATAGAAAATGATAAAACCGCAATATATAACGACACTTTGCTCTTCTTATTTCTGTCTAGACAAGTATTCCGTCAGCGTGGACCGGGAAGGAGAGTAGTGACAAACACTGTAAACCATCATTGTATCCAGAACCGCGCTTAATCCAGAACCTGGTTTGGGATAGTCTACGCAAATCTACGTTCTCGGGGCCATCCAGAACCGTGCCAGTTCATCCTAGTAGATAGGCACGGTCTGGATACTATAAGACATAGGTTTATTACCCTCTATATACGTTTCATACCTTATTGAATACATGTCATGTTTTATTCTTTTTCACGTGATATTTGAAGCATGTGAGCATCTACGAGGATGTAACTGTGTAAAAGGTCAAGGCCTTCAGTCCGACCTGTGGTGAACGCCACCGCGCCTGTGCCGTGTCAGTCATCACGTAGTAATTTATGTATTCATACCAACACAGCGACACGCAGGGTACACCGGCCCATGTTGACAGTGTACACTCACCCATTGAAACTGGACTCTGACTGTGCTCGGTGCTTCAGAAGTTCTTGTCCGGCCGCTTCCATGGATTCCCTCACCAGCGGGAAGGACGGGCGATGTGGGTACCTGGAATAGAAAATGACGAATCTTTTGTACGCTCTATTTTTAAAAGCCACCCACTGCGATCAAATTCACTGCATGTAGTTCTTGAAAGTTTGGCCATACAAGTTGCTGTTCCAGTCAACTTAATTGTTTCGTTAATAAAATCTGATGAAAGCAAGTATAGGGTGCAGTATTAAGAACGAGGGAGCGGCATGAAAGTATGTATCAAATTCTCATTTAGAAAAAGTGATATTAGGGGCCTTTCTAGCCTGGATGCCAGACCCAAAGCACACTGGACACAAAATATCTCAGTTTCCTGTTTGTTTAGGTAACAGTTCTCTGACACACCAGGACAAAATAACCTTATCTACAGTTTTATCTCATCTGCTGGTGAAGATTCAAACATCCAGCTGGGAGTTTTTAACCAATCATAGCAGAGGTGTAGAATTGCTTCCTGCTGTGCCACCAATGGGGCCTTACGCTCAGATACTGAGCGTTCGAGTGGCAGGTCTATCTGACCCTACCAGACCCAGGCTCACTGAGATATTTGTGTCCAGTGTGCTATGGGTCTGGAACCCAGGCTAGGGCCTTTCAAACTCTTCTTAAGAAGCTGAAGTGTAATTCGGACGGTGTAATGAATTTCGAAACTTGTATCAATTATCCTGTGGTAAATACCTTCCTTCGTTCCTGTAGACGGTCTCAATATCTCCGGGGTCGGCTATACGGACGAACGTTCCCCGTGGACCGAGGTTCTCCTTGTAGATTTTACCGTACTGTTGGTAGCGAGTCCACAGCGCCTCGTCAAAGCGCCGAGGATCAAGCTTTCCTGAAATACAATTCATAATAGTGAGACCTTAAGGAGAACAAAGAACTGGTCGACAATTCGAATTAATTTGGGTTTAAAGCAGCTGACGTCTGGCATATCACAGTAAGAATGTACGAGTAGAATGTTGAGTGAAGTGATGACTGGTCACTGAAAAGTCTCTTACCAAGGAATGTGTACTCCCACAGACTTCCAATGATGGGCAGCCCCTTGGGGCCAGGGATCTCGTGGAAGGGGCGCACGGCCGCGTCCGTCTTGTTTCCCGTACGGCTGACATAAGCTTCCATCCCCGTATCCGACACAGCCGAGCTGCCTTGGCGTAGGATGCCCAGCCTAACGTTTCTAGCCATGGGGTAAAGAAACTTCCAAGGAAATCTCCCACACCTCCACTGGGTGTCCAGAAGACGGTTGCTTCTCATGACCGCGTCACACCTCCTACTCAAAACTCCAGCAATCCCCATCAGGAAAACGTACTTCTTAGATTATCTGGGAGAAAAGCAATGAAATCGTGACGTGTTTTCTCTTGAAATGTCCCAAGAAAGATTCACTTGGCGTAGTAAATGGTTGGGTATACGTAGACGATCATGATCTTGGCGGAATAAAACCGTCCAAGGCTATTTTGACAGTCAGCTACATCTTCAACAAAATCTTTGCTGATGGCGCAGTTAGAGTGGTTTTGATCTCTGTGTAAGTGATCCGCCCGCAAAATATACAAAAAGTTTCCTCCAAAAAGTAAAAGAAGTTAATCTCACCTTGCTGATGTATTTTTGTCCCTCCGTCACTAAAATTCGTTTGTTTTCTGAGTGCCTAACTTTTCTACGCGGGGCCCTACTGATCTGATGTAGTTTGAGGTAGTACGCCTTTGTGCTGTGTGCTGTTGATGTGACGCAGTCGAAAATAACGCCAGTCTATTGGAGGACGTAAGAATAGTTTTGTATCATGTTATGGGGCATTCCTGTCATACCGAAGTGTTATCGTGTTCTCACTTATCCATGGCCTTTTGTTCTTATGTTAACGAAACGTGTAATACAGGCAAACATTAGTAACAATTACAAGGAAATATTCCCCCAAAATTAAACAGTTCATGTGATCATGTTTTGCTTATTGTGTCGCTTATTGATTATCACTGTATATCATATACTAGTATACACATACCAGATGTCAAACGCTGGCTTTGAAACATCACTGTCTTGTCCTGTACACATTTTGCGAGCTTCACCTATTAAGACTCAAAGACAGAATATCAAATCAAACCACTTACAGTGATAAAATATCGACGGAGTTTCAGCGGTTGTATAATCCCCAAACTTACAAGTACAACAACAAAAGCTATTAAGTGAACCCGTCAATTGCAAGCAAAGTGGGTGTCTTTGTGTGCGGTAGTCAGTGGACAAGGGACCCAGATTGACCTTCAGCCTTTGAATGACTCGATAGTTCATTGATATCGGTGATATCAATACTGTACCAAATCCATCATGTAAGGTGATGATGACAGCCGGGCCTGTGGGCCTGTATGACCAAGGGCACACGGGTGTGTGTTGAGCATGCGTTAACGTTGGGAACGGGTCACAACAATAACCGAGTCCTAAGGAGCTTTTAATAGCCAGACTTTTAGTGTAAAGAATAAAGAGCGGACAGGTGACCACCATTACGATGGATTAGAATCGTTACTCAAAATACTCCAAATAAACGGTACGTACGTAAACGGCCTACAGGTGCCCTTTAGAAAGGTGTCAATTTCGACAGCTGGAAAGTTTGATACTTTACACAAACACGATTTTTCAAAGGTATGGATGATACCAAACGAAAAAAATCTGTTAGGCCCAGATAGCGAGAAAGGCGTCTAAATTTAGATTTGCATCATCACTTCCGCAGGTCTTCTTCCGACAATATTTTGTCCACAAAGTTCTTTACCTAATCCAGAACTTTAACCTGTTGATGTAGCGGAGTTGTACACGAAGTACCACTAGTTTACATAACACCTTTTCGAAAAGGTGAAAGGGGATACCCACATTAAGTGTTTTTGGTAGTGAAAAAATGTTGACTGCAACAAAAGTCAGTTTTTTTCATGACGAAGTCCAAGACATTTCAACTATGTCCAGGGAAAGATTGTTTCCCAGTAAACACTGTGAGCCCCTCCCTCAAAACTTTCCAGTATATTCCACAGTTCTGACGAATGAGTACCGAGAATGCCAACATACATTTATGCATGTGCAAAGATAGTTTAGGTCATTAAGGAACAACTTCGAAAGACAAAATGATCGGATGCCTAAGTCTCCTTATCAGTTCAAATAAATGGACCTACTTCTTTCCTTATCATCACTAGTACTCCCAGCTTCGATCTATCTGGTTATAACAAGCACAAGTCACAAATGAAGTCCATGTAAGAGAAATTGATTTGTTATACATGTACCTTTATTTTATCATAAAACTTTTGCAGCAACAGAAAAAATGAAGAACACAAAATCAGAGGACAGAACACAATAAGGAAATGATGCATACTATAGATCCTCATGCAACGTGGATTACAGTAATTGGATATAATCAAACCCATCAACACTATTGCATGAATGTACTTGTACATGATGCTAGCTTGACCTGTCCCACTAAGCAAGACAGGTCACACAACATTGTTAGTAACAACTGACAAATTTCATTCATGAAACTCAGAAACTACAAGCAGCAGTTGCAGAAGAAATTTCATATCAAAGAGTAAATAAAGAGCTCCAATTTTATCATAAGGGCTTCGTTTGGAAGTCCTTTTAGAAATAAAGCATGGGTTACCTTCTGACAAACTAAACTAATATTTGAAATTCTCCACAATCTGAATAAGTAATATTGATGCTATATAAATGCATGTTCATACATAATCGGTTCTATGCTACCATATTGTAACATTCAAACAGAATTGAAACATCTGCTTATTGAACATCTGTATTGCAACAATTGTCATGTAAAACATCTGTATCCAACACAAACTACACTAGCCCCTGCATCTCATTGCACACAAAAGAAGTGCATTGCAATTTTAAGGAGCAAATCAGCATTTTATTTCATAAATTGTTCAATTTCAATTCATCTTGGCACATGTGACTAAGGAAAATTGACTACATTGTACCTCTTCCATGTCTCAAAAGCGTATGGAACTTAACTAAATGAACAGTGTAACCTGTGACATCACTCTAGTCAAATCCTATAACCTGTATCCCCATCTCCTCTGCTGTCTGCTTCAGGGTTGACAATGATACCTCCTCTCTCTGTCCTACAGGGTGGCCCCTGTGTGGATTGTCTGTCATGATGTGCATCCCTGGTTGAGTGGTCACCACGTGTCCGTCTGTGTTGATCTCCACCATACTGTACACCACCTCCTGTGCCCCTCCAGTCTGCAGGGTTAGCGTGGAGACTGGCTGGGGCAGGCCCACCTCCTGATGCCCCCCAGGGGTGGGCAGGACCTGCCACAGGAGTTCTGAAGGGTGTGTATGGGGGACCACTGCAGTCCCCTCCACCTGGCCACAGCTGGGCGCGGACAGGGCGTGGTTACTCCCAACAGCCACCTGGTTGTCGGAGAACGTGCTGAGGGGCTGGTGAGTCGCCACGCTGGCCAGGATGTGTGCTGCGTCTGTGTGGACGGTGCTGGGGTCCAGAACAACTCCTGCATGATGTACTTCCTGGGATATTGCTGAATCCTGCAGAGTGATGCTGACTTCACTGTTCTGTAAAAGTGCACCTTCTCGGTTCATTTCTTCCAACGTAGTGCTGCCTTTGCTGCGATAGTTTTCTGGCGGAGGGATACATGGATGTATCGGTGATGGGACAGACTCTTGAGGAGTATCCTTGCCAGAGTGAGGAATGGGTGATGGAACAGAGTCTCTGTCGGACACATCCGAGCTTTCCTGCTCACTCTGGGGCTTCATGAGCATCTCTGTCAGTTCAACACTTTCATACCGGATAGTCTGCAACCTGAGGTAGCCATCATCATGCTCCTTGTACCTGCACAGGGACAATGGACTTAAGTTTACAGGTAGATAACGGTCAACACGGTCATCTGAATAAAAGTGTACTAGATTAGTCTACATGTACATCTGTAGACACAGGTCAGGATTGTACTAGACAATACATGGTCTAGAGAACTACTTAGTGTTGTTATTGCTGACAAGCAGGTGGAATAATATACATCTTGTGTCTTCTTTGACATTAATAATAATATGTACACTTACATGTATGTAATTATCTGTTCATAGGGCTTAACAGATGTCTGCTTACCTGAACCTACTGTGTCCTGAAGGCCACTTAAACTTGTGAGCAGTCTTGAGATGGCGAGTCAGGCCTGTACCCCTGCTGTACACCTTCTGACAGATGTGACACAAGTAGCGCTGTACTGCACCTCCGGCCTGGGGACACAACCAACACAGGTTAGCATAGAACCAGACTGATTACAAGTGCAGGTACAACAACATACCATACTGACTGCATCACTATCAGCTAGCACCTAAGTATGCAGTAACCAGTTGTAACATAAAGATTTGGTGAGTAACAACTCCTAGTACTAGCTAACAGCTATTCCCTGTTCAATATGTACAATAAAACAATGGTCCGCCAATAATTCTAGACCTGTAGGGTTTCTCTCACCTCGTGGTCTTTCCTGAGATGGTCCCTGAGACTGTTGTAGGCCTTGCAGCTGTAGTCACAGTGTTGACACTGGTAGATCTTCTCCACACTGTGACTGTCCATGTGACGCCGCAGGTCGTAGTTAGTCTTACACCTGTGGGGACAAGCACAGATAAACACCAGATTATTCAAGCACAAACACTGGGATGAACACTGATCAGATTACTTTTGAGGTTTGACTACCTTCGAACAGAGTAGCTCAACTTTTGGAAAAGTCTTACCAAATCAAATATCTGCTACAATCTTCTCTCATTATGAAACAAATATAGGGCAAAAACTCTGAACACTTTTACTGGATGTCATTGTCATAGATAGTGTAATACTAGCATTTTACACTCTTACTTGTAGTGACAGAATTCACACTGGTATGGTCGGTCCTCTTCATGACGAAACTTGATGTGACTACGTAACCCTGATGGCGTGGGGCACGTCATGTCACAGTGAGGACACTTGTAGTGGTTGACTGGAAATTAAAGAACGGTCGGCAAATTATGATGGTAACAATTTCATCTGAAGTTCTAAGTAGCTCACTCATCAAAACATCTGTAGGTACTTTTAGCTGTGTACAATTTACAACTGGGAAAAGGAATGCTGATCTAAAACCTTGTCAAACTATATACAAGACTATGCGTATGCAAACTATGGTAGACATAACCTCCGAGCTCCATGAAAGAAACAACAATGTATTAGCTTGTTTAGTGCACGCATGTACATGAAAGTATATTACACCCAGATTGACTGACACAGATGCAAGCTGTATTAACAATACTATGTCCATGAAGTTTTCATGCAAAAACAAATCATTCATCCTCACCATGATGTCTCATATGATCCCTCAGTAGTCTTTCTGTGGAGAACCTTTTTGAGCAGTGAGAGCACTGGTAACTCTGGTCTGCAATGAGAAGGGCAGATATTACTGAGTGCAGCATACAAAGTGTAATACTAAAAATATAAAATACATTCAGCAACATTATCAATGCACTCCCTGGGATTTTTAGAGACAAAGAAAATGTACCCTACAAACCACATTAATAAATTCTATTGTTCTCAGGTATCCTAGCAGCTACTTGTACAGTGTTATGCCTAGTCCTACCCACCTTCTGGTGCTGCCTGTCTCTTGATATGGTCCATGAACTTGGTTCTGTTGGAGAAGAGGCCTCCGCAGATCCAGCAGGCAAACAGCTTCTCCTGGGTGTGCACTCGCATGTGCTCCTTCAACTTGAACTTGTTCTTAAAACTGGACTGACAACCTGGGAAAACAGGAATGAAGACACAACTTGACATTAACAACTACCGGTATAGAAGTGTAGTCCAGTCGCTAGCAATCCTGCCTGTGGACCAAGGGGATGGGAGTTCTAATCCCGGCTTTTTTCGCTCATCCAATGCCATTAGAAAGGGTTGGAGTCCTTATGTGTAGGATGGGACATTTAGCTGTGGTCCACTGTTCATTGTACTTGTCCTAACTGAGATAGGAGGATTTCCCTCGTACAACGAACATATAAATTTTGTACATACATGTAACGCCTGTCTTCTCTGTCACAACCAGTGGAAGATTGGCTCTTCTGTCAGCTACACTGGTTTAAGATGACTTTCACTTTCAAAAACACTGTCTGAACAAGGTCTGACACTTGCAAATAGGGCATACATGTACTTTTCTTATACTATCTCATGCTTATGAAAGTGATGATAAGATCAACATGTTTACCTGCCCATTTACATGGTATCACCGGCATGTTGGATGACCCATTTGGTTGGTCTGAACTCATGGCATGCATCTCCACATGGCGAAAGTAGTGTTCAGGGTTATCCACAATCGCCTGAATGAAAAAAAAACACTTTGTTATCAATACCATTGATTGTGCAATAGGCTGAGCCTGACAGTAGGGTTGTAATATTTAAACATTAAATCAACAACTACCAAAGTCTGCACATCAAATGAGATTAAGTAGGTTATCAGTTTCTCCTTTTTTCAAGACTGGTCACAAGATTCAGCCTACTGACCCCACAATCTTCCCAAGAACACTGCATCCTATCTGGAATGTCCACCAGGTAGTTGCGGTTCTGTTTGTCCAGTAAACAGTGGTTCTCCTGGTTGTTCCTGGCCACGTGCATGCCCAGCCACTTCAGCTTGGCGTGGTGGGCGTGGTAGTAGGTGTGGCGCAGTAGACTCTCCGGGAAGTTGCCTGCAAACGCACCACAGTCCACCCACTGGCAGAAGTACTCATCTGTACAGGTCGGAAAATTAAGACAATTTCTCTGTCACTGATGCAAAAATAATGTCTGACAACTTATATAATGTACTAAGTACTACGTGTATGAGGCCCCCTTATGCCCACCAGCTCGGTACTCCATACATGTGCATATTTATCCAATTATCCGTACATACTTTGATGTTTTTTTTACATGTTTTTGTGTCATGTTATGTGTCTGTATACTTTGGGCCGTTGAGTCTGAAATAAACAATAAACTAAACTATTAATAAACTGTACAGAATACTTGCATGCAGGTGTTAAACATTACATTTATTTCCCACGAACACTGCAACTCCTTTTCAACTTAATCCTCATGATGCTGCAATAATTCTTTACATACCAAAGCAGCAACTGTCAAAAGCAAAATCATTATCAAAGGGCAACATGGTTGGTATAAAACTAACAGCAAACTAAGTTTTCCTGTGGTTAGTCATGTGACACATTTTTGCAAATTAGGAAAGCCTTCTTTACAAAGTTTGAACTGTTAAGTGCTGATGCCTACCTGGTATGTCTGGCCTGTCCTTCTGTGCAGGTAGGAAGTGTGGATAGTGGTGCTCCCGGATGTGCCTCATGAAACTGTCCACATCTTCACACACTTCCTGACAGGAGGCCCACTCACACACCAGAGACATGGGCTGGTCACTGAGCTTCTGCTGAGGCATGCTGGAGCAATGGGGGTGTCTGTGGAAGGAAAAAAAACAACATTGCTGTACTTCTGTGTCTACAGAAATCCTCAATTTGAACCCTGTCGATAGGTATATAGGTACTAGCCGCGGCGACTGTTGCAGGGCTTCTCTTGCTTGCAGTCTTTTACATTAGCCTTAACAACAGTCGCGGAGCGGTGCATTGGGCCAAATGAACAAACATGCGTTTTACCGTGCCGGAACACTTTGAGACCGAAGTTTGCACGTCCCTAGATTCCTAACAGCCTCACCTAACGTGCCGGGGTGTTTTGCGCGTCAACCGGCCCCTGCGCGACTCGTACCGCCACTATTTGCGATCGCTCCCCATGTATTCATAAGCCGAGTGGCCGCCATCTTGGTCAGCCGCGCGCTGAATCAGGTACTTGCAAATGTGCCGCTACTTTTCTGATCCATAGAAATAGCTTATCGGAAAAGTAGCGGCAAATTTGCCGACGGCTGATTCCAATCAAAAATGGCGGCCAACTGTTATGTTTTACGTGGGGAGCGATCGCAAATAGTGGCGGTACGAGTCGCGCAGGGGCCGGTTGACGCGCAAAACACCCCGGCACGTTAGGTGAGGCTGTTAGGAATCTAGGGACGTGCAAACTTTGGTCTCAAAGTGTTCCGGCACGGTAAAACGCATGTTTGTTCATTTGGCCCAATGCACCGCTCCGCGACTGTTGTTAGGGCTAATGTAAAAGACTGCAAGCAAGACAAGCCCTGCAACAGTCGCCACGGCTATATAGGTACTAGTAGTAGTACCGTCGAATTGTCTTGGGTATAATATAATGAGACCAGTCCATTGCAGGTTGTATGCATCACACGCCGTAGGAACAGTACAGCAGCATGTCACCCGAACAGTTCATAATGTTAAAATGAACAACCAATAACACATAAGTTAAAGGATTGACAGTTATTTATAACACATACTATATCTTCAACTTGTACAGAAAATATCAAGTTTCTTATTATTTTTAGCACAGAAGCTTTTCAACGGCATCTTCATAATCATAATTTGAATCCCCTCTGCAACCATGTTGATGACACATTAAAAGCCTGTATAAATTATAAATCACAAATTGTGATTATTGTCAAATTTTGAATAATTTTTTAGTATAATTTCCATTCATGAAAATCTTGAAGTTGAATACTAATTGTTGACGAATCTTAACTAACCATAAATTCAAGGTTCACAAGGGCTCCCATACTCGTTTCCTCAAAATATTTTGTGAAGCAGCGAGTATACTGGACCCCAGCAACAGGCCAAGTAAAATTATTTTCCTCCTGTCATGTCAACAAAAATGTCGCCCGCCCCCCTCCCACTACTTTCCTCCGAAGGTTGAACATATCCTGAATGACAAGAGACCAAGAACGCATCATGTGAACACCTTTTTGGGGCACAAACTACTTACCTTTCTTTCCAAACAGGAATAAGGATGAGAGAATGGATATAAATGTGTGTTCACTGTGATCTTAGAAATTTTTCCCGCATTCAAGTCCTTCGAAAAAGGCGGCCACAGCACTGAGAGACAATTTTGTTAAAAGGCCAACCATTGGTCGGAACTGTAAATTCTCTGTACATCAAGCCAATCAGATTTGCTGTTATAATTGTGACGTGTAGGCATAGTTCATTAGAAATCCGGTTTTTGACCGTCCTGTTTCAATATTTAACTTTCTACCTAAATGAAAAGCTCCACAATAATGATATAATAATACTTCTAAAGAATAATTTCTGTATTTATTTCGATTGTATGATACATAACATCAGGTTTACTTTCATCTGCATAATGGAACAAATTAAGTAGTCCCTGTTACAAATGAACTCGCCCAGCAGGCGCCAACTACGATTGGTCAGTGAGCTTTTGCCTGGGAGAATGTTTCCAGCCTCCTCTGATGGCAGGATCATTGCATAGAGGAATTTTTTTTTACATCCATGATCATTAGGAGGATAAGAAAAAAAAGGAATGAAATATACATATTTGACACCTACATGATTTTGGCGTTGTTGTGAATTTCTTTTTTTTACTCATGCCCATTCATTATTGTGAATTTTCTCGCTGATTCTGTGTCACTTCTGATAGAATAAGATGCATTTTCCCCATTGGCAACAGACATGCACATACATTGTGCATACATACAAGATAGGGAAATGAAATAACCTTTTCTTTAACACTGAAAAGTGAAATGACATACCAAGGAGATTTAAATATAGGGGGCACAGAGGGGTGGACATAGCAAAGGTGTAGAGACACGGCGGTGAAACAGCACACAACCATGTGCGGGCCGTAGTTTTTAAATTATTCTAAATCATCAATTCTGCTATGTATTAATTGAAAAAATGAAGAAGGTTTAATGAAGGCTAAAAGTTTGTGATCCGAAAAGCGCCCCCCACCACTTCAGTGGAACATCCCTTTCACGGCATTGCAAGAGCTCACTGCAACAATGGCGGCCAAGAATGGAAGTTTTGACTTCGCCAAAGCTCTCGCTGGAATTTCAACTAAAGACGACCACGCAGAGACAGCTACCACTGATGACAACTCAGGTGAGATGAATTAGAAGGTTTATATGCAGCAAATCCGCCAGTATATGGAGTGGCACTGTTGAAAGCAATCAAAGTCTTGAAGTGTTTATACCAAAGAAAATTTGCTCTCACGTGCATGGATATTATTTACCGTGCTAGAGCATACTGTCTTTGTGTTGTAAGATATGTCCCGAAATACTTTAAACCTGACTAAGTTAGACAGACTCTAGAAACTTTCTTCCTAAATTTCACCACATGCAATGTTTTACACAAGTTTTTTTTTAAATGAGATAATCACACACCTGCACAAACAAGAGCTGAAAGTTGTCTGCTAGTATTTCAGAGTACGTAACTTGTTACTTTTCTATTAATCACAACGTGTATGATCATGCATTGTACTAGTAATCAAGCTCCCAGTTTCTAAGAGGTGTACGTTTGTCCCCAGGGGGTCTAATTAGCATAATTGAGGACAATGAGAAACAGGTGAATCTGTTTTGATAGAGGTTTAATTTAAACCTCCTTGATAGAGCCAATTGCAGTTCTTTGACTATTGTATCATTTTAGATTAGAATACTGCATGCTTTGTAGTTATTCCCAAACTAAATACATTTCCATGTATATTCTGATGTTTTCAGATAACGACTCATGGCATCAGAAGACTTACTTCGACCTGGATGACCCAATGGACTGTGACGAGTATGAGAGTATGTTTAGCAGGGCTGAGGAGTTCTTTGATGAGCTGGACAGGAAGAAGAAGACACCAGGTTGGAGTTCAATATTGCAGTTGTCATTCTTTTGATTAGTAACATGTTTCCCTCTCAAATACAATCCACATGCTTTCAAAACAAACATCCGCTGCCATCTTTTCCTATAGTCACATACCAGGTAACTGTTGTACAGTTGCACCTACCTACCTAGCTCAGTGCCTAGGAGTGGTGAATTGACTTAGCATTGGGCAATACCATCAAAAAGATAAACAGTTCACATGTTGCAACTCTAACTTGAGCATCTTTAATTATAGCTGTACTGTAGTACATGTAATTGTACTGTCAAAGTAGCACCAAAATGGTAAAGCCTTGGGACTTTAATAGTATTGACAGCACTTGGAATTGTTTTGTGACTTTAAGATACAAGTACTCAATGTAGGATATCAGTGGTAATACATATAGAATACAACACGGGGTATTCCGTATCGCCCGAGGTGCCAGCCCGACCGCGCGTCGGATCGCCCGACGGCCGAAGGCCGAGGGTGATCCGATCCGCGGGAGGGCTGGGACCGAGGGTGATGCGGAATACACCGTGTTGTATTTTATTTATGTCATACCCACCCACGAAAACACGCCTTTCAATGCGAAATGAGCAAAAATTTGGTGTCCCTAACCCCAAAAAACGCAATTTCCGAATTTTGCATTCGAATTTTCGAAATCGGTGCACGCGGTTAGGGCGAAACGCGTTCGAATCGTTCTATGGAACATTTGGAAGGGCCGGGCTGTACGCGTTAAGAACCCCCGGGCCGTACCGCTAGTTATCACATGGGCCGGAACACCCGTATGGAACGTAATCGCGGCCCAGGTAGGACATAAATGAAGATATCATAGATAATTTGAAATTCTGCCTTTGTAATATTACAGCCCTTATCAACGCTTCAGATAAAGAAAACCACAACTCTACAAAAACAACAGAAGATGAGGAAAAGTGTCCGGAGTGGATTGTGTCAAATCTACCATCACATTGGAGCATTCACTTGTCAAGGATTGAAGAGCAACAAGCTCCCAAGAAGCTGACTTCTGAAGAAAAGACAAAACAACAGGAGGAGTTTAAGAGCTTGCCTTCAAGTGTGATTGTTGATCTTGAGAAAGCAGTTGTAGGTGGCAGACAGAAGTACATGGAGATGTGCATACAGGACTACTCTGAACTGTACAAACCTTGTGAGGACTGCCCAATCGTCACTGTGGAGGGGATGACACAGACTCTGGTCGAGTCTTTGGTGGAAAGTTTAGAACATGAAGATTGGGAGGGCTTGGTTATGGGAGCTGCTGATGATCCATATGGAGACACATGGTTTTGGACCAATCTGCACACTGTTCGAGCCCTTGCTGTGCACTTCAATGTTTGCACCAAGAATCAGGTTCGTTGGTGAAAATATTTTTTTGCATGTGATGTCACAATACGTTATGATTGAAGCTGACCTATAGATTTGCATGGGTATGATGTATTGTATACCATGTCAAACTTTGTGACCACAGTTTCATTTGCAAATTCACATTTGCCTGGCAACTTAGTACTTTGGCCATTCAGTACTATATGTCGAACAATGCTTGTTTCATTGTCACATGAGTTATATAAAGATATATACTCTAGCTGAAAGTTAGAAAGTATGTGTATAAATATAAAGTTACACTGACATGTATTATCTAATAACTTGCAAGTTATCTAACAACTTTCTTGTTGTTTTTCACTATTCAGTCCATTAGGAGAATTTCAGATCTGACGTATGATTTCTTCTTCTTCTTTAGGCAAAGAATGTTGTTACTGGGCTGGATCTCCCATTCACCACAGCCAACAACTTCACAAAAGAACTTCTCAATGTCATGCTGTACTGGATAATGGACCCAGTGTTTGGGCCCACGCTAGCTGAAATCATCGGGGAAGCCACTTTGGATGACGGAAGTCACATTTACGAGTACCTTGTGGAGCCACTAGCGGAGTACATTTGTCCACAACAAAGACAACTGCTGAAGTACAAGAAAGTCCGGGACATCCTAGTGTTCTACCTGTGTGCAGAACTGGCAAGGTCCACAGGCACAGACAACAACAACATACAGGTCATGAAATGTCTGGTGAAACTGGATGGTCACGAGAGCTGGGCTATTGTGGAAGATGTGTTCATCAGTGGGAGGTACTATTCACGCTATGGCCACTACTCCTACGTGGACTATCTGGAAGGTCTGAATTTAGGTGTCTCCAAAGACCTGAATTCACTTCACAAGGCTCGATTTGGTAAGCATTCATTATTTCTTAATCGTGCCTTGTATCATCGGTGTAAAACTTTAGATCTGGCAAAATATAATGCTAGAAAAAGTCTGCATCGTGTTCTTGTGTCACTTCAACTTTTTTGAGGAAGCTAGAAGAAAAATACATACAAGTAGTAGTACTAGTTGTTAATACCTTTTACACATCGACTTGAAGCATGATACCTCGATCTGTTGCATGACATATGTATCTGATGTTTTCATACTTGCAGAGCGCAAACCAGATGATCCCTTTGTTGAGAAGAATTGGAGGTCATACGAGACACGCCGCTACAGACTAGAGATGAAACATAAGAAGAACTCGGATGATCCCAATTACCGCGAGATGCACCAGGCTAAGACAGAAGATGCTGAGAAGATGTTCATACGAGTTTGTAAGTGTCTGGCATTTCAGAAAAAAAATACACAATCAATTGTATATAATATGTATTTTTTTTACATCTGAATACATGCTTAGTTACATGTAAGTTTAAGTACTCAAGTAAAAGCATTCTACTACCTCACAAAACTGCACAATGCCCTGTATGTGCTACTTTTTTGTGGACCATTGTTTTCCATTTGGCTTTAGTTGACTTAAGTGTTAGATTGTGGAGGTCTTTATAGTATTGTTCATCATGATACTGCAGTTTGTCATCTTACTGCAAGGGGGCAGGAGAGCTAGAATGTACATTGCATTAATGTAACTCATTGTAAGGGTTTACCTGCAGTTTACATGGGATATGAATAGAAGCCTTTACCTTTCCTCTGCGAGATACTACATTGACTTGTTGTCAGAATTTTAATTCCTTTTGCCCAAGAACAGCAATGGCAACAGTATGATTATGGACATAATAACTAGTTTGTATCTTTCTCCAGATGAGTTTTTGCAGAAGAGACAAGAAGAAGGTAAAAGTAAGAAGATGGGCATACATGGTGAGCTGTCGAGCTCTGTGATTGAAGCAGTCAGAAAGATAAAAGAAACCACAATTACCGATGTCAAAGAGTCAAAAGAACAGGTAGGTTCACCATGAATATGAGAATGCTTGTAGCTACTGTCTACTTCCCACTGATTGATTTGATTCTGACTAGGAGTCGTAATAAGGAAATTTTTCTGTTGGAAAGGTAGTTTCAGTTCCTGAAATTCAAATGGTGACCTAGGAATATTTATACATGTTGTTATGTTACTTAATTTGTACATTACTCAAAACAATTTTAATTCAATTCAGGTTCTGTCTATGAAGAAGAAGAGTGGACCAACCAAACCAACGGAGAAGGTACCTGAAAAGAAGAGTGGCTCAACAAAACCAACAGAGACGTTACCAGAAAAGAAGAGTGCCTCAACCAAACAAACCGAGAAGTTACCTGAAAAGAAGAGTGGTTCGACCAAACAAACTGAGAAGATACCTGAAAAGAAGAGTGGTTCAGCCAACCAAACCGAAAAGTTACCTGAGCGGAAGAGTGGCTCCAGCAAGAAGAGTGGCTCAACCAAACAAACTGAGAAGTTACCTGAAAAGCCAGTGGCAAATGGCAGCAGCGTATGTCCTGAAAAACTACAAGTGAAGAGACGCAAGATCCGTGAGTGTGGCTTCTGTGGCAAGCTGTCCACACCTGAGCAGAAGTTCTCCAAGTGCGGGTCCTGTCTTCATGTGTACTACTGCTCACGGGACTGCCAGAAACAGCACTGGAAGGCAGGCCATAAAAACCAGTGCCGCAAGAAATAGATCACCTGAGAGAAACCAAATGGCTTCAAGTGCAGCTTCAATTATAGTTACACTAGTTATAAAGATACCTATGACATTTGAACAACTGTTCATGTTCACATAATGATTGAGTAACTTGAGTTTCTATCTTTTTATATGTTAACTTTATTTCAGTTATTAAAACTTCTGATGCCAATGGCACGTACATGATTGCCAATATTCTGATAAGTGATTGTCAGAAGATTAACACTGAGTTATGTAAGTACTAGACTTGCCTTGTGTAGACTTACTTATCACTGATATCAGTTACAGGAACCATTTTTTACTATCCTAGGGCATATATGCTTTGCTTCCTCATTTTTTCACACACACACTAATCAAACTTTCAACAAGCCTTACTTGATAACACATGTGACTAAAAGCATGCCAGAAGCAGATTGATAAGTTTAGCCTGTGGGATGTTTTGTCCATTAGAGTAAAACTATCTGTCCAGATAAATAATGACTAAGTATTGCTGGTAAGGCTCAAAGTGTATTTCTAAAACACAAGAGATATGGAGACTAAAAAGATAGACAAGTATAAACACCCACTATACATCATCAGAACGTTGACCTTACTCTGAAGTTTGAAAGGATTCACATACATGTGTCCCATTGGTTTGACTACACCGTGATCTGACCAGATATGTCAAACAGAACTATTTGTGATTTATTACAGGCATTAGTGTATCCATTACAGCTGTCAACTCCTTAGGGAAAGGGTTGTCATACGCTCAGGCAGTATTAGACCTACATACAATGTTTGTAACTTTGTTTAAGTACTTGGAAAGAAAAACTGTTCTTACATGTACATGTTTCCAGAGAGGTCTTCAACAAGAGTACAGTTATGTAAGAGTAATCATTCACCCATGTTAGACTGAAAAGTTGATCTTCAGAAATGTTTGTGTTGGACAAACCCTGCACAGCTTGAAGTCACATGACATACAGACATACATGTAGCACAGAGTACTGTATTATTGAAAACCAGCATTTCTTTGGAATCTAACAAACCAGTTATGTTTGCCATGCTTTCTGGTGATAAAAGGCTGAATTATGTTTCTGTTCAATTTTGTTTGCTTTTAAGTTATAAGGGGCAAAAGTTGTCACCATAGAATGTGTCTGTGATGTTTCACTTCCAATTTTATCTAAATAAAAATGTAGTTAGTAGATTCACATTAATCTATAGTGCCTTAATGACTCTTAAGTCCATATTCCTGTTTTCCTGTTAAGGTTTGGTGCAGTGTATACATGTACCTGTATAGGGAGATTGAGCATTTAGAGAAGACTGTCCGTACCTTGAAATATTTTATAAGGGGATTACTTGCATCAAGGCAGGTCCAAGCTTATGTTGTACACCAACCTTCCATAGACATCAAATTAATCTACCAGTGTAAAATTATTTTCCACTTGTAAACTGTAGTAGAGCATCAAGCTATTGTTACCTGTAGTATGTAGATTTCTTGAACTAGAAGTGGATGTAATTATAGCAGCTACATCTCACTCATGTTCTTACGTATACATGTAGACAGCCGCCCCCCTTTCCACAGGGCATCTGTTATATGTCACATTTCCATTCTGACTCATCCTGATAGGCAGATGCTGCCGGTACAGAGAGGTTATCAGGCAATGTCAAGCCACAGGCTATTTCAATCAACCCCGATGTCACTCGGGCACATTCGTGTATTGCCTTTAATGCCTAACATTATCTGTACAATGTTACAACACTTGACATTCTGCTGAAGTCTTGGGCGCCTTTTCAACTCAATATACAATGTAGTACACCAGACAAGTACATGTCTCATGGCCCCACTGTGCAACATGCATCACATCATTTTAAGACGTTTATGAAGGTTACTCATCCAGCCAGGAATATAAGACATATAAATCTTGGTTAAATCAATACACTATAGTAAAGAGTTACAGATGTTCCTACCACTTTCCAGTGATCTTCATCAGTCAAAAAGGATAGCTGCTCCCCTTTCCACATCAGAAAAAAAATGGATTATCCCAGGATAGGATACTTGTAAATCTTGGTTTCATCAATATACTGGAATACAGAGTTACAGATGTTTGAAAGATATCCAGCAATATTCATCTGTCTTTTCGTTGGAAACATCTGTAATTCCAGTGTATGGATTAAACCAAGATTTATAACTAACTGTTCCCACTAGTTATTACAAAGATAAGTGATCATGCTATGATGCTGCATCAGTACTAGTTGAAGGAAAGAAACTTATAAGAATATGACATATTCACTGGAGTGATACTAACAGCTCCTTTACATGCACTTCTGATTGCAAAATATTGCTCATGATATGGTAATCACAATTTGTTGTTTGAGGAAAACAATGCAAAAAGTACACATATACAACATAGAAATTTACATTTAAGTGCCTTTAATGCAGCCATACAGTAGTAGTTTCCTACTACGTAATGAAAATCATTGTTGAGATACTGAGGTGTCATCATTTTGGCCTTCATTCGTTCAGCAAGAATACCTCTGTCATGACGGTTGAGAAACAAGATAACAGACTATGAAGGCTGACAGTAACAATGTCACCACATCGTTTCCTGTGTACCAGTCCCGAGCATGTGCTCATACAGTCCCAAAAGGCTTTTCCAATTTCAAATTCTGCTGAGCCCCCATTTTACCTCTGATGCATACATGTCCCAAAGCCAATGAATTCACTAATAACACTTTCCCTCCCCATGTCCTTGGGAAACTTCCAGTTGACTTTGAAAGTGTATATTAAGCTACACAGGTCAGTGACCACAAACAACACTCTCATCCAATGATGGGAAGGATTACATGTTTTAGGAGCTGGTCATCAATGGCTGCCTTGCATGCAAACTAGCACTGAAACAGCATGTGCCTTTTACTCAAATAATGAGAATGGTAAAGCTAGCTGTGTATTTGGCACAAAATATTACATTGGAATTTGGCAAACACTAGAGCCTCAAAACCAAATCTAACCATAGAAAATCCATAAATCTACTGTGTGATAACAGTAGGACATGCTATCTCCTAGAGTTATTGGTGACTGTAAGGGAATAGACTGAAACTTTGCATCATCAGTTGCACAAGGAATGACATTGTCTCATTGCTTCAGGTTTCTCACTGGTGCATCACAGCCATTCAGTACCATTTCATAGCACAGCTGGGCATTAATGGCTCATTCTACATCCAATATTTATGTTAGCCACTAGCTTTGTTGTAAAATGCATGCTTTAAGTGCACTCATAAAGTTTGTCATAACCAGGGAAAGGCATGATGAATTTGTGTGCGACTTTCTTCAGTGTGACTTGCAGCGTTTTGTCGGATACGTCAGTCATCCAGAACACTGTCCAACCAGTCTTCCAAATCCACAGTCTCCTCCTTTGGCTGGGGAACTACATCTGTAGGACAAGAACATGACACGTACCACATTCATATATATATATGTCTGTCCACAAAAGGTGTGAATTTGATGTACAGTACTGGTATTTAGAAAAGATGGGCTTGCAACATCTATCTGAGTCCCAGTCAGAAACTATTGTCACCTCTTTAAGTTCACACAAAAATAGGTAGATCTACACAGAAAATTTTAATTCTACTGTATGCCAGAACTTTGCCTGAAAAATCTAGAGAATTATTCAGCACAGACTGAGTTTCACTGTATGCAAACTGTATTTCTGCATAACATGCATACAAACAGCTGCATTAACAAGTTCTCTTATTCAAAATTTCTGATGGTGTAATGACGATACCCTATTTCCTCACCAACAGGGAATGATCTCACAGGCAACATGAAGCTAAACGAAGATGAGATAACTTGTACTAGATTAACCCCCAATCCTCAATATCTGAGTTTCATTCCTCATGAGAACACAATCAAGGTACCCTTTTCTCTCCTTAGTTAATTATGACTAAGGTAGCCTAATGATTTATAACTCCATACAGATCATATATAACTTCCACATGACACTTATTCCCATAGCACATTGGTACGCAGGTTATATTTAGGTCAATTTTCATAGTGAGTGATGATACAGCTCAGAATGTGGATCGAATATTGCCGAGAAATGAGTTGAACCAGAAGAGAGGAAGCACTGATCATCACTCATACAGAATGTGCTTTCTAAAGTGAAGTATGCTTCCAAATTACTCTGTTCACATGAAGATGCATATGTGAGAAAAACATTCTTGATGAGACTTATATTCTGTGTCTATATACAACCTTATATGTGTCTTCAAATAAGTGTCGTAAGATGCTTGGAATTCAACTATTCATTAAACAAATGGATCTTAGGCCTATCCTTAATTTTGAGAAAAGGCATTTGAAAGTTCATTCTAAAGCCCCATAATGTATATCATATGGATGTAATTTGAAGCTTCATGCCAATTTCATAGGGGGACTACCATGTGATACATGTACATATTATGAAAATTAATATATGAATGATTGCAGTTTTGTTCATTTACAACCCTTGCATGTGAGAATCTTACATGTGCCCAAGCCCATGTTTTGCTAATTTCTGATGGAAAATATAGCAATATCTAAATGTACCTTGTTGTTTCTTAGAGGGCTCCACCATTGCATCCTTCTTGGGGTCTTCTAGTTGCTCTTCATTTGGCTGATGTACGTCTTCTTCCTTCTTAACATCATTTATGACGACACCTGGAAGTTACAGTTAGCACAATATACTAGTCAAGACCAGTATCCCTCATCAATATAACTCTATATATATGTCATGCAATCCACTTATGTATTGTTTTATTCTTCCAATCTCTCATGCAGATTGTACATGCTCAAAACTACAAAGCAGAAGAGTTGAAAGTCCATAGTATTGTATTTTGTAACACATGAGCAATCTATAAAATGTTAAATCAGCCTGAAAATCACATTTTAGATTTTGCTTACGGGGCCATATTTCCATGTGAGCAGAATGTGGTATTCTCTTTCTGAAGTGAATGTTTCACTAGGACAGCCAGCCCTACTATTTAAGCAGTATGACAAATCTCCTGACTTAAGAAGCATTGTATGTTTAATTTCATTTATTAACTGTTATAGCCAAAAATGGATATTGATGTACATGTAAGAATCATTTTATTTTCAGATTTAATATCATCCTTTGAAATTAAAGGGCACATTCTTACCTTCCCTTTCCCTGTCTGTAGTGGATGTTTCTGTGTGTGTAGCAGAGTCCAGTGACAGGAGAACATCTAACTCATCATCTAACTCATCCTGTCCTCTAGTGTCTAACATGACATCCCTCTCTGTTCTGTCCACAGTCTTATCACTTGCCACTGCACTCTCCTCAGTATCCTGTCCTGTTTTCAGGTCAGGTGACTCGACTAAGGCAGCGGCCACTTCCTCAGAGGAAGCGGCTGGCACCGAGAAGTCAAACTTCAAGACATCGACAGATTTGCTTTGCTGTTTGGGATTCAGGGACACATCCAGGTTGAGCTGCAGGGGTTTGTGCTCCACCCTCCTGAGGAGATTGTCCAGGATGCTGGAGGCTGTTGCCTCAGAGATAGACAGCCTGGGTTTGAGGGGAGTGTGATGAAGAGTGTCCTGCTCACATGATGCATGGCTGGCTGCTTCTTCATTGAACCTCTCCACTAAATCCTCCTAGCAGAGCAAAAGGGATGATAAATGGATAGATTTAGTCAACTTTCTAAGTGTACCTTATTGCAATTTCAAGAGATTCAAGTATTCTCATGGTCCTAATAGTATTTTCCCATGCTTTTGTTATCAACCATTTTACTTTATAGTGAGGGCATACTCCTGACAGGAAGGTAAAGGAAATATCTACTGGTGAAGCCAATATCTTGCTTTATGTGATGGACCCCAAAAGCCTATTTCCTACGTATTATCAAGGAACCCATTACATGGCTTTGAAGATGAAGAGGATTGCAAGGTTTTGTGCTTTTTTGCTGTGATTGGTATCACCAGGTTTTCAGCAGAGTTTGTACTTTATTGTACATCTGTCATCACAAAGACTCACCATAAATAGCACCAGCTTTATCATGGGCAGAGATCCATTATAGGATAACATTTTTAAACTAGAAAGGCCAATATTTGCTTTGGAGCAAATACAGCGATGGGTTCACCACATTTTACGACATGGCAGGGAAAGAATGAGAAACACAAGGGAAAACAATGATTTACATTGATATAACTATAATATGGAGTAAAATACAACTAAAACAACAGTTGGATAGCCATTCCCTACTTTATTGGTTAGGATTTTTAATTGCATAATGCAAACTGTTGATTTTCAAAATAAAAAAAAAAATGTCCATGCCCCGCATTCCAATGCTGGAGCAGGAAAGCTTGAAATACCTACCAAAACACTTGAATACAGACATACTGTCAGTATGGAAATGCTCTGTGCAGGTGTTAATCAAGTTAAATCCCAACAGCCAATCAGCAAGAAATGCTCTGTGCAGGTGGAAATGCTCTGTGCAGGTGTTGATCAAGTTAAATCCCAACAGCCAATCAGCAAGAAGAATAGAGGAAAGCTGCATGCCTATTGGTTGATGCCTGCATTCCATTGTGATGACTCATGCCCAAACGTGGTAAACAAGGCACACTAACACAGTAATACATTTGCTATAACACAGCCAAAAAACTCAAATAAAACCATTCTAAAAGCCTGTATCACAATAATTTAAAAAACGCCTAGGGGTATTTGCCCACTGTACCTCCATACCAAATTTCAGGACCTTGGGCCCTAAAATGAAGAAGCTGAATCCATTTAAACTAGAAAGGCCAATATTTGCTTTGGAGCAAATACAGCGATGGGTTCACCACATTTTTACG